GGCCATGAACCACTCCACTCCCATCTGACAGCAAACAGGCATCATTATGGGGCTGATGGCTTCCATATTCTGTCTTCTGATCTTGTATGTTGGCCTCAGTGCTCTCCTGAGCCTCGAGGTTCCGTACGCGGCGTTTGAGAAGGACATCTCCGCCAGTGTGCAGAAGAAACAGCAATGATTTGTTCTTGATCTCTTGCGGAAGACTTTGCTTGAACGTGTCTAGCTTTTTGATTTTGTTCTTTTAAGCACAGTATATTCTGGTTCTGAAATTCACTGCATATTTGTATGCTGGCGTTTCATCTTCTTTATGCGATAAACCATGATGCTGTACGGAGTGCGATGTATGCTATATTTGGGTGCATGTCCCTGGATCTGGATGTTATCGATAATAGCCACGTGACTGGATGGAATGCGGGCATTTGGAGGCCAAGATGCGAATACGGTTCATCTCAATTTGATAACCAATTGATACTTGGACTTTTCGTCCCCTGGTCTTGCTAGCGCATCAGAACTCCTACTCCTACTTACTCCAATTAATTACCCGCAGATTCATGAATGGCCATAAATAGCACCTGTATCTCCATCACGTGATAGCCTAAGTGAGGCAGGGAGGGACGCCGGTCCAGACGGCCGAACACGGGGCAGCCCACCCACACCACAGCCCCCCCGTATTCCTATTGCCTCTTCTTTTCTCTGCTGATTATGTGTTATCGTCCGTTGTCGTTGCACTTGTGTATCGTGAATTTTACCGCGCTCACTCGCTTGCCCATATCTCTTGACTTTCGCTACTCAGCATGGCTCTTTTTTGATATTACTGTCTAGTCTCTGCAAAGTCGTTCGTTAAGACTGCTGACGATCTGATCTTGTTCGCTTCTTTGCTGATCTTGGACCCTCTTCTGCTGGGTGGAGACTCGCCTGATAGTGCTCTCCCTCATCCCCGTCGTGTGTTTGGAGACAGCCGCTGTTGATGGGATCAGTCTGCAGAAACGTTCGTTCTCGTATGCTTGTTGTGGCTATGCCCAGTTACGTTCTGCGCTAGCCATTCAACGCACTAATCGACATCGCACCCTATTGAAGATCTACCTCTTAGCAGTTTGCGATCACCACCAACAATCATGGTTGCTCTGTTCAAGGGCGTTGGGAGAGCCCACCGGCCTTCTTTCACTCTACTTCTTGTGTTGTTCGTTATGCTTATTGCTCAAATCTCCGTAGCCCAAGATGCGACCACGGATGATAATACTGCAACCACCACAAGTGTGAGCTCGACAACAGAATCGACTACAACTTCATCGTCGTCGTCGTCGTCGTCGTCGTCGTCGTCGTCGTCGTCCTCGTCGTCGTCGTCGACAAGCACTACTACTAGCTCGTCGAAAAGCAGCTCCACGACATCGGCCTCGACGACATCAACTGGTACAGATACCTCGTCCACGTCGACATCAGCATCCTCGTCCTCCTCAACAGATGATTACCCCGTCGTCACTGTGCCACCAACTGCAGATGCGCCATATATGCAAAAGTCCAACATCCCGGAGGGTACCCTGTTCATCGCCGTGGGAGCAGTTCTGGGAGCTATTGGGCTTGCAATCTTAGCGTGGCGCGGCATAGTTGCATGGTCTGTGAATCGCTCTGTGCGCCAAGCCGCAATGACGCGCTCGTCCGAATCGAAGGGCCTTTTGCGTTCGAAGAGAAGAAAGTCGCGCACTAGGAGGTCCTCTTCCGCGGGCCCTGGCGTCGCCCTCGACAAGCTTGGAGGAGCCGGAACCCAACAGCATCACCGTCACAGCCATCACAGCCACCGACAGCACCGAACCTCCAAGGGCCCCAGTGCCAACAGCGGGCTCTTCTTCTCACCGACCGCCGGAATGCAACACGGCAGCGGAAACCGCCGTTCGAGCTACCTTCCGGCGGGCTACTACAATGCCAACAACGTGGGAAACAATCCCCGCACTCAAGATGCGCGTTACTCAGCTGCCGACCTGACGGGGCTTGGGGGTCCTCAAACGCAGGGCTACGTCCCGACCCGTTCCGGCTCCAGTCCCCCTGAGTCCCCAGGTCTGCCCCAGTATCACGATCAGCAGGATACCCCTCCTCGTCGCAACGCCAGAAGGTCTCACGTCGAAGCTTCCACGAGCACGCTGAATCTAGCTTCCCCGCCAGCGGGAAGAACTCCCAGCGCATATTTGGAAGACCTCTTCGATAGTCATCCGCCTCAAAACCGGGAGTGACATGTGTTCCAAACTGGATGGCTGAATGTTCGAAACTACTGTCTCAATTCTTTTCAACACGCACCTTTCATTTTGGTTCTAGAAATCTAAGTTCAGCCCTTTTCCCATTTCTGTGTGCATCTATTATATTACCCTGTTTCTCAAGTCACGCGGCATTTTTTCACTTCTGATGTGTCTGGTATAAAGTTTCTATTCTCGAACATAGTCGAATTGTCTAATAGCAAATTCTGATGAAGTAATCATTGCATATCCTCTCGGCGCACCGCTCCGTACTCAATTGCCCGCGGGAGTTGACAGGTATTTGGAGAACGCCCGACTATTCCCATACTAGTCATCTGTGGATTCGGGAGGGGTTTACGATGCCTTTCTACTGCGAGTTGGTAATGGCGTCACCTGACGGCCTCTGCGGTAGTTGGGTTTCACCTTACTACAACGACTTTGAGAATGGAAGGCATCACGTGCTGTGTTCCAACATGGGAGAACAGACAATCACATGGTATCCTGATGCGGGTATGCGGGCCGCAGAGACAAAGAATTCAAGACTACGACTCGGGAGCGGGTGGAAGATTCAAAACTTAGAAAACGTCTATATATATACAATATATACGAGGCGAAGACGATCTAGAAAGCGTCTACGCCGGATTAATCAGTCCGCATCCAGCTTACCGCTGAACTCGCCGAGCAGAATGTCATCCGGAGCTGGGCCGCGGCTGTTCCTGACTGTCGTGTCGCAAGGTTAGCCGTGCGTCACACGAAGAAAAGAAAACGTGGTAAAAGCAGGGAACTCACTCCACTCGGTCTCTATGCGGAGGAAGATCCACATCCATCGGCGTGCGACCTCGAGAAACATGAGGACAAAAATTCCGAATTCCGTGTCACTTAGCCAGACGAGACCAGGCACATATCTCGCGAGCCACGAGAAGCGGATGGCGAAGTCGATGCCAACGGCAACGTAGTATTGACGATCAGCGAAGAACCGGTGGCGACGGAGGCCAAACGGATACTCTGGACTGTCGCGCAAGGGCGACAAAAGGGTCAGGTCCCAATCCTTGGTGACGTCCCAGTAAAATGAATATGCGGAGTTGGTCAGAGTGCAGAGAAACCTAGTGACGCAAGAAAATTAGCCTTCAACTATTTGGTCTGCGGCTCAGGCGATCAGGAGATGCTTACAAAAGTCGTGAGAGACCGGTCTCGCTGAATCCATAGAACTCCAGGGGGTTGTAGTTCCTCAATTTTGCCGTGAGCATGATGACGGGAAATGCGGTAGCGTATTTCAATGCGTTCGCCAGATGTTGGCCCCCCGTGTTCCCATTCTTGTGGCCGCCTTGCCATACACGGAAGTATTCGATGAGACACTGACGTAGGCGGATCATACTGGGAATGGAGATGACAAGTGGAATCAGGTAGTCGTTCCCACATTTGCGATTCGGTTTCGATGTACTGCCCAGATCCCCGATGAAGAACATGCAGAAGGAGACAACCAGATCTCCTAGAACTTTCGAGTAGCTTGTCAAGGCATCAGCCAGGAGAATGTCCCCAAACTTGCCATCTTGGGGCTGCGCCAATCCACCAACACAGATGCGCTTCAAAGTAGTGAACAGGCGGAATCGGCCCGAGCGCGCGACCCGTATGAAGGGCTGAATCAGAATAATCGCGGCAATGAAGAAGTATGATTGCGGGATGTAATCCAACGACTCGACACGTTGTCTGGAACCGTGGGTGACGGGCCAGAAGATGAGAAGTGATATCACGAGAGGGATGGTCAGGAGAGTGGCTAAGCGGTAGGCGGAGGCGTAATGAGATGGATGGCTAGCTGACTGGCGGTGGGGGTATCGAATGAGAGAGGGAACGTCCTGGAGGATATTAAACAAGGTGTCGTGAGAAGGAAGGACTAGGATAGAATGAAGGTGGGGGGGGGGGGGGTTTCCTACAATATTCGCTTTTGAAAGATACTGCAGATTGGCACCCCATCCCCAGAACCCTGTCAGGAGCAATTAACAACGATCGAACAGGGTTGAAGATAAGAGAACAATTAATATTGAATAATTAGCATACCAGCCAATAAGATTACCGCCACGCGCGAGGGGAAGGGAAGGAAAAGACTGAAGCCATCCAATTGAGCATGTTGATCAGGACCCATATTCCATTGAAGTAGCGGCGCCGGTTTCTGTTAGCACCTGGGGACTGCGAAATAGGGAGATCAGGTCGAGGATTGGGGGATTGCAAGGGAAGTAGATCCCGGGAAAGAGGAATGGGAAAGCCAGCAAGGTATGGAAACAGAGAAGGAGGGGGAGAAAAAAGAAGAAGAAGAGGAGGAGGAGGAGGAGGAAGAGGTACTCAGGGTGAGTTTGACGAGCACGAATACTCAATCACTCAGTCAATTCAATCATGACCGACCCGCAAAGGTGAACCTCACTAAAGACCAGACAAAAAGAAGCTCAGGGACGGTTTCAGTCTCGACTGACCAGCGGCTCCGCGCGGCTTCTCGGGTTTAGGATGCGTACTGGGTCCCGCTTTCGGTCTAGCGGCGTTTCTTGGCGCTGGCTTCCAATTTTGGCTGCAGCGGTCCGATCACGTGAATACTGCCGAGGTATCTTTCAATCCACCACCCACCACCCACTCCACTCCGTACTGTACATGCAGTACGTGGGCGGAGCTCCGCGATAACAAACTACTACACCTAACATCTCAAGCGAAGCTGATGACTTTCCCCTTCTTAATTCCCCTGTTATCTACCCTCTCTCCTCCTCGCGCTCCGCTCCACTTACTTCACATTGTTTATCGTCCTCTCTGGTCGCTCTTCTCACAATGGCTGACGAAGATCTTTCTATAACCACCGCCTTGGCTCCCACTACCTCCATACGTCCCTCGGGCCACTTCTACCCTTTCGCTACCTCGCCAGATATCATCCGCTCCCACGAGAAGGATGTCTTTCTCTCTGCGAGCTTGACCAACCAAGCTCAATCAATCGCCCGTTCCCTTCGTGGGGCTCGGTTTGCCCATACGCACTCTGAGGCCATCAAACGACTGACCGAGACCCTGTATTTCTCCCTCACCACATTGATCGGGAATCGGACATTGGGCGAGGAGTACTGTGATCTGGTCCAATTGGAGGACGATACACTGCAACTCCCTTCCCTCCCCCGGCGGGTCGGATACATCCTCAGCAGCATCCTACTCCCGTGGGCGCTTCAGCGGATCCTCCCCGCATTCCGACAGCGATTGCGAGCCAAACTCGAACATAGTGTTGCCCGCCAGCAGGTCAAGAACGCCCAGACCAAGAGCACGCGAGACGACCAGCGCGACCATTCGGGCTCTTTCTTCACCAAACTGCGGATACAGCGATATATCCTGGAGCACCTCGACTCCATCACGTCTTTGTCACCCATTTACGCCGTCAGCATCGCGACCTTCTATTTCACCGGCGCCTACTACCACCTCTCGAAGCGCTTCTGCGGCCTGCGTTATATTTTTACCAAGAAGATCAACGAGAACGAGCAGCGGGTAGGCTACGAGGTCCTGGGCGTGCTTCTCGTGCTGCAGATCGCAGTCCAGGGAGTTCTGCACATCAAGAAGATGGCCGCCGGCCTGCAGCAGGAGGACCAGGACCTTCACGCAGCGGACGCTGGAGCGGCTGACGGTCAAGGCGATAAGGCGATAACCTCCGTTGAGAATCCGTCTTCGCTTCCGCTTTTGCCCGCTAGCCGTGCCCGGTACGACTTCGCCGAGGACCCGAACGCTGTTCCCTGGATACCGGCTGGCCAACAGCGCAAGTGTACCCTGTGCCTAGAGTTGTTCAAAGATCCGAGTGCTACCACTTGCGGTCATGTGTTCTGTTGGACATGTGTTCGAGACTGGGTACGCGAGAAGCCGGAGTGCCCGCTCTGCCGCCAGGAGGTCCTCCTTTCTAAAGTGCTACCCTTGAGAGGGTAGTACTAGTCTCAGAGGCGTCCCACCTAGTCCCGTCGCATACTGCTTTCTTGGCATGTTTCAGCGTTGCAGATTGCTTGTTTCAAATATACCCTTTCAATTTAGAGTTATATTTTGGTAGTTCCTGCCTGGATCGCAGCCATCTGTCAAAGTCCTGGCTCACATGTATACATCTCTAGATACTTCGTAGAAGATCCCCAATGCCTCCCTGATATAAGTTCAAGGGACGTATTGCGTTCATAGCTCCCTTTTGAACAGGCTAACAGTAACCCGATCACAGTATGCCGATATGACGGGCAAATATTGCAAATGCACATCCCTGAAACATTGCGTGAGAGGCACTGGTCTGTTTGTTTTCAGAGAGAGGAACCGTATCTGTTCCCCGATATATATACGGACTTATATCATTAAATGGTACACTTTGAATTTTCCGGAGCATCGCCGGGTTGCACTACTTCGACTTCTTCCAAGTCAGCAGTGACAGGCGCTTTGCACACAACCCGGATAGGTATATTCAGTTCGGCGTGGGCAGGGAGAGGGGGCGTGGGGTCCAGCGCTTGCCGTTTGGCGTCCATCTTGTCATATAAGCAGACGCATGCGTATGAGTCAGATGCAGCATCTATCGTGAGCCCCGTCAGCTATTTTCAAATCTTCTTTGGTCAAGGATCAAATGACACTCACATTGGACCTGGCGATAGTTCAAGGTCGCCGTCCACTCGCTGCACCGCACGGTCTCTTCTTTTTGCAAGGGTAGCCCGAAATGCTCCTCCACCTGCTCACTCAGATTGACCAGTCGTTTGTTGATCAGTTTTGGGTTCGATTGGCAGTACTTGATCAGCTTGTAAAGATGGCTAAGCTCGAAGATCCCGTGCGCGTCTATCTTGAGAAACTTTCGAAGACGGGTGCAGTCGGCCTTGATCGACACGCCAGCTTTAGTGATTGCTGGATCTTCGATGATACGCTTCAGCGTAGGTGGTACAAGATCGGCGATGCCTCTTGCCGGCTTGAACAGTGCCAGGTGAAAGAGCGCAATGCGGTGGCGGTTCGCGATCTGAATCAGCGAAACGTTGTCTTGGATGCTGCCCCATGCCGAAGCCGAGGCCTTCCATTCCAGGTCAAGCCCAAGGAGATCATCCTCTAGAAAAAGCTGTGCGATATCCTCGCTACTTTTCAAGCTCCTGCAATAGTGCACAACAATGTCTTTCCCTTCCGGGCTCTTTTGTAATTTGTGGCTCCAGAACTCCGGAGTTACGGGGTTACCGGCTGTGTCCTTTTGAAGCTGTTGAGCTGCAAAATGACTCTTGATAGAATCCATGGGGCTGCTGCTGGTCTGATCTACTGACGCAGATGGCCCTTTTTGAGGACCCTTGAATAAAGTCGATGCCTCAGGCTTCTGCAGGGTTCCGAGCGGCCCCAGAGCTGAGGCGGTCGATGTATTTGAGCTATATGATCGCCTCATCTCTCCCAGGCAGGTTCTTTTGCGCTTTCGCGCCTGATGGTTCCAGGCCCCCCTCCGAGACACGGAAGAGGCACCCGAAGGCACCTGAAATGGGCCCTGGGCTCCATTGGAAGAGACTGACGGTCGACTATATATGTCAAACCATGGCAGGGTCCTGCGTCGCTTGGAGCCACTAGTCTCTGGCTGGGATTTCATTGTCAAGGCTGGCTTTGACAATGCGGCGTAGAATCTGCCCGTATAGACGCTTAGTCCTGGCTGCTGGCTCGGGGCGCACGGCCTGCGTAGCGACCTTGAGCTTGCCGCCAAAAAAGCCTGGTCTGGCGATGTAAACCTGTATTTACGGTCAATCGGGGTCAAGGGTACGAGTAGAAGAAGGGTGCGACCTACCGTGTAAGTGCCGACGCAGTGACAAGCATCTTATGAGGCTGAAAGACTAAAGAATGTGGAAATGCTGTCCACGCCCGGTTCCTGTTTTGTCCCTTGTGATAGCAGGGCGCTTGGTGCGTATTAAGAGGATTTAGACGAGGCTCAACCCGATCATGTTCTTGAGCTTCAGTCGATTAAAAAATTCCAAAAGGGAATTGAAGTCTCAGCTATTTACATTGAAAATAGCGGTGTCCAAAGACACGTTGATTGCTTTCCATGGAAGTCGGTAAAATATGGTACCTGAAGAACCTTTGTGAAGATGGTGTAACTGGTTACAGTAGGTAAGGGAAACACCGTGGACGCCGCGGCGTCACGGGTATTGTTAGTCAACTTGCTCCCTGATTGGGTTGAGTGAGCGGGCCGGATAAACGCGAGTTCCAGTGAATATGCCAAGATTGTCTGGATGGATTCAACACTGACCGTTTCCGCCCACCGCGTCGTTTTCTAGATCAAGTATCTTGTGCTCCTGTCGTACTGTGGAAACCCTAAAGACTCGTCCTTTGTCTTTTTTTTTCTTCCTTTCTCAGGGTCTTCTTGAGCTTTGTACCAACTTTTCTCGATCTGGTATCACTGTTGGCCGAAATCTCTCATAATGGCTTCTCAACTTCTTCCTCTTGGTAATTCACTTTTATTATATGGATATGCATTGACAACACCGTGCTAACCCTCGGACTAGAGCTGATCGACAAGTGTGTCGGCTCTAGAATCTGGGTCATTATGAAGAATGATAAGGGTTGGTGCCGGCAACCTCTTGTCTTTCCCGGAAGACAGAATGATTAACTTCTTATCAAACAGAGTTCTCTGGTACATTGCTGGGATTTGATGACTACGTCAGTAAGTGGTCAAGTTCTCTCCTGTCCTACTAGTATCAATAAACTAATTCTTCTTTGAGACATGGTTTTGGAAGACGTGACAGAATTGTAAGTGCCCTCGACTGCGTATCCTGCTCTGGCTACATCATGCCATCGCATTGAATCGCCCTGCAACTACCAAAACTTGGTCCGATCTACGTACTAAGTCCTATCAGCGACTACTCTGGTGCGCGAGTTCAGCTCCCTAAGATATTGCTCAATGGCAATAACGTTTGCATGGTGCGAGCCCTTCCTGCTTTCGTGTCCACCAAGCTAACAAGATTGCTCAGTTGATTCCTGGAGGCGAAGGGCCAGTTGGTAGCTCATGAACCTCATGATGTTCAAGATATTTCAAGCTCTGTTTTAATTATCCAATGAATATTGATGACTGTATTCCAATCATGTCTTTGAGGCCAATAGCTTCGCAGGGCGTTCTTCATCCCTCCATTCATTCAAGAGGGAATTTGTCTCCTGGTTTTTTTTCAGGCGTGCAATCGAGGTGCAGATGCATGACTTATGGCAGATCATGATGAACTTCTCCAAAGGTACATATCTATCAATCAGCGAAGCAAACAGGCACGGGTTCGTCAGTCGCATATTGGTGTGAGATCGGGTCAGAATGCTCTTCAAGTGGCATCGACGCGCCTGGGCAAAAATCTTTTTTTTGGATCAGTATACAACTGACCAGCATTTGGGGGCTTGGTCTGATTCAGCGCTTGCTCAATTGACTTTGCTAGCTTGATTCAACCGCGCTCCAATTGTCCGAATCCTTCTAGTTTCGTGAGCAACCTGTTCATCCATGAGTAGTCGATATTCGTGTATCTGAAGTGCATCACGCGACCGTGAATTCAGAGATAACCCGGTTTTATTAGGGCCAAGTCCAATCTTTATGCAATGAGAAGACCCGCGCCGAGGTTGTGATTCAATTCCCTGCATTCAATCACCGGGGATATACTTCATTTCTCTTTTTTCCCCCATCGACTTTCGTTGACCCGGGCTATCAAAGGGAGTAGAGATTAGAGTGATGGGCTGCGGTCGGTATTTTATCTCTTAGGCGGTTACTGCTGCCTGCAACATTCAGTGAGAGCGATTCTTGAACCGAGGTCAAAGGAAATATGAGGGGAAGAAGGAAGTATGACATGGTTCAGTCTTACACCTTCGATAGCCAAGACGAGAAATTAAGCCGACGAATGATTGATGTCAGGATACGATGGATAGATCATAAATCATAATTCGAGCAACCAGATGAACATCAATCAAAGTTGATCCCTTTCTGGTTAGTTTCCTGAGAGTGCCCGTCCAAGAATAAATCTTCGTATTGCCAGTGGACCAGACCAACTGCATGACTGCGGGAGAAATGAGAACAGAGAGATTCTTGGAAGCAACTCAAGTGTCAGCTACCCCAGATATTTCCCACCGACTGGGGCCGGGTGGAAACTGTTAGGTAATAGCTTCGGGTCTTTCCCCGCATTTTCACCCATTGCCCGCCCGCCCGCTTTAAGGAGATAACCCTAAATGGCCGTCTGTCCCCAAACTCAACGTCGGATGGGTTTGAATGAGGTTGGCAGATTGAGAGTGAAAAGTGAGCCGGCGACTCCGAGTCGGATCGGGGATGTTGGCCCAATTTCGAGTTTCGAGTGGAGTGCAAAGGGCTAAACCGCTCTCCGGTTCTCGGTGTTAGAGATCAAGACCGCCCCAGCTGCAGTCAAAACAACGACCGGGAGCATGGGCTGATAGTTAGTGTTAGTAAATATCTATCATGCTTAACTACTCATGACTGTAGTTGCACGGCTTGCATTGTCTAACAAGCTTATATCATCTATGTTCACATTAAATTAGTTAGTTGAAAAGGCTGCGCGGAGGGATGCAGCCACCAGGGGAGGGTCAGGTTGCTCAGAGGCTGGGCTTCTCCCGAAGGCACAATTCGCGATCGATCATTGGCTTTCGGGGATGCCGCAGGCTCCGTTACCCGGGCTGGCTCAGTGTAAACTAAGGTGACATCGCGCGAAAGTAAATATCAGAGCCAAGGGACTGACACCACCCAAGGTGTGGTAAGTTTTGTTTGAGTGTCGTCCTGGTCTTTCCACAGATGGCTAGACTCGGATTGATACAATCCTCTACCATACTAGTAGTCGTATTTACCTTTTCTCTTTTCCGCGCCATATTGAAAATGGGCGGCGAACTCACCTGTCGATGTGCAGCCGTTGGGTCGTTCTCCAAAAGTGGTATTTAGCCAATGATGCTAGTGTCTGAGAATTGCTCCTCTTTCTTCACGTGCCGAACATCCCAGCATCATGACCCGCCGTCGACCCATTTTCTTGTGAAACTAGGGTATACTGCAGCAGTGTAAGGCTGATGTCCTCCTTGGCTGCGACCATTACGTATTGGTTCAATCTGCAAGACCGGCTAGCGAAAGGCACAGCCTGATACCCGGCCCGGTCGTGTAGCTGCGATGATTTGCTCGATCTCATCACCAATCTGGCGTCCCAACCGCCCTAATAGAGCTACAAGACGAGCAGAAACCTGGCGGCGTGTCTCCATTGACTTCACCTCCTCCAAAAAGAATTCGGAAGATGACTCGAGCGGGTATCTGCGGTTGCATTACGAGGACGGAGGGGAGCAGGGTCACACCATCCTCTTCAGTTTCGTTCCTTTCATGGTTTGGCCAGGTGAGTGTAACGCCACCCATGCACGAGTGGGATGTTTGGCTCAAAAGCCACAGCAACAATACTGAACGACAGTTGGGTTTTGCTGCCGTGAGCAGTCAACCCTGGCCGCGGGAGAAGGATTCTACCTGACCGGTTGACACTAACCCTTCTCTGCATTGACCTCCGTCGCCATGACAGGGGGAAGTGTGCGAATTGACCTCCAACTTAGGCGATTTTTGCCGGATCAGGGTTCGCGACAAGACAGACTCGATCCTTCGGGACCTTCGAGAACTTCGAGAACAAGACGAAGAAGACAATTGGAAGAAGAGGTGGAAGATGGTGACAGTCACCACGCAGGGAGGTATCCGTTGTACTCCGTAGATCTACAGAAGTACCGTACAGGGATTGTCAAAATGGAGTGTACGTCAGCCACCCGCAGCGACCATAAGCCTCTAATCGCATTTCTGGAGGTTGGTGATGATCATCTCACAGGAGACAACATACACAAAGATACTGGTATGTGTGTACTGTTCATTGTTTAAAGGTGACATAACAGTCTGAAAGTCAAGGCAACATATACACACAGCTATCTGCTGGATGTGGCAGAAGGAACTGCAGGCATAGACTCGAGGAATGAGCACCAAGCCTTTGACTGAACGATCCCCAGGAGACCCGAGGCTAGCCTCTTATCAAATATTTGCCTTCTAGCTCCTTGATTGGCTCTCGCTTCGCTGCGTGAATTAAATCTCGGGGAGGTAGCTGCAGGCCTGAGGGGTGAAGTCCGTTTGCCGTCGGACATATTGTAGGAAGGATGAGGCGCGTAAGCACGCGGAGGGGCTTCTAGACACATTCCAATGATGGGATGTGATGTAGGCATGATCTTCTATCAGGCGGGAAAAAACGAAAAGAGAAAGAGAATCAATTATCAGGAAATCCAGAGATAGCGGCCATTGATAATGATAAATCCGATAGCTATCAATCGCCTGCTTAGACTGCATAGATAAGAGAGACTCCACTTGATGGACCCTGGCCATGGAAGGCAAGGACTGAACTGAAACCCAACTTTGCTTACTTGCAGCAGCACACGTGTTGAACTGTAGGTAAAGTTGCCTACAACTAATTCATTATAATAATCACACCACGATTGACTGACTTCTACTTGTGGGTTGGTGGGTGCTTGGTGGGTGCTTATTGGGAAGGATGAAGCCACCTTTGGCTATTGGTGCGGAAGTTCTGCCTACCAGTGGCGTTGGAACCTTAAGGACGAAGTTATTACATACGTAGTAGCTCGGGGAGGACCAGGGCTTTAGTGGCGGAACCAAGGTCAGCTGCTGTTGTTTCGGCGCTGATTCTGGGCACTTGAAATGCTGTTTTGCATCTGAATGTGGAGCTTGGTTGAGGCTTTGATCATATTGCAGAGATTGATTTCATCCAGTGGAACTATAACACTCGAGACGATAAATTAACAAAGAGGACAAAATAAAGTACCAATTAGCAACGCAACATGTACTGTACCTACCTACGGGGCATAGCAGAAGGTACCTAGTAACTACGGCGTAGATTACCTAGTAGGTTGATAGTTAGTTAGTGGTGGGATACTCCGTAGATACCCACTGATAAGTGGCTATGGGGATTTCGGGCGGGCTAGTCATGGTTGGGACTAGTCCGGTTTGAAAGGTTTCCTTCCCATGTCGTGTGGCTGATTGTGATTAGCAAGTCAGCTGCTGGTAACTGCGCACTTATCAATCCTAATTGTCAAGCAAAAAGTAACGGTGAATAATACTGCAGATGGCCGCCAATCAAGATGCAGACATGCTCAATCATAAGGTGGCAATCAACCCCGTTCATGAAATCAAGAGATTCACAAGATATTCCCCCAGAATATCAATCGGATGCACCACCACCTACAGTGGCCTAGCCACCATCAATCTAGTGAATTGACAGTAAGTAAGGCCCCTCTTGTAGTCTAGCTTCCCCCAGACTGGTCCCACTTCAGAGAGTTTCCTGCCCGTTTGGCTCGGCCACATGGATGGTAGGTAGACAGGGAGATGCTTGCAATGGCATAATCTGGCGCACCCCTTCTCTTCCTTCTCCATGCTGATTGATGGTGGGTAATTACCCCCGAAAGCATGGATGTCAATCACTTAAACCAGACTAGCTAGGCAGGATTTATTCATTTGTTCCATCTCACTGCGCTCTGAAGGCTGATCTTCCCCATTTAAATACTGGCTGGCATCCCATGTCAATCCATGAGGGCTTCCGAGCTACTTGGTTCTTCCCCCTCCTCTCATCCCTCTTTGCACCCCCGCTAGTATTGCTCTGTTGTGATCGCAGCAGGCAGTCCAACACATTGTGCCTCGGATTAGCGTGGCTCGCCGGAGTGGCTCAGTAACACACATTCACTCATCGTAGCCTAGCACTCAAATACGCCAGCAGCTGCTCTGCACAATCACTATCACCTTATCTTGTTTCTTCTCCTTCTCTCCTTCCTCGGCCTCGACCTTTCTATACTGAAAGTCTCATTCTAATTGTGCAAGCTTACTGCTCTACTGAGTTCCTAGTGCCTTGTGCGAAACCATACCCTACTCTTACCCTTCCTTCCATCCATCCTCATCATCGGCCATGGAGAAAGATTTCATGGAGCCGAAATATGAATCCAAACCCGAGGCCTCCTCGGCCGCCGACCCTCCGCCGTCCTATGGAGAGACCGAGACGACTAAAGGAAGCTTTGGCCAAAGAATCTGGGACAGTTTCAAGAGAGATCCTAATGCACAAGTGACGGCCGCCGAGCACTCGGGTGCCGATGGATCGGCATTCGACATCGAGGAAGCTGCACGGAAGACTGCTCAATCCCCTCTGCAGCGCAAGCTTAAAGGCCGTCACCTTCAGATGATCGCTATCGGTGGCTCAATTGGTATGTACCCCTATATGGCCCCTGGTTTTAGCATAGGTGGCTCATCTGGTCACTCAGGTACTGGTCTCTTCGTCGGATCCGGATCAGTTTTGGCTGCGGGTGGACCTGCATCGGTTCTGATTGCTTATGCGTTGATCGGCTGCATGCTTTACTGTACCGTGCACGCGCTGGGTGAAATGGCCGTTTTGTTTCCTGTCGCTGGTTCCTTCTCCCACTACTCAACTCGCTTTATTGATCCCGCCTGGGGCTTCGCCATGGGTTGGAACTATGCCCTGCAGTGGTTGGTGGTTTTGCCGACCGAAATTGTCGCTGCTTCCATGACCGTCAACTACTGGAACTCGAGTATCTCGAGTGCTGCCTGGGTCGCCATCTTTTGGGTCTTGATCGTAGCAATCAACCTATTCGGTGTCAAGGGCTATGGAGAAGCTGAGTTCGTCTTCTCGATTATCAAGGTCCTTGCGGTTATTGGCTTCATGTGAGTGACCTGAGCGGATTTCTCTTACGGGAATCCTGGAAATCATCCGACTGACTTGAATAAGCATCCTTGGCATCATCTTGGATTGTGGTGGTGGACCCAACGGTGGCTATATCGGTGCACGCTATTGGCATAACCCGGGTGCTTTCCATAACGGATTCAAGGGTCTTTGCAGTGTCTTCGTCAATGCTGCGTTCGCTTTCGCCGGCACTGAGCTGGTTGGTCTTGCGGCAGCCGAGACCGCCAATCCTCGCAAGTCCCTCCCGACTGCCATCAAGCAAGTGTTCTGGCGTATCACCTTGTTCTATATCTTGTCGCTTCTGCTGGTCGGCTTGCTGGTCCCTTACACCGATGACATGCTCCTTAGCGGGTCATCCAGCGCCGACGCTAAGGCATCGCCCTTCGTTATCGCCATCAAGAACGCCGGTATATCTGGACTGCCTTCTGTCATGAATGTTGTGATCATGATCGCCGTGCTGTCAGTTGGTAACGCCTCGGTCTACGGTTCTTCGAGAACGTTAGCCGCCCTGGCTGAACAGGGACAAGCCCCTAAGTTCCTGGGTTACATCGACCGTAAAGGTCGTCCTCTCTGGTCCCTTCTGATTGCTTCGTCGCTGGGTGCACTTGGGTTCTTGGCGGCGTCTTCGAAGCAGTCCGAAGCGTTTTCTTGGATGATGGCGATTTCTGGTCTCTCGTCCATCTTCACTTGGGGTTCAATCTGTTTGTGCCATATCCGCTTCCGTCGTGCTTGGAAAATCCAGGGACATAGTTTGAACGAACTTGCTTTCCGGTCTCAACCTGGAGTGATCGGGTCCTGGGTCGGATTCGCTTTCAACTGCCTGGTATTGGTAGCCCAGTTCTGGGTTGGATTCGCGCCTACCGGATATGCGAGTATGTCTGCCTCGGCATTGGTCGAAAACTTCTTCTCGGCCTACCTCGCCGCGCCTGTCGTGCTGGCATTTTACATCCCTTACAAACTATGGTACAAGACTCCCTTTATCCGCGCCAAAGATATGGACCTGCAGACTGGTCGACGGGACTTGGATATCCAATATCTCATTGAGCAGGAACAGGCCGAACAGGCGTCCTGGCCAGCTTGGAAGAAGGTTTACAAGTTTTTCTGTTAGGTTGAAGTGTGGCCAGTCAGACGTTGGACATACACTGGCGCCTTAATATGATGATGATACCTTTCGTGCCCAAATCCGTGTACCATAGCGATAATGTTTCTTTCCCTCACTTGTCCAGATGAGAGCATCTGGTGCGTCTTGGTGTTTTAAACCATCTTCATGGTCAAATACAACTCGACTCGAATTAATATCTTGCGCAAGGTACATGACCACATGTATGCATGTCTTCATAAGTTGTAGAAGCGAGCGGAGATGAAGCGACCTGCTTTCGCATTCAAGATTGTCATTTGAAATCTCAAAATTGAGAGAGGTGGTCTGTTCTGTGGTCTTGGCGGCAGGAGAAATTGGTGTCTTTTTGGTCCTCCGTCAGTAGCGAATGAACACACCGAGTATTAGTGGAGGAGGGTTGGTTGCCAACCTCACTCGGGCAATGATCAGACAGCAGACTATACCTAATTATACCATGGTCAACTTACGGGAAGGGGGGGGGCCATGTGAGATTGTTGGGAAATCAATCTAAGACAACGGTAATAATTAACCGTGACGGGGAGACCAAAAATAGTAGCCACTTTTCCAGCAACAGCAGAACAACAGCACTTCTCTACTGAATAACTTATTCCTAGCCAGCAAAGCAACACGTGAGGGATAGAGCGAGGCTGAGGAGGAGACTGGGAAAAAAAAGAAGGCGGGCGGCAATGGTCTAGTGCGGACTGTACTCCATAGTAACCAAGAGTTACGTAGACCTTAGTTAGTAGTCTACAGGGCTAACTAACTGAGTTGACTTAACCAGCCCTGCCCAGTCACTTTTCCTTTCTATAGGGCCTTTTATTAAACGTGGTTTCAGGTTGGTACGTACTCCGTATCCATGCACCAATTGGTAGTAGTGCTGAAAACTTACGTGTAAATTACCGTACTCAGTACATACACCGTCGCCCTCCATAATGACGGATGGAGAGCCCAAGGCCCGACCGAACCTCTCTCTCTCTCTCTCTAGTCTAACTTATCCTCTGGAATCTCGAAATATTCATCCCATCATCATCATCATCATCATTGTTTCTTCCTCCCGGTTTTACTTCTCTTCCTTTCACCTCTCTTACCCTGACAAAACAATTGCCTCTCTTCTAGAGCATATCGTATTTTCTTTCCCCCGCTATCGCTTCTCTCTTCGTTATTATCTACTGCATCACTGCTCTCCATTGGCGCTGCATTCATCCCACCTTCCCTCCTCCACCCCCCGAATTCTAGGCTGTCGTCTTCTGTAGCCGCTCTCGCATACTTGTTTCCCCCCTCCTCCCCTCTCCCCGAGCCTATGTCTCTTCGCAGCTCCTCCGTGCCACCTTAGGGATCGTTGAAACCTTCAGATATATTGGTTGCGCTCGAGCCGGTCGTTTTCTTACTTCTCTTTTCACTTTCTCCACGGTCCTTTTGTGCAGTTACCGTTGCGCCTCTAGTTTGTTTAACCCGGTCGCCTTCCGCTGGCGACGACGACCGATCATCTCTACCTTGGGAGGCTTGCCGACTTCGAACAAGTACCTCTGCGTATCATTGCAGCACCTTAGGCGAGACCAGGAACTCCAGTTCATTGCTCGTTTGTCGATCGCCGATCTTGCTTCACAATGCCTGGCTTCGCAGATTCGTTTTGGACCCCAGATTACGCCACAGGTCTGGGGGTACTCTATGGCAAACTCCAGCAGGGCGCGGTGGAAAACAAACAAATTCTGACTATTGCCTCGATGCGCGCGGACGCGGAGGACATGTATGGCTCCAAACTCGGGGACATCGCGCCGGCCGTCGACCGGGTGACACCAACAGGGTTTGCAAAGGACGACGGGGCGAGCGTGAGGAAGGTAAGCGGATCGGCGAGTTAAGGCTAGGTCTTTCATGTCTATGCGAGTACTAATGTGGGGTTGCCATCTTTCTCTGCAGGCTTATGAAGGTGTTCGCACGGAAATGGTCGAGGCGTCCAAGAACCACCAGAAAATCGCGTCCAACATTCGGGAATTGGTCGTGTCGCCGTTCCGCCGCTGGTGCGATCAACATGAGGCGCGGATACAGAACTCTCACGATGATTTGCAGGCCCGCATTAAGGAACATACGAAGCAGGTCGAATTGGTCAAGAAACTGCGGAGCCACTACTTCAACAAGTGCCGTGTTGTGGAGGATTTGGAGGAGGAGAACAAGCTTGCTTTCCAAGGCCCCGAGACCAGTCCCAAAATCAAGCCCACTCCCAAGATCGTCTTGCCGGAAGAAGAGGGAGAGGAAGAAGAGCCGGTCGAAATCGGCGATCGCATCTATCCTCCCGAGGACTTGAAGAAGCTGTTGATACACATGCTGGAATCAATCAAAGTGGGCGACGTCAAAGTGCCCATCATTGGAACCTATCAGAACACATCGACCGGTGCCGACATCGTCGACTATATTCAGAAGTATCTGAACGGAACCAGCATCAGCTATTGTGAAAGGATTGGCCAGGACCTTGTCGACAACGGGTTTCTTAGGCTCGTGGGAAACATGGGCAGCACGTTTGCCAATAGCTCTAAGATGCGTTATCAGTGGCGCCCAAAAGTCTTCCAAGTCACAGGCATTCCCGACAAGAAAAAGCCTCTGATGCGGGTCACTTCTATCGCCTCCAGCGAAGATGGCAGTGACTCCCCCCTGTCTTCTGTATCCGAGATGCTCGCCGGGTGGAACCCGCTGAATAACCCATATCCGAACGAAACGCCAGCGGAAAAGCTGCGCAGAGAGGCCCGCGAGGCTGATGAACGGTACAAGGCTGCTGTGCGGCGACTTGACCTGATCAGATGCAAGCTCGAGGAGGAGATTGTTGAGAATCTGCGCTTTATGGAGCAGTGCGAATTGGACCGTCTCAAGGCAATCAAAGCCGTAATCCTGGATTTCTCTGGGGCAATCAGCAATGTGATTCCTAACCTGCAGAGCACGGTGGATCACATGATGCTGTATCAGGAGACTATTCAGCCCCTCGGAGATCTTAGATACCTTCTGGAGAACTACCGGACCGGCGGTTTTGTCCCCCGCGTACAGGCTTACGAGAACTACTACGGCTCCGTGGAAGGTATGTAGAAGACCCCGTTACTCGTAAACCGTCTGGGCAACTGAGATCTAATCTGCATCTAGATCAGAACTTCGGTGTTGATCTCGAGGCCAGAGCAAGAGCCGATCGCAAGCGGGTTCCAATTATTGTAACGACTATCCTCACTTATCTTGACAACCGTAAGAGCGCTGCAGCATTGAGGTCGTCCTCTTGGACATTGACTGACCAAAAATATAGGTTACCCTGAATTGGAGGGTGACGAGGCCCGACGTGCGATATGGCTCTATGATGTACCTTTAGCGGCAACGCACCATTTGCGGAATGCATTGAACAACAGCAAAGCGGACTACAACGAAGTGCTCGAGAAATACGAGATTCCTATCATTGCCAGCGTCTTGAAGTTGTATCTTCTTGAATTGCCAGGTTCGTATCCATCTCGTCTCACAATCTGATTCGCATTAACATGAGTCAGATTCGCTCGTTTCTTCCCAAGTTTATGAAATTGTTAAGACAATTTATTCCACCACCGCCCATGAGACCACAGAGGAAGGTCGCATCAAAGTTCTTCAAAGCACACTCGGCCAACTCCGTCTCAATAACATCGCCACACTTGACGCCATTATGACCCATTTCACGCGTTTGATAGACCTGACGTCTGCCGACGAAGCTTATGTATCTTCTCTTGCCCAAGCGCTCTCCCCTTGCATTCTCCGCCCCCGCACGGAGAGCAGCCTTACGATGAACGAGCGCCATAGCTATCGCCTAATCCGTGACCTGTTCGCTCACAAAGATGCCATTTTCGGCGAGCTTAAGCGCCAATCGAGCGCTCTCGGGATCAGTGGCACCAGCAATCGCCCCCGTGCTATTAGCACCGATGAGAGCAATCGACGCGCAGCCATGGAAGCGCGGAACCGCGCCATTGTCGACCGCAGCCGCGCCCACAGCCCCAACCCCCCACGGAAGCACCGTCGGGATCGTTCTAGCGGTGCTTCAGAGGCCGGGCGTTTCCCCGTCAACGTTACGAGCCCTACCGAGCGGAGAACCAACCTCCGTAATAGCCTCGACGTTCCCACCAATGTGGAATCTCCTACAGCTGCCGAGAAAATGAGCAGCGTGAATATCGACAACTCAGAGGCTCTTGAGACCAACGGTGCTGCGGACGACTCTCCTGCCGTCAGTGCCAGCTCCGGATCTGGAACTTCGAGTCCTCCTCCGGTCGCAGGATCAGATGGATCCATGAGCCCCGTGACCGCTGCCACTCCCACCCAGGAAGCCGAAAAGCGCACTTCGATCCCCCTCTCCAGTGTCATGTTCAACCGCAAACCCGGTCTTGGCAACCGCTCTAGCTTTCCCATCGCGGTGAACAGCGAGAATGGATCTGACAGCAAGCGCAGCAGCCTGGCAACCATCGAGAACGAGCCCAAAGGTGTTACATTGGAGGACAAGCCAATGGACGATGACTAAACGCGACTCCAGTGATGTGTGGATGCACTCACTAACTGACTGATTGACTCATATGACCTGAACGTCTTGAATGTTGTCGCATGTCTTGCTTGAGGTTCTCTCATCATGACAGTGGGTTGGGGAGGGACTAGCAGCCACCAACGACTATACTCTATTAGTCTGCCGGGAACAGATCGTTATGGTGCTCCACCCCCCTTTATGAGAGATAAGGATGATGAAGCACCATAAAGTGAGAGGAATTTACCCCTGATGTGTGTCTGCTGACCTCAGTTACCTTGGCCTCTTTCTCGGATCTGAGAGCCGGTCTTATCAGCCGAGAGAGCCTTGGGCCCAAGGACTACCTACCTAGTCAGCAGTCTTTCTTCGCTGCTTTTCCTTTCCTTTGTGTTCTTACTGTTTGCTTCGTGCATCCTCGATTGTACCCCGCTCGAGAGTCGACATCCCGCTCCCTCTGCCTGAGGTTCCTTTGCAAACATGCTTCTGCTTCTTTTCTTCCTCTGACATACCCAACATCTTCGTATGTTTATTCTATCTTTGGTGTATACATAGTGCTCCCATTCCATTTATCTATCTTTGTTTCTTTCCTTCTATCGATCGATCAATCTACCTATGCCTGCTGTGTTTTCATGATTTGATCATGTGTTCGCGAAATATCCACTTCCGTGCATTGTCTCGGATTTATCCTCGAACAATCCCCGCGTGTGAAATGCACCGTCTAGTATGCAGATAGAATCCCAATGTAGAACATTCCGTCAAAGGAGAACTGCAAGTAAGATGAATTCTGATTGTATTTTTCTCTGAATTATAGTGCCAAGTAAACTAAGTATACAATGCTATGAGGTATGTTCCGTGCCGTGCTGTGCCATGCTGTGTGTGCTGTGCTAATTCCAGATATAAGTGATGAAATGTTTATACGGGGTCCAATGCACCCTTAGCCAAGACATAAGAAGTCGGTGCAATGCAAAAATGCAATGAAGGCCAGGTGGCCAAACGCTCAGAAATGCAGAATGTTGATGAAGTGTTAGGCTTGACCTAAAAGCAGCCTGCGGAGGATGCCCTCCCCGGGTCCAACGATTTGGCTCTCGATCTCCTTCTGAGAAACGAAGCATACGAGGCATTGCTCGTCCAGCGCTCGACTAGGAGTCATGGGACCAGCTCCATGCTTAGAGGGAGAACGTCGAATGTCGGTTCCGCCAGCGACTGTGCCACCTCGACCGCGGCCTTGGTGATCGCCCACGAGACCCATGGTTTCCAGATTGCTAAGGACATCCTTGAATTCCGTCGATGTGAGAGGGTGCAGAAGATTGTCTTTCCGACACAGGGCGCAATACGCATCATAGACCTGCTTGACCGTGGGTGCCACATTTTTGTTCTTGGATGGAGTACCCGGGATTTCTATCTCTCGACGGCGTCGATCCAGAGCAATCAATACACAGATTGCGGCTTTCTGTTGAAGATTGATACCCTGAAGTCTTTGCACGGTGCCCTGACCGAAAGCAGAGGAAGTGATGCGCGCCACATGGGCGATGCTCGCTCGTGGTGCGGTGAGGGGGGTATAGGCCTCCATAGACTTCTGGAAAGATGGTGAGCACTTGCTGATGGATGAGAGATTATTGTTCTCAACGAGAATAGTTTGGTTTTGAGTGCCAGAGGCGGCATCTTGCTTCTCGAGCTTCTGTAGGGTTTCTTGTTCCACAAGATCTATGGCGCGCTTGATCAGCTCGAATGCCTTGCGTAGGTCGCCAGTCTGCGAGGCCACCTTCTTCGAGCACAGCTGGATCGCTGCGGGCTGGACAAATGGGATGAAGTTCGGATCTGCACTGTGACCCTCCGGAAGCAGGGAACGGAGGCGACCAGTAATGACTCCAGCAATTTGAGCCGCATTGTAAGGCAGAAATGGGAGCAGACGTGGCTTGAGATTCTTGGCCTTCAGCTGGGGCAACGACCTGTCAGTTAAATCAAGTGCATTTGCAATTCCAATGAGCATAAGTTTCGACTCGCTCTGTAGAGACCACTCGAATAGGGACTGCAAAATGCCAGCGTCCGCAGTAAGGAGATGGTCAATCTCGTCCAGGGTCACGAAATACAGATCGTTCTGTTTCTGGTTCGATGTGAACATCATTCGTAGCCGGTCCGCCTCGCTCTTTTTAAACACCTCAGAGTCATCGCAAAGATCCTCGATAAGCTTGCTGTAAACATCACGGGCGGCTCGCATGCTCGCACAATTAATATGTGTAACCTTGGCTGATTGCAGGTCCATCTCATTACACACTTCCTGAACCAATGCGCTTTTTCCGGTCCCAGGAGGACCGCTCACATACAAGCAGCCACCTGTGCGAGTGTTCAGGCTGTCCTGTATGAAATCGCGAAGCTTTTCCCGTTCGGCCTCCCTGCCAACGATCCGCGTAGATGATGCGCCTCGTACAAACAATTGTCTTGCTTGCGTATAGACAGTCTGTGCGGTGGTAGCAGTTGTAGGAGTGGTTGCATGGCGGGGAGTACGTGGCGTCAACGGTTTGGCGCCAACCTGAACGCGGTGTTTAGGTGTGACTGGCGGGGAGTCGAGTGCATCCCGAAATCTCGACTTCGAAGGAGTCTTGAATTCGACTGGTGTTGAATTTTCGTCTATATTCCGTCAGCAGTGGTCTTGGACATTGCTGCTCCGGTCGACTAACCATTGATAGGATCCGTAGTAGCATTGCGCTTGACTGGTGAAAGCTTGACAGGTGAGACGATCTTGTTTTTCCTTAAGCTGCGGTCTGAGGTATGGTCCGTAGAAGATTCTAATATCTTGGGGCTTCGGTTCTTTTGCGGATCGGCAATGCTATTGTCGATTGTCCTCGAACGAAGCTGTCGTGTTTGTACTGCAGTGGATTCGGGTTCTTCACGGATGCGGGGCGGCTGTGCTCGGCGCTTGCTTCCACTGCGAAGTAGCAACTCAGGAGCTATAGAGAGAAGTGGGTTAGACAAGGAAGTTGATAGTGAGCTCCGCTGAGGAAAGCAAGTCAACGTACCTTCTGTCTCGATGGCACCCCGTTGGCGCTTGCCCAGTACCGAGACAGCCATCGTTACGATATGAAGAACCCTCACACAGAGGAGGCAGGAGCGTTGGGTGAGATAGTAAAGACAACTTGGTGTATAGGACGGCAAATGCAGACTGGATTGGATAGTGATGGGGGTAACGGGAGTGAGTGAGTGAGTGAGTGAGTGGACATGGAGCTATTTTTCCCAAGGAGGCATAATTGAGCCTCGCCCGATTTTAGGGCCGCGGCGCTATCCACGACGCGCTGCCTCGGCGCGTCACGCGTCGGCTGCGAAAGCCCTGCGACAGTCAATTAGGGTTTTCGACAAAGCCCAGTGCCGCAGCTTTGGTTACTGCATTTGAAGTTGTGCTGCGTCGGTGATTATGTAAGTGTGCGGGCGCTTTACTAACTAACTTAATCAACCAACTAACCTAACTAAACGAAGTGCGTCACTGATCCTGCCTACCTAAATATTGGAGCGGACATTGTCTTCTACTACTGTTATATAACTAGGTACATAGTACTTACTTATACTCTTTCTTTAGCTTATAATTCTACATTATTAGCACACTTTGATTGACAATCAAATAAATCTATGTATCTCCGACCTCCGCCTATTTAAGCTGAAGCTATTCCATTGAGCCTTTCTTGTTGCCCTGCTGCCCTGTAATCTGTCATCCCTGATCACCGCCTTAATACCTCATTGGAGTTTGCAGCTGTTTGCATCATATTGCCCTCCTCACTCATCAACCTTGCACCTTACAGTTAAGTCCTCCTGCAGGTATTTTCCGTCTCGCACCGGCCTGATACCCCACTATTTATCCTGTTATTATCTTCTCCTGCTTCCAAAACAAAACCCAGCGTGCTTTCCCCGTCATGGACGGCGATGTGGTGTCCCAGTTCACCGAAATTACCGGCTCCAAGCCGGAGCTGGCAATCCAGTACTTGCAGCTTGCCGATTTCAACATCGAGCAGGCTATGCAACTTTACTTTGAGAATGGTGGAGCACCGCTAACCGAAGAGCCTGCGCCATCGACTTCCGCGCCCCAGCAAGCCTCTCGCGCCAGGGGATATGAAGATGATTCCGGCGTTGTACACATCGACTCAGACGACAACGACGACGACACCACGGTGGACGAATCGCGGCCTTCCGCCCGCGGCGCTCACTTCGAAGATGATGCGGCCATGGCTCGTCGGCTCCAAGAGGAGATGTACAGAGGGGCGGGTGCTGAAGAAGAGGTGCGCGCACCGATGGCTCGCACCACAGAAACTTTGGTGGGCCCAGAAGCGGACTTTGACGATGGCGACATGCATGCCAGCATTCTGGGCCAACTGCGCGCTCGCCAGCAGCGACACAGTCAGTATAACCCTGTGATACCATTTATCTTCCCGTCTGTCCGTCGCTAACTCATTGTTCCCCATTCCCAAGACCGTCCCGGTATCTTCAATCAAAGAGATACGGCGTCGATATGGCACGGCGAAGATGAGGCGTCACAACGTGAGCAACTGGCAGTAGCGACTGGAGGAGCCTCTGAAGCCTCAAGTAAACAGAACATGCTAGCTGAGATGTATCGTCCGCCGTTCGAGATTATGTCTCGGCTCCCTTGGGATTCCGCTCGGCAGGAAGGCCGCGATACTGAGAAGTGGTTGCTGGTCAACATCCAGGATTCTTCAATTTTCGACTGCCAGGTGCTGAACCGGGACCTATGGAAAGACCCTGGAGTGCGGGATACGGTCAAGGAACACTTTGTCTTCCTTCAATATTCCAAGGACGACCCACGGGCTACACCCTATCTCCAGTATTATTTTCAAGCAAGCGAAGTATCGGACAACTACCCTCACATCGCGATTGTCGATCCTCGGACGGGAGAACAGATGAAGGTCTGGTCTGGTCCTCCAGTTGTGCGGGCCGCCGAATTCTTGATGCAACTTCACGAATTCTTGGACCGGTACAGTCTGAAACACAACGTGCGGAATCCCGTTGCTAAGCGCAAGCCGGAACAGAAGGAGAAGAGCATAGATGCCATGACTGAGGAAGAAATGTTGGAGATGGCGATGAGGAACAGCCTGGGTGAACAGGCGGCCCAAGCCCCGAAATTAGAGGATCCTGATGAGCTTACCCGCAGTACTGGAGACGTCAAAGGTAAGGGGAAGGCGGTCGATGTGGAAGACGCCGACATGGATGAAGAGGAGCCAGGTGAGCATAGTGCATTCGCTGCCATCTCAAATGACAACCCCCACACCGAACCACCGGCCGATCCCGCAACAACGACGCGCATTCAATTCCGCCATCCCTCCGGAAGAGTCATTCGCCGCTTCGCTCTGGCGGACCCGGTTCGGAGGATCTACGAGTGGCTCAAAGCCGAACCTCCGTTGGCAGATAAGCAAGGGGTGGAGTTCGACCTCAATGCCATGGGTCGTAATCTGATCGACTCGTTGGATGCAAGCATCGAAGAAGCCGGTTTGAAGAACGGAACGGTAATGATTGGTTATGTTGAGAATGAATGATCTCACAGTCGATGAATACTTCAATGCTTAGGATCCAGGATGGGTCGCTGTGATGAAGGGAAAGCCCCATTTCTCGCTGAGTGCATCTAGTCCTTCGAGCCTGCACGTTACGAGCTACGAAGGCGGGAGGTTTTATCTAAGACGTACATTCGGAACTATTTCATTGAAGGATAAATTGGGAGAAGATCATTATGGATGATCGGGGCACTATAGAGCTAAGCCAGGATGCAATGAGACACATGAGTTTTGAGCGATAGACTTGATGCAAGTGCTTGACAGAGCATGGAGTACCTAGTACCTTACTATGTGCATGGAGTACAGTACATCGTTCCGTGGCTGTTGGGCCCGCCCAGCCGTAGGTACCCGCAGTTACCGGGCTAGTAGCTGCTGACCGCCATTGAGGACTGAGCCCCACTATTGGCAAGAAATCAAGGCATTGGGCCGGCAGAAACAACCCCGCGTTGCCCCAATCACCGGGCGGTCCCTCCTTCGTTGTTGTTGTTCCATGTTTGGCCCTGCCTCATTACTATCAGTATGCAAGGAGATTCTTCTCTCTCTGCCATCTGAGCTCTGTCTGAGATCCTTACTTGTTTGTAAACTGACAATCGAAGCAAGGGGATCGATTCTGAGAGGACGCTTGTCTGTCTGTTCTTCTAACTTACCGCTTCCTCCCTTCCTCTCCCTCCTTCCTCTCCCCTCGCCCCCTCCTTCAGAAGTGCAAGGCCTGGGTTCAACAAATCCCCCCGCCAGCTGATCGTGCACTGGTCGACCAGTATCTCGCATTCCACGGGTGGCACTTGAGCTTAATCCTCGCTTTCTCGCCCCTGTGAACTCTGACATAGAATTGATCTTCCCCCCTTGTCAACGAATGTTCTCAGTGTTTCATTGAATCTTATCTGTTCGTTCCATACCTCCTAGACTGCTGAATCTAGGCGATCGGTATGTTGTCACCGTTCTCTCATGGCTGATTGGACGATTCATCCACTATAGCTCTCCTCGAAACGTCTTGGCCCGTCCCCTGCTCACTGGCTATTTGGTCCTCCCATAAATATCCTTTGTGTCGGCTGTCAATGCTGATTCTTACATTGACTATGACAGAACCACGCCGAACACTGGCCATTAGCAGGTCTTGAGTCCAAGCACAGCCAAAATGGAAGGTCTCGTAGATCCAGAGACAATTTACATGAAGCAGAATTGCATCGGTACGTATCCGCTTTGCCGCCTCAATTGTTAGCTGGCTTTCCTGACCGACCGTCGTCTAGGTGGCGGAAGTTTTGGGAAAGTATATAAAGGGTATGGTGCTGTCTCTGTTCCCCGTTTGCAGAAGATCTATAAGATCATCGCTCACGCTGTGGTTCAATCAAAGGGTCGATAAACGTAACGGAGCATCTGTTGCGATCAAGATCATCGACGTCGAGAATGCCGAAGATGAGGTTGAAGATATTATCCAAGAGATTGCTATCTTGTCGGAGCTCAATTCGCCCTACGTGACCAGGTATCATGGCTCGTTCTTGAAAGGGTCTAGCTTGTGGATCGTTATGGAGTTCTGCTCCGGTGGTAGTTGCTCAGATTTGATGCGCCCCGGCACCATTCCCGAGGAGTATATTATGATAATTCTCCGAGAGCTGCTCCGGGGATTGGACTACTTGCATAGCGACAAGAAGCTACACCGTGATGTCAAAGGTGCTGTTTATCATATCGTTTATGTATCTGCCCGTCCAACACCAGCTAATTTGTGGTATAGCTGCCAATATCCTTCTCACTTCTAGTGGCCAGGTGAAGCTCGCAGACTTTGGTGTTTCGAGTCAGTTATCAGCAACTATGACTAAGAAAAACACCTTTGTGGGGACACCATTCTGGATGGCACCAGAGGTAATCAAACAGTCGGGCTATGATTATAAGGCCGATATCTGGTCTCTTGGAATAACAGCAATTGAGCTGGCGAATGGAGAGCCACCTTACTCGGATATTCATCCTATGAAGGTTTTGTTCTTGATCCCTAAAAATCCCCCCCCAACCTTGCACGGGGACTACAGCAGAGCTTTTAAGAACTTCGTGGAGCTTTGCCTGCGGAGAGATCCAAGGGAGCGACCTTCAGCCCGAGAATTGTTGGAGCATCCATTCATCAAAAGGGCGAAGAAAACAACATACTTAACGGAATTGATTGAACGCTACGAGCGTTGGAATACTATTCATGGAAATAAATCGACCGACGACGACGAGGATAACTATCAAGAACCTCCATCCAAGAACAGCCCTGTCGACGAAGAAGACGATCTCTGGGACTTTGGCACTGTCCGCCCTGCTGGGGGACGAGCTCCTGCGCTGAAGCCCATGAAAGAAGCTGAAGTGAATGCACGAGCTCATGATATCGCTGAACAAAATCTGAAGGCAAGCAGTCGTTTGGAGTTTGCACGTGATAAAATCAATCCTCCTACTGTGCCGATGCCGCCACCGCGTACTCCAGGCGCTGTATCCGTACCATCCTCACCCTCTAAAATTCCTTTGCCGCCATCTCCTATTAAGTCTTCAGCATCAGAGTTCAGACCACATACACCTTCTTATCTAATAGAGCCAGCTACGCGCCTGCCTAAAGAGAGCCCCGGCAATGAATACGATAGAGCTCTGCAGCAAGCTTTAGCCGAAGACTTGAGTTTCCTCAACCTCGACCAGTCACCAAACATTTCCCTAGCCTCCTCGAACAGCCGCCACGATGCTCATGCAACACAGGGTTGTGAGAGAACGCAACCATCACAATGCACAGAGGTTGCACCCTTTCAGAGACAAAGCCCCTCTCGCGCTGTTCCTGGCCCTTCATGCAGTCAGGGGTCCAGACCTGCGGCAGAATCCAGCCCACATCGTCAGCTGTTCGCACCGCCGCAACCACTGCCTCGGCCTCCACCTACTCCTAGGCACATGTCGCCGCAGTCGCCATCATCCCGATCTCAGCAGGTGCTCGCGCAAAACAACACACCTACCCCAGTGAAGCATAGTCGAAGTCAGTCTCACATCGCGATAGAAAGCTCCTTTGACAGCGCTCCACGGGCAGCAAGCAATCAACCATCACAGTCCTCGTCGACCGAAATTACCGCCTTGAACAGTGTGATATTACCTGCTCTCGAAGCCGCCATACGTCGTCGGGCACGGCGCTTGGACCTTCTTACTCACAACTCCGCTGGCAATAAGAGCACCGATGTTTACAAACAGCAGGCGCGTCAGTACCACGCGCACGAGATGATGGAGTCTCTTGTGGGCGATCTGTGCGGGATGTTCACAAGACTTGAACGTTGGGATAACGAGGCCCCTGTGGGAATGGGCGCCCAAGTCTCGTCGTTCTTAGAGGGGTTTCTCGAAGAAATTCTTGTTCGGATTGAGCCATCCGACGATGATTCGAATTCAAGCGGGGCTTAATTGTTGTCTTCCTGGGGCAACGATGCGGTCCGCTACTGGTATTTAGGCCTCTCTGGTGATGATAACGAATTTTCCTCCACACATATTCGCTGGCAACCTCATCTGTCCCAACAAGCCAGACAGATCTCTATCGTTGGACCACTTTCCATGAATCCAATGCCTGATATTCTCATTGATAAGAGACTTGCGCATTCAAAACCCCTGGATTACACTTTTTTTTCTAGTCATGTCACCTTGACATGTCTTCCTGTTGGAGTCAAAACTTTCTCGTCCTGTTCAATGTATGCAAGACGTTTCTATCCACCTTGGGCTGGAACCTTTGTTATTCACATCATGATTACTGAGAGGGAGTATATTTTCGAAGTCAAGCAGGCTCCTGACTTTGTTCGCCTCCTCTGATTGTTTTTCAAGTTCGCTTTTGTGTTTGGGTAAGAAGTTCTTAATTCTTCCTCTCCCTTTTTTTTCTTCTGTGGCTATGTTTTCTTAGGTTAAGATTGATGGACATAGACCAATTTACTTCAAACGAATTCACGATAGGTCACATGCCTGAATTGTTACATCTCAAAACAAAGGCTCCGTGTAGACTTGACCCTTTCTTAACAGCTTATGTGATATATACTCTAGAGATTTTGTGCCTTCCTCCGGCTTCCCACGGTGTACATTTATCGTGCGCGCCATTATCCCTATCATATATTGAGTGGTAGGACGAGTACCTAGGCTGTCCTCACAGGACTGATAATATGATGCGTAATCATGCTCAAAAGGGTCGAGCCTGCCTCTGTGACATCAATCGTAAGGCCTGCTTCGTCCTCTCGCTTTTTTCGGAAGAGAAGCGTAATTATTCTGCAAGCGGTCGGAACCAAGCACAATTGTGCATAAGCAGGCACCAAGCAGGTATCAAAGAAGCAGAGACTTGTTCCTTGTGAAGGACTTGAACGCGAGGAGCAGCTTGCCCTCAGGGCCACTTTCTTTCTCACTGCCCCTTTGTTGGAACACGCTGTTGCCATCTAAAACCATCGAGACAGGGAACAACGAAGCTCCGAGACGCACCGTTGTCATTGCAGACTAGACAGTGGTACACATAGTCATTGTTCATCGGATCATACGCTTTTGCTGCGTGGCTGCCTGTAATTTGACGGTGATTCCCAAGTGGCTGGAACCAGCAAAGTGTTTTTATGTGTTCGAACTTCATTTAGTGGTACCATTTGACATAGTCGTTAGGCTCGCCAGAGCTCTTTCAACCACTGGGACGAAACAGCCAGTCAGTCTCTGGTGTTGGTATCAGGTAGTTGGTGATGTTGAACTCGTTCGTGTTTGTGTTGGTGCTATCAGCGACAGAATCGGTCGTGTTGCCAGTCCCTGTAAGGCCATTGATCGGCATCTGCTCGTTGACTGCATCCCCCATATCCAAGCTGAGGATCTCAGGGCCTCTGCCGGCCGGCACACGCGGGACATTGAAGAAGCCAAATACATCAAGGTACTCTAGTTCATTGGGGGCTAGATTGCGAGCTGGCGCGACTGCAGGGGCTGGTGGTTGGCTGCCAGCTGGGGATGAGCGCGGCTGTCGTGAAATGAGAAAATCGAGATCAAATGCACAACGACGCATATCTGCTAGGATTTTCACAGACGATGGCGTGACGCGCTCACCCTCATTAGTGCTGGACTGTTGGTATTCGCCATACTCGTCGAGTACGCGCTGTAGGAGTGAGCTGTAGCGCTCTGCCACTTTCCAGTACTTCCCCATTTGAGAAAGGGTGTCAACAAAGAAGATGATATCGGGGCTAACAATATGGGCGATGGTGGATCCATGGACAAGCAGCAGGCGAGCAGAAACCCAGAGAGTGAACGCAAAAGGCGGCCCCATCTTGTCTAGCATGTTATTGTCCACGACATAGCGGGTCACCGAAAGAATGTTGTCAACTGCCAGCAAGCACCGTTGGCTAGCACTGTATGATGGGGTGAAGATTGGAGAACGTGTGGTGGGGTAAGCGGCCGACGAATGGAGTCGAATTACAGCGCTACAAAGTGTTAGCCTTTTTACCGCGGGGCTGAGTGCAAGGGTGTGATATCTATAGCACAGACAGAACTCACGTTTGATATGTAGCATGTAGTTGAACCCAGTCACAGTGGAGATTCCGGCTATGTTTGGGTCCACTGAAGAGGCGAGACGAGTTTTCATAAGCATACTCGGCTGGAAGGTTGAATTCCCAGGATGTGAGTTCGCTATCGAGCTTGCGATACATCACTTGCCATTCCTCGACATCGGAAAGTGCACCTATATCGACGGGTCTCTTCAGAAACGTATGGATCCGGGATAATATCCCTAGAATTTCCACGTAGAGTCCAAATGTTCCCACATTCTCGGCGCGACTCGAATATTCAGCACGATCGCTGGTACGTCGGAACCACCGAGTCTCAACCGGCTGGTTCTTGTGGAAGTATTCATCTTTGCATGGAAGCTTGCGGTCAATATCCTTGTCGTCCAAGGCAAAGTCAAATGCAGTGGCGATAGTTGAGTATCTGTCTAGGAGGTAAACCATCCAAAACAGTCTCCGTCGACTCTCATCCTCAATCCAGGTGTCAGGATCTGGAAGGGTGACTGCGCGCAGGGTATAAATGGAAGGATATAGAGGAGCAATGAGCGAGGATTTAGACTCCACGGCTAGGCCCAGTTGGACTACGGATCGCGTGACTAAAGCAAGTAACTTCCATCCCGGGGGGCCGTTGGATGAGCCTACTAAGTCCAACGCTAAAATCACCAAAGCTTGGAGCGCTTTGACCGAAGAGTTTTCCAGCCCGTAGAAAAGCACCTTCTGCTTAGACGAGTCATGATATCGCTTCCGGTTCTGCGCGTTGAGTCGACTATCATTCGAAAAGCGGAGCGTGGTTGCCACAATAGCATAAAGCACGACTCTATCAGCTTCCTCTAACGGAGAGGGTCCAAAGAACGTATCGAGCGTAGTCCGGCGATGTAGTATTGGACACCATGTGTTGATGTGTTCGAAATAGAGATCGACTAGTGCATATAGTAGATCGTAGGGGGGGAGATCGAGTTCCGGATCAGCGAGTGATTGTTCCTGGCTGTTATACAATGACACCGGGACCTTCAAAGAAGATTCGTTCCCTGTATAATCACTCTGAGTCGAATTATTTGAAAGATGAGGCAACGATATTACAGAAGAGATGCCATTCGGAAGATGATTTGGTAGCGTGTTCCGCACCGACAGCTCCGAAGGACTTGTGATAGAGACATCAGATTGACGAGTAGGGTGCGGGAACGAGGCTGGCTCTTGGAAGTGGAAGGTAGTTTGAGGACTTGTTCCATGAGCGGCAGAAGGCTCTGAAGGCGAACTGTAAGAGAATGGTGCAGGATGAAGAGCATCTTGGCCCAGGCGCGATTGGCCCCCAATGATATGCTTCTCAATGAGGCGAGCCTGCGTCTGGATAACTTCCTCCAAGCGGTCTATATCTCCGATATCAGTCGAGCGGGCTACAAGAGTATATGAGATTGGCAGAAAGCATGCCTACCGAGTCGCTGTTCGAGCTCCTTGCCATACCCCGCACGAAGGCCAGGCTTCTTGCGTTCCTTGTACTCACACAACTGGGCATTACGTGCACACCACCCACAGCTTGGTTGAGCTCGATCTAGCAAGGTTAGCAAGACATGTATGTAGCATTGCACTACCACGCGGCTTACCTACCACATTTGACTTTCCTCTGCTTACAAAGCTCACACCTGGTAGTTAAGGAGGTTAGCAAGGTCGGTAGGACAGTCACTACTGTTTCACAAAGGAAGGTATAGGGCGAATGCAGATGCAAGATGCCGGAAGAGTATTCAGGCATCAAAAGCTTGTTTAGGCCCGCTTTGAAGAGGAGACATACGAGACAGTGAGGGGGCGCTTGCGCTTCAATGCTCGAGAAGCACTCGAGTCGTTCTGGGCCACACGGTCATTGTCACTGTCAGCAGCGGACCAAGACTCATCTCCGCTCTGATACCGTTCTGGCTCGCCAGAAGGTCGATATGGCGGTGGAGTCCGCTCAGCAGGAGGAGCTGTTGGTGGCTCTGGTGCTGCAGCAGAATCCGGCATAGCACTTCACTGTACTTCGGCGAATCGGGATCTGCAAGGAAGGAGGGGAGGGGGGAGGGAGGGAGGGAGATAGGTCGGTTTAGCCACGGCAATTGGTATCAGTAGTCAGGAAAACCTCATGATGACAGGGGGGAGGGGGGTGGGTTGAGGTGAAGATCGGGGGAGGAATTGAACCGAATTGAACAACAAAAGAAAGAGACCGGGAAAGCGAAGGGGAAGAGGCAGAAAGGCGAAGAGCAGACAGACAGGCCGGCAGGCAGGCGGGCGGGAGTGCGTGCGGTTGCGGGCAGGCTAGGCTAAGGCCCACGGGGTTTAGGTGGGTTTGGGTGGGTTCCATGAACAGATGGGCAAGACCCAAATGGGGAATAGCCTTTCACCCCCGCAATCTCTCTCCTACGGCGGCGCTTCTTTGTCTGGCTCGTTTTCATTCAGGTTGCACCGTTGCAGAAGTTAGAGGTTGGGGCAAGGCCCGATCCGCCAGTCAGCTGACGATTTCGATGAGAAGAGAACCTCGACGCTGTTGACCTCGGCCACTATTACCCCGAACTTGCGCTGCCCGCCCGGGGCAATGGAGAATTATTTCCCCTCGATGCCATTCCGGTCGCATGTGTTCAAATATGAGAAGTTTTCCAGGGGATGAAATGGCTTTCTTCTTCCTTTTTCTTATTTTCTAAGAATCTGTACGCGTGTGTGAATTTACATTCTGTTGTCTGTACAGCATCGTCACCATGAGCAGCACCACGCCCACTTTCCCCCGCATCAAGGAAGTTCGCACTTTCATCACCAGCGGAGTGGGCTCCGGAGGTGACTATCACAATGTAAGTCGCAGCCCGGTATTCGCCGCGCATGTGGGAAGAGACGCCCTAACCTTGCTTTCTCTCTTCAGGTCAAGGGTGGTCACTGGCTGATTGACAGCGATATTTCGACCCCTATGACCAAATGGGCAGAATACCGTGGCTCGCGGACCTCCTGGGGTATCAACGTCCTCGGCTCTTTCTGCGTCGAGCTGGAAGCCACCGATGGAACCAAGGGCTTCGCCACGGGCTTTGGTGGTCCCCCCGCTTGCTGGTTGGTCCACCAACACTTCGAGCGTTTCTTGATCGGTGCTGGTGAGTCTTTATTTGAAGATTTTCTCCATATTATAGAATGGACGACCACTAAGCCCCGTTGTTTCATTGATAGATCCCCGTGATACCAACGACTTGTTCGAGAGAATGTATCGGGCTTCGATGTTCTACGGCCGTAAAGGTCTTCCTGTGGCCGTCATTTCCGTGATCGATTTGGCGCTTTGGGATCTCGTGGGAAAGATCCGTAAGGAGCCCGTCTACAAACTCATTGGCGGAGCGACGCGCTCACGGCTGCACTTCTACTGCACTGGGCCGCAGCCCGCCGCCGCCAAGGCTGCCGGCTTCATTGGCGCTAAAGTCGCCCTCCCCCACGGCCCCGACGAGGGCACTGAAGGTCTGCTGAAGAACGTTGCCTACCTGCGTAAGCAGCGCGACTCGGTCGGCCCCGACTTTCCCCTGCGTGTGGACTGCTACATGTCCCTGAATGTCCCCTACACCATTGAGCTCGTCAAGCGCTGTGAAGCTGAGGGCATCAACATTGACTGGTGGGAGGAGTGTCTCACCCCGGATGACTTCGACGGCCATGCACTTCTGAAGAGAGCCCACCCCACGGTCAAGTTCACCACCGGCGAGCACGAGTACTCCCGCTACGGTTTCCGCAAGCTGATTGAGGGACGCAACCTGGATATTGTGCAGCCTGACGTGATGTGGGTTGGCGGTCTGACCGAACTCTTGAAGGTCTCAGCCATGGCCGCTGCCTACGATATCCCTGTGGTCCCCCACGCTTCAGGCCCATACTCATACCACTTTGTTGTCTCCCAGCCCAACACACCGTTCCAGGAGTACCTGGCCAACTCCCCCGACGGCAGCACTGTTGAGCCCGTCTTCGGAAATCTGTTTTTGAACGAGCCGATCCCCAGTCAGGGCTACCTGGATGTGTCGATCCTAGACAAGCCCGGATTTGGCCTCGAGCTGAACCCCGCTGCTCCCCTTATCAACGCCGCCACTATCCTCACCCCGGCTCCCCAGAAGGGCTTGCCCGCTCCGGTAGCGGAGCAGCCCGAGACCAACGGAACTGCATAGAATGATTGATCTCGATGGAAGGCTGTTAACAGGATTGCGCAGCGCGCAGTGGATCCTACTTTCCATTGTCATTGCCCTTTTCCAGATGTCCCATGTATGACTGATGCTTTTTTTTTTCTTTTTGCCTGATGTTACTCCATGTTCATAGACGGAAAAATCTCATTGACCGACCAATGGTCCCGACCGTGGAGAATTGTACTGTGGCACCGCCGAATCGGCTAAATGTAGCGACACGAGCAAGTGTGGGGTAAAAACAGGTTAGCTCGGGGTATCAATACTGCGAAACCCCCGAGACCGACCGCGGCGACTCCACGTGCCCCATTTCCAGCTTCCCCACTATCTTATCGCTTCGGCGGGGTTGGCCTTGATTGTAGCACTTGAAAAAAACAGAATTCGACTCCTCCAGCGAGGTCCAAATCTAGAGGTAGAGATATATTTAGGTATTTCCCCCGGATACTCGCCCCCGATTGATCTCTTCTTACGACTCTGGTGGGTAATCGGCCATCATTCAACAAAAATCACAACACCATGCCGCTTCCACAGCTCCTAATTGGCAAAGTGGCCGCCATCACAGGTGGTTTGACCGGTATTGGCAGAGTGAGTACCTTCTTTTCCCCTGGGGCTCTGCGATGGGCTTCCCAGAGATAGCAGAGCCGGCCCCGACCAACTGAAATTCCTGAACAGGCCATTGCCCTCGACTATCTTCGCCACGGCGCCAAGGTAGCCGTCAACCACCTCGGCGGCCCGAACGATGAGCCACTCCTCGAGGCGCTGCGCAAGGACGTGTCCGAGGTGACCGGAGACGAGGAGACCAGGTTCATTACCGTTGCGGGGGATATCTCCCAGCCCGAGACGGGGCGCGAGTTTGTCGCCAAGACGGTAGAAGCATTCGGACGACTGGATGTGTTTGTGAGCAATGCGGGCGTGTGCAAGTTCGAAGAATTCCTGGAGTGCGTTTGATACTTACTTGCTTGCTGGCTTGGCTTCTGCGGTGGCCGTGGGAAATACAATGCTAATAGTTCCATCTCTGACAGGGTCGACCCTCCCCTCCTCGGCCACACCTTCAACACCAACCTCTCCGGGGCATTTTACGCCGTCCAGGCGGCCGCGCGACAGATGGCGCTCGCCCAGTCGCCCCCCGGCGGCTCGATCATCGGCATCAGCTCCATCTCGGCGCTGGTCGGCGGAGGGCAGCAGACCCATTACACGCCCACCAAGGCAGGCGTGCTCAGTCTCATGCAGTCGACGGCCGTGGCGCTGGGCAAGTATGGCATCCGCTGCAATGCGCTGCTGCCCGGGACCATCCGCACGCAGCTGAACGACGAGGATATGAGCGACCCCGCGAAGCGGACATACATGGAAGGCAGAATCCCGCTGGGACGACTGGGTCAGCCGCGGGATCTGGCGGGCCCCGCTGTGTTTCTGGCGTGCGAGGAATTGAGTGGCTATGTGGTGAGTTTTTGCACGATAGCTGTGATTATCTTCTATTACCGAGTACCGTTACTAACTACTAGGGATTGGAACAACAGACCGGTGCGCAGCTACTCGTAGATGGTGGATTGTTTGTGAATCTTCAATAGATTGGGATCTTGTATTATTGACTGACACCTTGCATATCACGTCGCATATATAGCTAGCTATAAATAAGCCTGATCGTAACCATTAGTACAGACTCAAATCTCCACGCCGTAAGCCTTGACAGCAACACCGCCCCAAACCCCTTCTCTCTCCGCCTGGGACAAGCCTCTGCGGTCCAAGATCTCCTCGACGACCCTCTTCCACCGGCCCCACGAAACCGCATTCCCTCCGCCGCCGACATTGCAAACCGGCCAATCCGACCCAAACATGACCCTCTGCGGCCCAAAGACATCGAACACGACATCAGTCCACGGCTGAATCCTGTCCACCAGCGCCTTGACGTTCGGCTCCGTCCCTTCCTCCAGCGGCAGCAGCTCCGAAAACCCTCCGGAGAGCTTCATAAACGTCGAAGGATACTGCGCCATGGCCATGATCAAGGCCGACCACTCCAAGAAATCCGGATGAGTAGCAACAGAAGCCGGGCCACGATACGGCAGGCGAAGATTCGGCTTACAGAGATGATCTAACACATCGCAAGTCAGAATCTTCCCCTTCCCCTTTTACCCACGAGCGAGCATCTTACGCGAACCCGGAATCGAGGGGGAAACACTCACTAATAACGACCTTCACGCGCGACCCATCCTGAAACACCAACCTCAACATCTCCGCCGCCTCCCTCAACTGCCACATCCCGCCCTGCCTCGCATCGACCCCAAGATCGAACGCCAGCCCCTGTCGCCCCAGCCATCGCAACCCCTCCACGAACCCAGCCTGCACCATCACCCCGGCCGGCTTATCCTGGACCAGATACCGTACCCCGCAGACTTTGTGAAACAGAGCATCCCCAGTCCGCTCCCGCACCAGCCCCATATACCTCTCCAACACCCCCGGACCCCCGGGCACCGGCGCCCACGGCACCATCCCAAGACACAGGTGGCGATCCGCCGCCGTATGACCCTCCCCGGGCACGGGGTCGCCCGCGATGATCCGCGTCAGGAGGGAGACCTCGTCCAGCGCGTGGGACCAGCCGCGTTTCTCCGAGTGCTCGTCCACCGAGGAGATGCGGTCGGTTTCTAGGAAGATGAAGCCCCGGAGATAGGGCGCTGCGCCGCGGGCGGCGCTCGGGCTGGTCGCGATCGAAGAGGCAGTCGCCTGTCGATACTCGTTGACCGAGTGCTGAGCGCCCAGTGGGTTCTGTGGCCCATGCCAGGCCAAGGTCGGTAAGTGGGATTCGGGGAATAGGTGGATGTGTGAGTCCACGATGGGGATGGGCTTTGGCATCTTGGTTGGTGGGTGGATTGGTTTGAAATGGTTTTTTTTGGTTCGGCTGGTTTCTTCTTCTCTTAACAATCAAGGAGGGACTGGTCTTGGAGTGTTATTGTGTTCTGCTAGGCTTGGGTTGTCGAAAATTGCGGGGTAATCTTAAGGACGATTGGGGAATCTACTGCGGTGCTTAGCCCCGAGGAGGTAAAGCGGAGGGGCGCAAGCTGGCGAGGGGATTTTCAAATCGACAGAAGAGTAGGCTTGAGCTTTCGCGAAAGATGCAATGTAGAGTACAATTGAAGTTTGGGAGGAATATTCCTTCAGGATTACGTCGCGTGTGTGCGGGGGGGAGAGGGGCAATGAGGAGCTCGAGATCTTCTGACTTGTTTACTCATACTTCGCTTGTCAGACGATCGATCGGTAGCCATTACTCCGAATAGATTGTCTCCGACTCCACTCTCCAACAAATATACATAGTATCTTCAACCATTCTCCACATCTTATCTGCTCTGCTCATCTCCCGGTTTGTCCTCCGCAGAAGATTGAGCGCCAATTTGTTCCATGGAATCGACCGCTGGCCGATGGCCCTTAGAACGGCGCCCGGGTCAACTCATGTGGCCCTCATTGCTGATAGCGTGATCAATGAGCCCGTTGACCTCTATTCAATCTCGCCGTATGCTCCGGTATGCTTAACAATCCACTCACGATTTTGCATTGCACGGCGGCAACCTTTCGATCGTCAATCTTGCGAGTTGTTCGGTTACGAAACAGATCCAAGTGTTGAGCAGTCAGAGCCAAATATATATTGAATGGACGGGGACAATACTCACCTGTTAAGAAGTCTGGGATCAAACACACGAGAGAGTCAAGACATACTCCGGGAAGACATACACTCTGCGACCAGCAGGAGAGATGCTAAAAAAAGCATCAACCCACTTTCTTTAAAGCTATACACAAAAAGGCTAGGAAGGGAGAGAATCTCATGCTTCCTATACTCCGAAAAGGCAAAAAGTAATGACCTACGCAGGGCTCGAACCTGCAATCTCTTGATTCGTAGTCAAGCGCCTTACCATTGGGCCAGCAGGCCTTGCTGTTGAAAACTCTGCTGCTTAGTTAGCAGTATATGACAAGATTAAAGATTGACCTAAAACCGATTAGGTTGAATTGTGGCTAATCGACAAGAGTTGATCTCATATCTCTTTGGGTAAGCTGCCCACAACTCACGGTACACGTTCATTGTACGCTTACCCGGACAGCGGAACGAGGTCAACAATCCTCCCAGTAAGGCTCGTCGAAGGCCGCGTCGAACCATGGCTTCTGCGTGACTTTTGTGTCACCGGGCGCAAACAAGTCTACGAACTTTGGGCTATTCGCTGTGATGACATCAGTAGTACTCTAGTACACGAAGCAGAGGCGGCCGATGCACGAGAATGATCGATCTCAGAGGAAGCACGAAATAAGCTGCAAGGCTGCCAGGTCGATATTGAGATAAATGAAATTATGATATGCGGAGCACAGAAAAACATAGAAAGTCACCAGCGGCAAGGGTATAAACGAAAGAAACCACCCAGTGCAACGCTATCTAGTTCTTTCAAAAAAAGTGGAAAATCTCTTGAAAGAGGTAAACGCAGCGCCCGAAATTCATCGAACTCGCTTGCTATTGCCGGTAGTCGTAGCTGAAGACGGCCTTTTCTGACCAGCACCTCCGTCAGTAGATGCCAGAGCACGGATCAGCGCGTCCAGCCGGATGATATAAGCCTTGGGCGCGCGGTCTACCTCCACCCTGCGCAGGATCCCCTTCAACTTGTCCTCAAACTGATGAAGATCCTTGAGGGGAAGGTGCTCGAGAACATCAAGGACAAAGAAGTCTCCAGTCTCGTGGGTCCTGCCAATGAGCTGGTGATAGAGATTGCGCTGGTCCTCGTCCTCGCCGTCAAATGTCTCCCGACCCCAGTCATTGCCCTCCAAGGGATCCCGATTACGGCCGCAGATGTCTTCCAGTAATATTATGAGCGCTTTTGCAGCTCCATCAGTGCCGTACGGTGCCCGCGCCATAACACTCCTCTGGACTCGGTGAACATGGCCTTGGATCTCCTCCAGCACAGTGCTGGCCGTTAAGTCTTCGACTCCCGTCGGAAGCTGTCCGGTCCGACAGTATCGATCGAAGTCAGCGAGTAAGCTGCGCAGTCTCTGCTGGACCTTGTCAAAGTATATCACCGCACAAGCCCCGATGGGCATCGCTTTACGCAGGCTGGCGTAAACTGCATCGTCGTGGACCGCCAGCCGGAACAAGGTAGCCTCGAAGTCCCCCTGCACCACGCACTGCTCGGGCGTGCGCGACTGCCCCGGGTCATCACCGACAAGGTCCGGACGGAAGTCCTCGGGCAGTATGGCGCTATCAAAGGCGGACATGATATCCCTGACCATCTCCTGACGGTTCATCCCCCCGTGGGCTTCGAAGTGCGAATACGGCCAGTCAAAGTCGTGCGCAATGGTAGGTATCTTGCAATCGAGCAGTTGTATGATGCGTTCAAGGTTCGGTAAGCGGTCATGGTCGGATAGAGGAATGTCGGGGGTAGGAGGTCGTGAGAAGAGGCGGCCTTGAAGCTGGTCGTGAAGCCACTTCTGACGGTTAGTATCGAAGGATAGTAGCGAAGGAGAGCTTCCCCGACAGGTGGACTAGAGTCATACTTACATAGATATGTTGGCAGGGTACACTGGGTTGACTCGAGTACGTTGGACAAGTGCAAGTGACAGACTCTGCGCCGAGATGAACGTGAGGCCGCTCTGACAACTGGAACCCGTATCCTGTCTGCGTCTCATGGCAGCGGGCCACGTCGAAGTGACTCGTCAATCCCACCAGAGCTCTGGCCTTGGAATCGACATCCAGCCTGGAGAGGTCGTAAGAAATGCCCGACTCGCCATGTACAATCGAGTGTGCTGCCGGGGTTGCCCTTTCGCCAGCGCTGGAATCGCTTCCACTATTCGAACCATCGCTGTCATCGCTGTCCTCGGCCTGGTTTCCGATGATCTCTTTTCTGGGAGGAACTGTTGGCATGCCACCGGTAATTGACAGTCTTCGAAGTTGGCGAGTAGGAGTAGACATGAATACTCGGTCGTGCTTCGGCAAAAGCCAGACTTCAATTAGATGTGTAGCTGTGTAGCTGTGTAGTGGGGACAATACCGGACATGCGAAACTGACATTATATAGAGTTTGCTCCGAACCAGGGACGAAAGCGGGTACTGTTTGCTACCAGTGCAGACATCCAGCTGGGGCAGTGACAATCACAGGGACTTGATCAGTCCTTATCGCTTGGTACTCAGTAGAAAAAACTGCAATTGCAGTGCCGCAATAGTGATAATCAAAACTGGATGACTATTTGCCTACTAGATAACCTAGCCACGGGATTCATGACTTCCAAGTTGTGATTCTGCGCCGCAGAAGAAGACGGATCTCGGTACTGTATGTGCGGAAATTCCATACCGACGCAGCGGAAATTAGTTGCCCGGAGCATTTTCAACACTTCTTGTCAATATTGCTAGTCAGCTTTTTTCCTTGAAGCCATTGGTTACCTGAGCTCTACAATACCAAGATGGCACTACGAGTATTTTTCCAGTTCCACACCCACTGGTTGCGAAAAGACTTGGGTCGCTCCGTGCCTCGTATTGCGGACCACATATCAAGGTGGGCTGGTGTAGATCACCACTGGTAGCAACTTGTCAAAGACTGCGCCTCAGGGTTTGCGGTCGACGTATCTACTGTTTCAGTCGCGGCAGGCTGAGAGGTGAGTAGGTCGGTAAGCGAACAAAGCACTCAAGCTTTGTGGTTGTGGTGCCATCGCTGCGCTGTGCCGCTGGGTCCATCGCAGCCACTCGACATCGATTATCGATACTAGACGTGCGGCGCATCTCAAAATGTACAGTACATACAGCCTCAGCTTGCAACCTCCACACTTCGCAGCAGAAGACCTTTCTCCCTCACTGTGCCGCAGTCCTCATAAGTGAACATACTTTACCTGGAAACATTAGCATTAAAGTTATGTGGCCAACCGCCGCCCCAAGAAAGAAGGAAAAAGATAAGAGGAAAGAAGCATAAGGCTCCACGGGACTTCTAATTACATAATAACAACACTGATGATGTATGTACTGAGATAAAGCTGTTTCTACAAACAGCAAGCTTGTGCTCGTGCTCATGTGACCTTTCTTGCAGCGTTTCTCTTCTTCGCATTCTCCAATGCCTTGCGAAGTCGCTCTTGATGCTCGTTAATTTGCACAGGCTGGCCTGAGGTAGGCTTGGTGGCGGAGCCGGGACTCGGTGAGCGAGCATCTTTGGGCGGCTGTACAGGCTCCTGCAACAGAGCAGGCGATTGCTCGGAGGCAGTATCGTGGCCGAGGGAACGGAGAATATCCTTGATGTTAGCGGCCACCTGGGCTGGCCCTTCCCTAACACTCTCAAGCTTGGATTCTAGATCATCTTGGATCTTCTTATCTTCTTTCTTTTTCTCCGCCTCTAGTTGACGAAAAACATCAGCCTCGGCGTCTGAGCATCGAGCCTCAGCAACAGATACACCATAATCAGCGTCGTTGAGAAGTGCATCAGCGATACCGAAATTCTCGAGTATGGATTCGGAGTCCTCGCGCAAGCAGTCAATGAACTGATTGGCTGATCTGAATAATTGCACAATTTCACTCTCTGAGAGAGGAGAAGAACGAAGGCCTGCCACATCGATTCGTGATACCTTTGCAGTGATGTCATCGAGAATCCTCTGGTTCTCTCCTAGACCATGCATGATAACATCATCGAAAGAGTCCATCAATCGATTGGCTCTCGCATCCCGTTCCCGAGCAGCCTCCAGCTTATTGCGCTTCTCCATCTGATCGAATTCTTGATCCAGCCGTTTGAGGGCAGTCGAGTCGCCCATAAAAACAAGAGGCCGCCTCTCAGCTTTCTTTCGTCGACGTTCGCGATCTAAAGCAATCTCGAGGCGCTTCTGATAGCGAGCCTCCAGGTCACGATAGATCTCATTGACGGTCTTCATTGTCTTAGACACGTGACTATGGTCATTTGCCGTTTTCTGGATCGTATCGTCACCGTCGTCAAGCTGGGCGAGAGCGGCTTCATAACCGGTTTGCAATGCCATGACCTCCTCTTCCAATCGTTTATCCAGCGGGTCAAAAACGTGTGCAATAAAGTCGTTCAGTTCGTGCCTCTCCTCCTCCAGCTGGCAGCGAGCTTCTTTCTGACGGAATTCCTCCTCGAGGACATTGATATCAGCATACCCTATCTCCTTTGCGTTGAAAAGGGCATCAATATGTCTTTCGGACTCATCCTGACGTTGGACACGTTCCTTCTCCAGTGCCTCCCTACGAGACTTATTCGAAGCAACCCAGGTATTTATCGCCTCTTGAATGTAAGTGAAGTCATTGGTTATTCCCTTGGGCTCCTTTTTCGTGGTAGTTCCAATACCGCTCACAGACTCTTTGCTCAGTGACGATGACACGATTGAGCGTAAATCGTCCAAGGGGTCGGGAATTCTACCTTGTCTTAGGGAGGCAGGTAGTGGTGGGAGAGTCGACGACTTCTGGGAAGCTGTTTTTCGGTACGCAATACTTTTCTCCCTGATGAGGCCGATGAATGTTTCGTCCTGCCCTGCTTGGTTTGGTGTCTCTGCAGGGAATGAGAGGTCTTCTGATGCAGGAAGCAAGCCATTGGACATCACCCGCCCGCTTTCAGCAGATGCTTGACGCAAGGCAGAATAAGCTTGATAAGCCGGACGATCAAACACGAGGGCATCTGAGCCCCTTTGAGGACCCTCCGTGTAACGGAACGGCGTGTAAATCGGCTGTGGGGGATGGGTAGCAAGTGGAGAGAGGTCCTGCTTATGTGCTGCAAGATCAATCATCGTAGGCGGTACTGAGGCAGGTCTTGAGGATGACATCTGTGCATCAAGGGAAGGGGCAACAGCATGTGAAGGGGAACTTTTCACACTTGCAGGGTCAGGTGTGTGAAGCCTAAGGATTGGTCGGCCACCCGGACTGTAGCTGCCACTGTAGCTGCCATCTCTTGGTTCGTCCGCAGTAGTAGTAGGTACAGCAGTGTCCTCAGTTTCCACCGGGCACAGTCCAGATTCCACAGGAGAGGACACACGATCGATGTCGTTGCTGTTTGCATGAGCAGTTAGTGTCGTCGATGCTGAAGGAGAAGTGCCTGTCATTGTCTGGTTGGCACTCTTTGGGTAAGGTTCAATGCTATACAAGACTTCACGTAGCTTTGCCTCCTTGGCCATGAAACTTGTGAAAATCTCAAATCGATCTGAGTCGGTATCTGCCGTCGCCTCCTTCCGTAGCATTGCCACATATCGTTCCAGAGAGGATTTGGACCAGGTATCAAGATCGTCGAAGGAATCGGGCCGATCTAATGGCGCAAGTGCTGTTCGATGTGTTCCTTCGAGTTCACCGGCCTTATTTTCGATCCCATTTAAACTAGTCTTGCTCTCATCTTGCACTGCATGTTCTGAGTCTGCATCATCACATAGGTCAGGCTTTTGTGAGTTTGTTGTAAGAGGGCGAGTCCATGCTTCAATGACACCATCAATACTCTCCACGGTCTCTGAAGTAGAGACGGAGCTATGGATTGACGCAGTACTATCCGCTCTGGCATTCATGCCAAGCGAGACGGGTGATTCGTAATCGTCCTGTACTGTATCAACACTCACGGGGGAATCATGAATCCCCGGCTGCGTGTTGATATACCCCGTGTGCAAGTCCGATGGAGGTGGCCCAGAACTACTAGGGAAGTTATGAGGTGCTGATTTCGATGCTTGAGGTAAGTGAGAGGGGGGTCCCGAGCCCACTGGGCTCGCGTGTTCACGTATGGGAGCTGAAGCCGCAACATCGTCAACGTTCCCTGGTGTCGGCGATAGATGCTCCCAGGCAGAAGGAGTACCAGGGCTAAGAGCGGAGGCGCTAGTAGCAATTGAAGTGGGATTGGTTTTGGGTGGTACCGGAGGCGCGGCGACAGGTAGCAATTCAGGGGCTATGCTAGTGGTTGTCTCATAAACCCACGGAGACTGGGTTTCTGGATGTCCAATGACATGTGACGAATGGGGTTGCTGTGGGCTTGTAAGTGGAGGCAGTCCTGAATCAGGCGCTGGAGGCCCTACGAGATGGGCTTGAATTGGTGCTGGTGGGCTGGGCTGCTGTACGGGAGAATCATGAGGTTGATTGAAGACGGCGCTAGAATATGGTGGAGGTTGTAAATGATTCTGCATTTGGCCGCCGGAGTGAGAAACGAAGCCCTGGTAACCAGAAGGAATAGGAGGTGGTGGCGGGACCTGTGTTGGTGCGAAATCAGTCTGTTGATGGGATGCAAATGGAGGCGCGCTCCATTGCGGATATGGATTCGATGCATCTTGAGCTGCCTGCATTGGAGTTGCCGACGAAGGCCTTTTGACATCCAACGAGCCACCGGCGGAAGAATTCGTCTGGATAGAATGGGATTGTGTCGTGCTTGAAGGTCGCGGCTGGGGAGTTTGTCAGTTACGAAAGCCCCCAAATTCTGGTAATACTGCCAGGTGTATGTGTATAGAGTGTACTGTACTTTAGTACACTTACCGGGAGTGGTGGGGGGCTCGGGTCCTGAAACTGCTGCCTGTTGTATTTCACTCCCCATGAAGTTGTGTCCATTCCTGCCATATTGGAGGTTGGAGAGACATTTGCGCCCGCGTTCTTCACCACAGGAGAACTGGCATTCGGTCGCGATCCACCCTGATTAGGTGTTGGGCGAGCCGGAAGAGGGGGGTTTGCCTGCCATGACGGCTGTGGGGGATTGTGCGACGTCGCAGTACTTGAAGCAGTAGTGGCCGACGTGAGACGCCATTCTGGTTGTGAAGGCCCTGTATTCGACCCGTACATCTCCTTATCAAGTTTGTGTTTTCAACAGAGAAGTTTGCCTTGCGCGAAGTAGATCCTCTTCCTCGAGAACAGTGAGGTGAAAAAGAATGACAGAGCGGGAAGAAGAGAAGTGGCTGGCTGATCTAAGAGAAGCACGAGGAATAGAAAGAAACAGATGGATGGATGATTGTCCTGCTGACTTTGGGTGGCACCAGATCAACTTAACAGGAAGAAAGCTGAGCTGTACTATACCCCCTTCCCTGGTGACCTAGTTTATCTGCGGTCGTGGTATTATTTATCGAACCCTCGGCGTATGGATGGGGGACGGGGGGAAGAAGGGTCGGAAGGAGAGCCGAGCGAGGCGGTGCCGAACACCCACTGCAATACCTACAATACCGTGCCGACTTCACTTATTCTCCATCCACTACCCTCTTCTTCTACTTCTCTCGTTCTCGAGCCTTCGGATAATGCGAACGAAAAGCACACCACTTTAATTTGCCTCGTTTTTACATGATAGACAGCTCAGGCTGAGCACACACCTTCATTGTTCAAGAGTATGAGGACCACCTGAAATAGGAGAACGGGCAGAGGCAGACGTTCCAAGGTTTATTTCCGTCCTTTGTTTATGCGCGCGATGCTGTCTCGGAGGGACATTTTCTCAAACGTGGACCACTTCCAAATCATTATTGACTGGTGAGCCTTACGAGCTCATTCCCCGCAGTTTACATGCTCTGTCTTCCTTTGTGCCCTTTGCGTTCTTTGTTGCTCGAAGTCGCGCGAAGTGGTAGCCCTGCCAGTACCACCATGTCTAAAAAGGTCAACACACCCAACAAGCGTTGGGGCAAACGCGTAGTTCTCTTCTATCAACCCGAAATCTCATTTTCAGAAGACTCTTATCATCTCTCGAGCACAGAACCTGGGAGAGAACCAGCAATTGCACCATGTCGGACAACAAAATCCCTCCTAATTATCATCTGCGGCGTCCCCCTGATAACGTGATACTGCCGCTGCCGCTGCCCCCGAGGCCCAACTTGTACGATGAGGTCGAATGGGGACAGCATGTGAATCAGAACGATGCCCGCATTGCTCACCGCTTCTGGTTTCGCGCAGACTCGGCGATTCAAGCAGACCACAATACTGCAGGGGAGAGGCCATTCTTGCGCCCAGTCGATGACGAGGAGAGGGCTGCGGACCATATGCATGCCCTAGCACGTAACATTTACAATGACCTGATGCGTCAACATCTCACCCCGGTTAACCCCAATGATCAGGGGACAGCATGGACGAATCACTCGTGGCATTTCCATGACATCTTCCCAAAGGACGAAAGATCCCAGGACGATGACGAGATTATCCGGTGGACATTCTTCGAACCCAAGGCGACCCAGTCCTTGAAATCTGACCAACTCAAAGAGGCTCTTGTTGAGAGGGGCCTCGACCCCAAGGGTACAGTGGCTGTACTGCGCCAGCGTCTTGAAACATACCAGACAGCAGGGCCGGAGTGTTATCGGGCCCTGCGGCGCAGTGACCTCTCCCGTTGGGGAGTTGAAAGGACAGGCATCAGTCGCCTGTTTGCGATCAACATCTCAGAGGATGAGACAGCACGTACAGTTGACCTGTACACTTGCGCCATCCTCCGAAGTCCATACAACCCTATGTACTGGATGGGTCGAGCTTATTGCCACTACCGACACGCCATGGTTGACCTTGCCATTGGGGACGCTTATCGAGCCCAGCTCCTACTTGAGGTGTTAGTCAATCCTTTAAGACGAAACGTTCAACCTGGCCTTTATACTCTGGTCTGGCATGCGATTGAGCAGCACATTGAGGTCGGCGGAGTGCAAGATGAGATTCGCTTGCGGCGCCGTGGCAATGGAATCAACTACTTTATTCCAACCATGCGCAAGGCACTTCAGAACATTATCTGTCTCAGTCTCATGGCTCTTCAAGGGTGGAATGATCAACCGCACTTCGAGCAGGACCTTGTGGACAAGGTTATCATGAATGATCGCGATACGCTACCGTCCAAACGGCGCCCTGAGGTTTTCAAGAAGATAAAAGGATCTTCGACGTGCAATTGGACACTGACCAAGGACTACGCTCGCAGTACCCTGTATCACGAGCGACGTAGTGGGTGGAGTTATGGAGACAGACCCTATCCCTATGAAGCAGATGATACGGTGAGATTGCCCAAGACCGGCGAAGGGGAAGGCTTTGCGGAAAAGGCAAACGAGTTATTCGTCACCAGGAATGCCAGTCTCCCCTGGAAGAAATGCAGGATCGCGATGGAAAGAGAGCAAAGGTATATGATGTTGGCGACCGATGACATCGCCAAAGATGAACTCATCTGGGTCGAAATACCTTCAGCCCGGGGCCACCTTGCCATCAAACGACCGCCACTTCCCCAAGACCACGTCCCCGCGAGGATACTCGACTGTGATAACTGCCGAAGAGTGATCACTTCCAATGAGCAGCGTAGGCAGAGCGATCAGCTCAGCCAGGCGAGAAGGGCTAACCCGAAAGACAAAACCACCAGAGAAGCATGCGGCTGTATCGACAGTGACCCGCCTATTATATTCTGCCCTGCTCGGGGAGAAGACGGCGACGAAACCTGCGCTGAGAACGCTCGGAGACGATACCACTTCCGTGCATGTGGGAAGGATTGGGAATGGCTCCACGACGCCATGCGACCTGTCGTCTACAGATTCAAGGATAAACAAACGTGGCTCTCACATTCCAACGAGATGCATGGCACCGTGTTAAGCCTCCTGCTCCGGGAAGTCCTCGACATAACCCTTCTCAGACGGAAGACAAACCCTACTCTTCACGCACACGAGCTCGACGAGCTCTTCGCCCTCGAAGGCTGCGCGGACTGGGCTAACCAGAGCTTCCCCTTTACATTTGCCGCCAACATCCAGGTCCCCATTGACATCCTGATGACCCTGGGCGTCGACATATTCCGGGACCTCAGTTTTGATACCTGGGTGATTCAGCGGGTGCTACAGAAACTCCTGGTGAACGCCGTACCCTGGGATCAGGGCCTACGCGTCAAGATCAACCGAAACGACAAAATCAAGAAGGGCTGGAGGTTCCCAAGACCCAGTCAACAAAAGGAATGGCGTGAAGAAAAGTACGAGAAGTATGACCCCACCTGTCGGTTTTTACACCTGTTTCCGGGATTCAGCTTCTTCGATCATGCGTGCAAGGACAACGGCAATGCGCAATGGGGATATGACACGGAGATCCCCAATCGATTGCTCGTATGGGCAACTAAACCGATTAAGGCCCAGGAGGAGATCCGCATCTCGTATATTTCCGATCGAGATAGAGACGAGAGAGAGTCTGTCCTACAGCGTGTGCTGGGTAAGCCATGTAACTGTCCTGGGCCAACACATGCCGCACCCGATGGTCCTGCGTCACCCGACCCCCATCTTCCTACAGGGCCATCACGAGCGCGGACTAAGTCTTCTCGGCCCCGACCGCACGATTCTTCTGAAGACGAGTCCAGTTGACGGAGGGTGGAACTGCTCAGGGTGGAACTGCTTAGGGCAAACAGCAAGATCCTTCCGGGGCCCAAAGAGCGCAGGGAGGGACTATCCAGGGAGCTACTCAGTGAGCGCGAGTCGGACATATCGGTCAAGAACTTTCGCTATCAGGCCACGCTCAAACTATAGCCATCGAAAGTATGAAGTGGTCTCCTCGTGTATTCATCTCAGCATGCCTCGACTACCGTGCCGTACCCTTTCTTTGGTTTGCTACCGCACTGTTGCCGATGATGTTTTGCTGTATTTGTTCTGTTATAAGTTGTGTCGTCATCTGTTCCTCCTCATCTGATGTAAGTATACGAACTTGAATAGCCACGAAGTGCTCCGTACACAAGTATGAAATAAAAACCACCCGCCAAAGGCGAGCATGCTTTTTGGTCAAAACAAAATTCCATTATATGCACACACAATAAAAAAAATCAAGCCAAACACACAAATGAAACCCAATCATATAAAATACAGTGTTTATCTTTAGAAAGCCGTATAACAACGACCCACGGGAGAAAGAACTTGGTAGTCTATCCAGAGCATCACAGGCCGATGGGTGTGAGGGTGGGCCAGAAAAAGGAAAACCAGCATGAAACTTTACATACACATACATAAATCGCCCCGTATGACAAGATGTGTCAGTGGTAAGTATCTTGGGGGAGCGATGAATACTGATCGTCTCAAGCTTCCCTCCCTGCTAATCGTTCACTGAACAATCTTTAGACCTGGGCAGGCACTGTGAGACGTCTTCCCAGCTTCTCAAGCTCGCCGATCACACCGCCACCAGCCAGAGTCCACTTCTCATTGACCCATTCTTCGCTAACCTGCTGTCTCAGAAGACCGCTGCGCGCGAAGTACTCCATGAAGCCCCGGGCTTCTTCGCGAGAGATACCGGCAAGGGTCTGAAGCGTCAGGGTTCCCTCTGTGGAAACAGAGGACTTGGGAGACTCAAACGCAGTTAGGACACGCTCGTCAGGTTGACTGAAGGCGGTGGGCATGGGGTAGTCCGGGCTGGAAGGATACACGCCCTGTTGGCGAGCGGCCACCCGCTTGAGGGCAACATCAAGACTGTAGACACCAGGGCTGTTGGAGGCGGAGGTGGCGTAGAGCAGGATACCACCGTTGGGCAGAACGGACTGCTGGTTGTTGCCGGGCTTCAGCAGAGAGAGGAAGTGCTGGACGAAAACAAGGTCATGAGCGTGAATGAGCTCGTACTTGGCAGTGCGGTATTTGGTCTCCTTCATCCAGTGGGCTAAACCGTCGACGGCGACGAGCATAGGAGGACGAGAGGCGAAGTCCTTCTCGAAGCCAGTGGCGGGGGATGTAGCCGTGAGCTCAGTCCACAAAGCCTGGAAGACGGGCCAGGCGGAGGCAGGGTCTTGAATCCCAAGGTTGGCGAGAGCCTCGAGTGTCGTGTCGCGCTTCACGGGAGACTTGAGGGCAGGATGTTCACGAGAGACCTTCAACTTAGAGAGAACTTTCTGGTTGGCGGTCACAGTGCGGGACAAGAGAGCGGCGGTGGCCTGGTTTTGAACATATACGTTGGGGTTCTTCTCCGAAAGGGGCGCGTAGCTAGTGTTGGCCAAAGCCAAGTCCTGACCTAAATGTCTTTGGTTAGTGATTTGTGGCATGGTACGTCAAGAGGGGTCAAGTATACATTCAGGAACAGTCACAACAACCCATTCCTTGGTGAAGGCCATCGACATGGCCTGAAGGAGGTGAACTGTCTTTCCGGTACCTTGGGGTCCAGTGACGATTCTCTTGACTACCTTGCCCCTGTCCTCAGGTTTATCGGAGATACCATCGATCAACCGTCCAAGTTCGACAGTTTCCCGTCTCGTCACGGTGCCGGGCCGGCGAAAGATAGACCAGCCTTGTTTGGGCTTGAAGGCCTGAACAGCTCTCAATTGATCCAGCATGGGCACGGGCAAGCCAAGAATAGATCCACGAAGCCGAGAGTCCACCATGTTTTCCGCAGAGATATCCTGCATGTCTGCAACTTCGAGGGCATTAGGGTTGCTGAGGACAATGCGTTTCCGGAGTGCTCTCCGCTCCCCGACGGGAGGAGGGCGCACTCTGTCAGTGACCTTTCTCTTCTTCATCTTGAAAGTCGTCGCTGTGCGATGCTTCGGACCCTGTTGTTGACCAGATGCCTTCTTCTTCGGAGGCATTGCCAAAAGTGGACTCGACGTGTGGAACGCCGCGACTCGCTGTGCTGTCAAGGTCGGCGGAAGCATGGGCCGGGGGGACGCTGTTGGGAGCCGTGTCAGGCAGCTCCAGCAGAATGAGGATACCATTGCGAGTGGAATGGCGCACTGGCACCTTGGCCAGTGTCTAAGTGGTCAGTGGAGGAGTGCGGTGGTGAAAGAAGGAACGGAGGTTGCGCCGGAGACTCGCCGCAACGGCAATGGGAATTGGAATTGGAAATTCGGAGGCACATTTTCGAACCTCGACACTAAGGAACTTCCTCTAAGGGCCCTTTTGGGATTAGTGCAATGGCAGCCTGTTTGTGGAAGGCGGTGTAGTATAGCAGCAGCGGACCCGGTTTCACCGCCCGTCATTTTTTTCCTTTAATTTTTTTTTCCCCTGCGCTATCGCTAGTCCAGCACGCTTGGACGTCCAGATACTGTCCTTTCTTCTCAATCTTGATTCGAGTGTGAATTCAGTTACGAGTGGCCGAGTTGTCATCAAATTAGAACCAATGGCAACTACTGCTACCCAGGCAGCTTCTGCCACCAAGTCGAAGCCGGAAAGACTGTAAGTCAGATCTATAAATGCGCCCCGGAACGTGACAAAATCAACGTACAGTCCATGTGCTGACTAGCCCATCGCCTCAGTCCTATTACTGTCTCCAAGCCCACACCGTACACTTTCGATCTCGGTCACTTGCTTGTCAATGATCCCAATCCCCTCGAAATCTCCCGCTCCGAGCCGCTGGAAACTACCCTGAAGGCCACCGCCCGCGACGGCACACAGTCTCTCCTCAACCAGCTCTTGACAACCTGCCCCATCAACTCCTCACAACAGGGTGTACTTCTCACTCTTCCCGCACCCGCCACTGCGCTTCCTCGTCACAAGCCCCTGCCGACGCCCAAGCCGCCGACCAAGTGGGAGTTGTTCGCACGCAAGAAGGGTATTGGCAAATTCAGTAGCAAGCCTGGTGCGGCTTTGGCAGACAAGGAGCGCCGCAAGAAGCTCGTGTACGATGAGGAGAAGGGTGAATGGGTGCCTCGCTGGGGCTACAAGGGAAAGAACAAGAACGAGGATGACTGGTTGGTGGAGGTGAACGAGAAGGATTGGAAGAAGGAGGAAGAAGCCGCTGCCAAGGGAAGCTCTATTCGTGGAATCTCGCGCGCCGAACGCAAGGACAGGATACGGCGCAATGAGAGGAAGATGCGGTCGAATGAGCGCAAGTCGAGAAAGTCTGGCGGCGGTTAAGCCAGTCAGGAATGACAAGTGCGTTTTGAGAAGCCGTGGTTGTGTTGTTGGTGATAATCCCTCATTTGCATCATTTAACGGGGGCTTTCCTTATAAGGCGTTCGGTCGGAGTCGCTGGTCTGCTGGTCTTGAATGTCAACTTGCCTACGTATGCACATTATCATTGGTAGGCCCAGAAAAGCAATATTACATTTACGCTTTGGTAGTATACAAGTACCATCCAAGTCATTCGAAGTTTCGTTGAGGGCATATACACTACAAGACAACTTTTCATAAGAGGTCTTTCAAATTAACTTGCGGCAGCCCGCCGAGGTGGTCTTATATTACAGCAACGGATCAAAGCAACATAAATCCTCAAGGTGCAACGAGGAATAATACACAGAAAAACTGAGAAAAAAAAAGGCAAATTTGACAAAGTTAGGTCAAAAAAGCATTCGATGGAGCTGTAATGGGGAATCCATATAGGGCAAACCGGGGAAAAGAAAGATACATGCATGCCAAGATGTAATAGATAGATGTCACCAGGGCTAAAAACAAGATGAAGCAAAAGGTGACCCAACGATACTCCAAACTCTGTACAAAAAGAGCAATAAGACTGTATAATGATAACCGACTCCAAAAGCGCCAGGCATGCAGTATGAGATAGGCTCAAGATGATTGAGATGGCGAAAAGAGACAAACAAACTGCAAGTTGAAAGGACAAGGCAAGACTATAGAAGGGCATATGCTGAAAATCATGTATGTATCGACGTTGAAAGCGAGATTGATGAAGATTAGACGCCTAGATCCGAAGTATATAGCCTTAGTCATAATGCGTTACCTGCGGAACCAGTCCGAGAGGCAGCACATGATGCCAATTGACAGGTTTGAAACCCTTCGAAAATCAAAAGCAGAGAGAAAGTGCGACTTTTGGCGCAGCCTAGCCGGTCAAGCAATCAAAGTGTAGGGAGGAATTTCGCCTCTTCATCCCAAACTTCAGAGGATGCGTCGTTCATATTTGAATGGGAGAAAGAGGGGGTCCAAGTTCAGGAAGCTGGGAAACGCTCCTAGTATGCGCAGTCTCGATATTCTTAGGCCTGTGTTTGCGGACCTTGGGCGTCTCCGGATGTGGCGGTTCTTCCTCAAATGCAGGCTGGCTGCTTCCAGAGGACACGGCCCTTTCATCATTGATTGACGAGTGTTGGATTTGATAGGACATCCCGTCATGGGGGGAAGAGAAATTTTCCTTCTCATCCATGTCCTTCTCGAGCTGGAGGTACTCCTTCTCTGTCCAGCAACCTTGCCAGCAGTTTTTCCAGTCACAAACGAGGAAATGGAAACAGAAAGCATCGATTTTCATACAAGGCTGGAAACAGATGCACAGATTTCGATAGTCCATCTTATTTTGCTCCACGTAGGAATGAAGCAGGTTGAGGTGACATGTTATGGCGAAGAGAAGATAATAGTTGTAAGGCGGCAATTTGGAGAGCTCGTCCTTCAGCAATTGCGGGGCTGTTGTTGCGCCCTCACATTTCTCGGCAATCATAGCCTGAGTCTCCTTGGGAAACAGTTCATCGGGAAGTTCACGGAGCCAAGCCTTAAACATCGACCCAATCGTGTTGATGTCGTACAGGTTCGGTACATCAAAGAGGTTGATATCGTATTCTGTTTCATGAGTTAGCATCCAAGCAGACCGCAAGTGTAGCCTAAGTGCGCATGCCTGTGTCAAATCTCCGTTGCCAGTGTTTCACTTCCTTGCCGCTACCTGGCACACGATATAGCCCTTCTTCCTCGCAGCCCTTGAAATTGAGGTAACTGAAGTCACGTTAGCAGCTAGATTCATCAATGGACACTTTCAAACTCACTCAATGCAGCGATAGGGCAAAGCAGGCATCCAAAATTCTGTCTTATCCCGACAATCTTCGAGCCTTTTCGCTATCCGAGTCCGACGCGCTTGCTGTATTAAGGGCAGGTTGATCACGGTGCAGACATAGTTGTCGTCATTGAACAACTCGCGCTCATTGGTGCTGCCGCTGCGAGTAATTTTCCCGAAGAATCCTTTCCCAGCTTTGCCAATGCGGTCTGCTGCACCACTGGAGGACTGCTTCAAATTATTGAAGAGTGTAGCCGATGCGCCGGAAACCTGACTCAGCGACGCAGACGGAACTATGGATGCGCCATAGTTTTTATTACTGCGTACAGAGCCGTTATGATATTCCGCAGGTCGGTCGGAAGTGTAACTGCGTGCTGTGGGGTTGCCGGCAGTCCTTATACCACGATCATGACGTGATGCTTTGGGGGGCTCGTGAGCCTCCCGCTGGCTGCACTCCTCCAACCTCATGAGACTAGTGGACGGTCGTCTGTTCGCTATCCTGTTCATAGAAGACTCGTCTAGCCTGATCGAACGGGAACGAGAGAGTAGATTTGCGAAGCGCGGTTTATTCTTCCGAGCTACACTAGCCGCTTCCGCCTCCGCAAGGATTTTTTTCGCGTCTGTCGGCTGTGATATCTTCTCCTCTGGGTGATTGCCACCTAAGGATCGATCTGTCAGCTATAGTCATAAAAGCTAAGCGCATTGGATTTGTACCCACGTTCTTGTTGGGCTGCGCGCTCAATGGTGCCCGGCAGGTCAGGAGTCGATTCGTATTGCTTTGTTGAGATCTGTGTTCTACGATCCCTAGAACTGCCACGGCTCTTGGGGTTACTCCCTGAATCGCCAGAGCCGTCTGACCTTTGAGCCCTATGCGACACCTTGGGCGCCTTGAGATTGGCGAAGAAGGAGCGGGATGGGTCCCGGGAGTGCTTGGGAGAATCCCTCGGGGAAGGAGGATACTGAGGAATGGCTGTAAGGCCTGGGGTAGCGGGTTCCGCAGTAGCAGGACTGGTAGACGTAGGGCTGCTGTGGTTGTTGTGGTTATTGGACTCTTGGGTGACAGGTCTTATTGTTGCCCCCTTGAAAAATGGCGAACTCGATGAAGACTTAGGAGAATGGGGTGTCAGGGGACTCGGTCCGTCGGAGCTTTGGGCGCCGGGCGTCAGTGGAGACGAGATCTTCGCATTTCCCTGCAGGGTGGAAGGGCTAAGATCTAGATTGGGAACAGTGGACTGCCTCGACGGCATTTTAGTTGTTGTCACGAGCTAGATGCGTGCTCGAGTGAGGGGTATCGAGTATATTCTATCGATCGGTTATGAAGATGGATTCACCAAAGGATGATGAGAAGGCGGTGTCTCGAGGAAGAAAACGACCTAACTGCAAGGTACCTATGTCAGCAACTTACTCTGATCTTGAGATATGGGATCTATTTGAGGCGCCAACCCACTGATCGCAAGCGGATTCCAGGGCTCGCTTACTTGTTTGGGTAGCGCTAACCACCGTCCGGCGATATAAACATATGTCTCCTTGCTTTTCCCTCTTCACGAATGGGCGGTATTGATGGTTCGGGTGTATAGAATGGGTAGGCTGAGGTTGTCGCGTTGAAAGGATCGGAAGGGAACCAGCCTTCGCCAATCTCTCCTAAATTATTGAGCTAGCTGAAAACACGAGGAGTAAGCTGAGATGGTGCTTTGAAGTCAGATTGAACAATTGTATCTAAAATGGAATTGCATGGTCGTTAGTGGACCGAGGGTAGGAGAAGCTTTGTTCAACGAATAATGCTGAAAGAGATAGAGAACGGTGTCATTGTCACACGAGAAGCGATAGATGCGGCGATGCGGCTATACGACAAAGCAACCGCGTTCCCACCGGGGATAAGATGCGCAGCAGGGAGGCCGAGATGAAGACACAAAGAGAGAAGCGACATTGACCAGCAGGGCAAACGCGCGAAAGGGTGAAAAGAAAGTTGTCCGTCACCACACGTACCTAGATGTGTCGCCCCTCATATTAGACGCTGATACCCCTCCAGTTAATCCTCTTCTCCCCTGCAACTATAATGGTCGGGGACCCGATCCACACTGCTGCACTTGAGGGAAACCCGTGGTGGCCGCTGAGGGAAATCCACGCTCGCCTAAGACCGTTGGTTTGTGTGTGTCTGAGCGGTGCTGAAGAGGGCGGTGGGTGGGTGTACCAAGGGGAACCCGGGCGAGCGAACAAGAACTGAAACCAACGACGAGGACGGTTCGAAGATTGGCAAAGAGAAGTCGGGGAAGAAACAAAGACTAGCTCGTCCGATGAGTAATTTCGAAGACGCTGTGTTTTGAGGTAGATCAAAGAGACGCAAGAAGTGAATGATTCCCGCACGGTGCTGTAGGTGCTCGGACTCGAGTGTCGCAGCGACGACACATTCCTTGACAGCGTTATGCAAGCGCGGCTGTGTGTCAGGCTAAGAAGCCTCCGTCTTTTAAGGGGGGGATAATCAGCAGTGGAGATGGCGTTGCAAGGCTCCAAAATAGTTACTGCGTGGCTTCAGAGTGCTTATGGATTTATGGAAAGCCTATCTGGTTAGTGCACAGACGGACGCTTTGGGGCCGGTCAAAGGAAGACGAATAGTAGTCGGCCCGTCGTACTGATAAAACAAAATAATAAATAATAGAAAAAAAAATATTTCAAGACACGGAATAAGAAGACGGTATAAAAAATACTAAAGGGAAAAACAGGTAAGGCTGGGCTAATATGCTTTCGTCGCTCGAGCTTTTACTGTCAGAACTTGTTCCTGGCTAATGGGATGGGATGGCAATAAAACCAAGCCTTAGCAGATTAGATCTTAACCAAAGAACGAGTGTCAATTAAGTCAGGAACTGGAAAAGAGCTGGTGGTCCGAAAATTTGGGAGGGAGAGATTGATTGTGGAAAAGGAAAAGAACTCGTGGCTGGGGGAGGGGAGGGTAGAAACGGGAGGATGACGTTGGTCCACCACGTACTGATTGTTCCAATTTCTACTCATACAACCACAATCGATTGCCATTCTTTTCTTTTTCTTCATTTTTGACTGGAAAAGGATGTGTACTGTACTGTGCACATAGTGAATACCCAATATAATAGTATACTAGTACTAGCATGGTGAACATAACAAGAACAACAAGAACAATGATAGTCATTGTTGGTAATTGCCGGATAAAGCATTGCCGATTTCTACACCCCGGAACAAGTCGATCAAACGTTTTCTCTTAGGTGCACGGTCTATCGGTCTGATAGTATTGGAATTGAACAATGTGTGTGTGCGCGTGCATCAACAGTATAGGGGAAGTAGTACTCCGTTACCTACACCGTTGTACGGGGCTACAGCCTCCATCCCACCGAATGGGAACTGAATTTCACACCGAAAGATCGGGGCGGGAACGGTGAGTGGCTGCTATGATCGGAACTGAAAGGTACTAGTTTGGTCCACGGTGCCTTGGACCAGCGGGATGATGCAGAGACTCCCCATTAAACCTAACCAACCACCAGCTGTTGCTTAACAGGGTTTCCACTGACCCGGGAGGCAAATCAAATACACCCCCGGCCTCGTCAACGACTTTGTTCACCTCGGAAAGTCACAGCAGAAAAAAAAAAAAAAAAAAAAGAAAAGAAAAGAAGAAAAAAAATTTAAGCCTGGAGCCTGGAGCCTGTACCTGAAAGCGCATGGCCTTCCCTCCTAAGAAGCACTCTACTGTGTATATCTTTGACGAGCGCAGTGCACCCTATAATATTCTACATACATTTAAAATCATAGCACCTATCGTACGGAACTGTCCGACCTAGCTAGGTGAAAACTTCCAAATATACTTCTCAGTCCTGATGCTGCATGATCCACTTCTTTCTATACCATTGCCCATCTAAGGTTATTCAACTGGTTCTCTGCGTATGCTCAGGGAACCCTGTGGCGATCTCACCACAACTATTTGTCTCAATAATTTCTCTTCTATTCTTTGTTCAAAAAACTCGTTACCATGGTTCAAATCATACACTATGATACAACTGGTGGGGTTTTGGGAAATCGGCGATACATAGAGAAGGCATGCAACCAGCAAGCGATCCATGGGAGAGACGGTCCTATCCTGCCCCCGCTTGTTGCAGGTACCAAGTTACTACCCATTATGCATCCCATTCGATTGCAACAATGGAAGAAACATAATTTCCAGGACAGTCACTGGAAATAAACCGCTCTTTGAAAATGGATTGCAAGCTCTTGATTTACTATAATCATCTTTGCGCTAAGCATTGATTACTTTGACATTAGCATTCCACAGAACCACCTACACGTCAGTGGTGATGCGTGATCTCGCTTGTGTGTTGCGGATGCTCTCACCACCTGTAAGTCTACAAGACTCAGTCTGTCCCTACACCAAGTGTCTACTTACTGTACAGTACGGTACACATGGGAGGCCCCTGCGGCTGTGCACCCATGTGAAGATAGTACATGAGTACGAGTAAGAAGGACCACTACGGTGTAGTATGGATATATCCGCACTTCTACCTTATCTAGGTTACCGAGCAATTGGTTAAAGAACTCACTAGATACTACACGAGTAGAATATTCCGTAGGTCAACCCCACTTAGACTATACAGCACCTCTTGATCAATGGCTGCAAATAACTATTTGTCATACTAATGATAGCGGCAAGGCAGCACCATCAAGGTATATTCACCGCAACCGATGTACTGGAGTACAGGAGATACACTTATACGCAGATACATTGAGAGGTACAAAATGTATGTATGTATGTATGTCAGTAATTATAGCACTTCCCAGCGAGTTGTAGTAGATGGAGGATAGCAGTTAGGTGGTTGCTCTAATGCTTGTCTTTGCATACGCATGAAGAGAACAATGAGACAGAGTAGTAATGCAGGCGAGAGCCACTGGGAGAAGCAGGGACCCAGGGGCAACTGCCATTTGGCTCTCAGGGGTTTCACACGGTCACACACCGCTGTCCACGGTCCATGACGATCCCGCCTTAGACTACCTTTAGTAGAAGCCGGGCTGAAACATCAGCCCCGCCGTCTTACTAAGGATGCTCCAACGGCTGCTTTCAGTAGGCATCATCCCACGTGACACAAAGCCCTCTCGGTTTCCGACTACCGGCACACATCCCTGCCAAAGGTTTTTCTTTCGTCAAGTCTCCGGAAAGCTCACTTGTCTGCATCGAGGGTCGCGTGCACTGGAATCTTGTCTTCCTGTGTTCACCCATTATCAAGCTACCAGACGTCCAGGTGGCATCTCAAGTTGTTCCTCACAACTGTTTCATTTGATCTCCGCTGTGGCGGGCATTATAGTTACGACATCAAGTCCTGTTCACACCCCGGAAAAGCTTTTCTTGCCCCTCGATCGAGGGTCTAACAATTAAGTTGATCTCATATACTAACTCTCACTTCAACTCTAGAAGGGTGTCTTTGCCAGGCCCCGGTTGCTGTATCTCCCGTTTCTCACACATGTCCCTGGTTTCAGATCCGGGGAAGGCCGTTGGCCTTCCGCTCAACCAGCAACTTTGCGTTCAGAAACACGTGGAATACGTCAAAAAACTGGATAGCGTGCGTTGCTCTTATTCCAACCATAGTTCCCCACACGGTAGGGAAGGCGGTTGACAGATGATGCTAGAGGAGGGACGAGCTGGAATACTGGCTCACGGAGCACCTTCGCCTCAATGGGGTTTATTGGGGGTTGACAGCTCTGCATCTCATGGGATCTCCAGAGGCATTGCCTCGTCAAGAGACCATCGATTTCGTCCTCTCATGCCAACGAGACAATGGAGGATTCGGAGCTGCTCCAGGCCATGATGCACACATGCTGTACACAGTGTCAGCCGTGCAGCTTCTCGTCACACTAGATGCCGTGGACGAATTAGAGAAGCGTGGCCTAGGAGGCAAGGAGAAAATTGGCTCTTGTACGATATGACTTCACCTGGGTCTGCATCTACAAAGTCTTACTAAACATGCGCAGTCATTGCAGGATTACAGGATCAGGAATCTGGTGCATTCCAGGGAGATGAGTGGGGCGAACAAGACACCCGTTTTCTGTACGGTGCATTCAATGCCTTGTCGCTTCTGGGACTTCTTCACTTGGTTGACGTCTCCAAAGCGGTGGAGTACGTCAAGAAGTGTGAAAACCTGGACGGTGGCTATGGTATACGACCGGGAACCGAGACCCATGCTGGTCAAATTTTTACTTGTGTTGGCGCTCTAGCGATTGCCGGGCGGTTAGACTTGGTAAACAGGGACCGCTTGGGCGGCTGGCTGAGCGAGAGACAGGTTGATAATGGAGGTCTTAATGGGCGTCCTGAAAAGCTGCCAGATGCTTGCTATAGCTGGTGGGTTGGTGCTAGTCTGGCAATGATAGACAGACTGCATTGGATCGACGGCAGCAAGCTTGCTGCTTTCATTTTGCGCTGCCAGGTAATATCCCCTTTTATGTCTCGCTGGGTATTGACTAATCCGCCATAGGACTCGGATGCTGGAGGTATCGGTGATAGACCCGGTAGTATGGTCGATGTCTTCCATACTTGTTTCGGTGTCGCCGGCCTGAGCCTTCTTAAATTCGATGGTCTGCAGGAAGTAGATCCAGTCTAGTAAGTAACTCATTGAGTCAAGTCCCTTTTTTATAGGGACACCATGCTGACGAGTTGACCAGTTGTATGCCGAAGAGTATAACCACGAGATGCCTCGCCCCGTAATCAGCTCTCCTTGTTTGTGACGTTCTGGCTTCTTCCATCACACCTTTCGTAGTACTACCTCCTGCCATCTAATAACCCATTTTTTCTTTTCTCAATGGATAATGGGATACAAGGCAGGAGAAAAAAGATAGGCACTGCGACTTATTTCCGCTTCACCCCTCTACAATGGCCTGTTAAGCGGCCGTTAAGACGCAGTGGCACATATGTATCCGAATTACTACTAGATCTATATTGATAGTCAATATGTTAGGATGTTCCATTTTATGCATTACGATAATCTTGCGTCAACAATATGCCTCATTCCGGTCTCGGAGGTGTCAGTCTATGTCCCTAGTAAACCCTCCCAATAGCTATAGCGGCCTTCTAAGGCGACTGACTACCTTACTACTAACCACCCTTCATGGCCTGTGGCGGTTGGTTCCTTCTTCAATTGTCGTCGGCTAAGATGACAACAACAACAACAACAACAACAATAACAATGGTAGGTAGGCACGAATGTCCTCGCAGGGAAGGAAGGTTCTCAGGGTGTGCCTGTGCTATCTGCCATCCTCACGTCAGTGGTCTTGACCTTCCCACGCTATTCTGTCAGGTCCAGTCTTTCTATATTGGTCTCTATGCTAGCACATTGATCGGTTCCCATCCATGCAAGCACCACTCTGGATTTAACCCTTTGTTGCTTCCCTTGATAGCTTTGTTCAAGTTCGAATTCTTATCCTTCTAGATCCCTTAACCATGGATGCAGATGCACTTTTATGCAACATCTGCCCCAAACGTCCCACGTTCAGCGATGTATCTCACTTGCTGACCCACGTCGCTTCAAAAGCCCATCTCTCTCATTATTTCAAGCTTCAGGTACGCAGTCATCAGGAGCAACAAGCAGTCGATCTACTGGACGAATATGACCATTGGTATAAGACCAACAATCTCGGGAGATTGCTTTCGGACCGAATGTCCTCAAAGGAAGCTCGAAAGAAGAAGACATCGACAAAGCCCACGACCCACGCAGAAGTCAAGGTCGAGAAGTCAGATGTCGCACTATCTGTTCTTCCCCTGTTACATAACCCATTTCCGGACTATCTAGACCCTCGCCTCGCTGATACCTACATCGAACGACCGTTGAAACTTCCACACGCTGGATCAACCTCCTCGGTGTCCTATGTTACTCGAACAGACCCTTCCGCCCAGACGTGCCAGTCCTACTCTCACACAATGCACGGAAGTGAGTCCAGGGATACTGAGTACGAGCTTTGGAAACGTGAGCCCAGAGGTGATGTGATTGCGTCCGACGATGGCTTTTCTGTTATGCCGTATTGCACAAGTCCAAGAGAGGACAGAATGGTGACCGGCACAAATACAATGAATCGCGGATACAGAAGCGATCCCTTCCTGGATGAAAGTGAGAGCATTGACTGCCCTTTGTCCGACCTTCTGGACAAAGAGAGGGCGGATGAGATGGCTAGACTTAAGGGCATCCTGTGGCCTGGGATGGACATCTTCGATTCTGCTACAGAACAGATGAGGCGTCGACGTAACCAAAAGAAGGATGAGAGCATCTTGAGGATGATGGAAAAGACCTCCCTCTGCGTCGAGCCGACAGAACTTGTCTTCTCTCCAACGGGAATCCTCCGAAAGCAACGGGTGATCTCTGGCAACGTTGAGGATTGTAGCCCGCTCAAGGGTGAAACGCCCGTACCCAAAAGACGAGTCAGCCGCCCCAAGAGGGTTCTCTCGCAACTTGACGCTAACGTTAACCGTCGGCAACATGGACCGAACAAGAAGAGAAACAAAAAGACCGAAAGGCAGGGTGTCGAGTGTATTGGCGAGCATTTCCCGAGTGCTGCTCAAACACGTCAGGGCCAAGTTTCGATATACCGGAGGAGCTGCGCAGACGATCAGGCTAAGTCTGTCCCTAAGAGAAGGAGCGGGCTCAAGGATCGCAACGAGTTCGCAGTATACCGTGACGAGGAAGGGCAGCACCGGCGAAGCTCGAGGAACCAGCATACCGGTGGTGGATTGTCATATGCAGCATCTGCCGTTTCTCACCCCATTTTCCTACTGCGCGAATACACAACCCGCACGGACGAGTGTGCGTCCCGCTCCGCTACTCATCTATCTGCATTCACAGAACGTACCGCTGTTGAGACCATGGATAAGGAGAACATCGAACCTCTCTTCAATGCCTGCGGCCGCATTGATCCTGGAGTGGGCTGGCGTTCCCCTGCCATGAAGCAACATCTAGCAAATGACATAGGTTACCCGCCACAGCTCTTCTATCAGAATGCTCAATCTGCCGGTTTGAGTCCATTTGGAGGTCATGATAGTCCCGCAGAATATCACTACAATCCTCTATCAGTCTCGCTGGGCAGACTACCTGTTGAAGAGGCTCAATTGAGTACCCTGAACTCACAGGTAGGTGCTGATTATAAGGCACGGCCTGAGTCCCCTGAAGGCACAATCTCAGATGCCGAGGAAGGGGAATTCGAGCGGCTCTACCTGCCTGGAAGCTCTTGTTAATCTTCCACTCTTGCTATGGCTGCCTGCCCGACTGCGTCCTCAAATGTTGTCGCTGGCTTACTCTCGATGTCGTCAGCACCCAAGCACACTTCAACGGTAGGGAACAGGCTGGATCTCTGCTATGGGCACATAGCCCAATGCTTTATATGCGAAGTTCTTATAATCATGCATTACCTATATGTCAGTAGAGACAATGTGTCGCTGCCTGGAGGCTGATGTCTGACGTCTTTCATTACTGCGTTGACTGTTCAGGTATCGCATTGCAGAATTATACTGCTATAGTATTAGATATCCATCAACCGAAGTATACTCGAAGACCTACAGGCCATGTAGCTCCAAATCATTAGAGAAATTCCCTTCGCGTGCACCGTCCAGTGCTTGTAGTGGATTACATAAGCCAGAAATATAGTTAGGCGATCTTCAACCCGGAGACACGAAAGCGCGTTGACCACGCGTCGAGCTCTCGAAGTTCTGAAGCGGCACTAGCTTCGCCGAAGTGGACTCTTAGTGGCGCTATTAATACAATACTGTGCCCGCATGTGATGATGGTTTTCAACTGTGACAAGGAGGCTCATCCAAACTCGATACTGCAGAAGGTTGCCAAGTTGTCGCAGCTTTTGATTGCGCTAATTTGAGTTCCTTGCCACTTTGTTGCAGCTGATGGTATACAGCGGTTTCTCATCTACCTTCGCTTGAGCTTGTCCAAGCTCTTCAGCAAACCACATATTAAGGCTGCATCCCGTTGGCAGACTCTCGAAGAACACGGCAAAAGATGCCTTTACCTACCTCATCACCTTCCTCTTCCCAGAATACGAAGCGCAAGCAATCGACACTCGCCAGCTTCTTCACTAAGAAGTCACAGCCTCTCCAACCCGGTTCGGTCAACGGCGTCGATAGACAGACGAAGCTCGCGGAAACTGACTCGGAAACGACGGCCACCGAAAAATTGCGAAACCGCCAGGATGATGTGACACGGGACAAGAAGGATGAAGACTATGACGACGATGACATAGTCGTACCGGCTCCAAAACGAAGCAAATTGAACGGCTCCCACTCCCAGGAAAACGGTTCGAAGACAGGCTCCTCCGTTATTGAAGAACATATACCAGTGTCGCAGAGTAGCCAGCGGACGGATCTTTCTAGATTCGCTAGCTCACCCGCCGCTGGATTTGGGACCCAGAGACATCAGGAACCGGAGCCCACAGAAATTAAACAGAGGCAAAAGGAATTGGAGGATTTGCATCAGAAATTTGTGCGCAGGCTGGGCGGCGCAGATTGCTTGATAGGCATCAACAGGCATGCTACTGGTGTGACTGATGTCGTGTCTACTGAGGATGCTGCTGAAGGGGAAGAAGACGAGGATCTGGCGCCCGCCCCCCCTCCTAGAGGCAAATCTGCTGGCAAGAAGGGGGCCAGTAAGCTTACGCCAATGGAGAGACAAGTTATCGACATCAAACGCAAACATAAAGATGCGGTTTTGGTAGTGGAGGTTGGTTATAAGTTCCGGTTCTTCGGCGAGGATGCAAGGATCGCAGCCAAGGAGTTGTCGATTGTCTGTATTCCAGGAAAGCTGCGCTTTGATGAGCGTGAGTGTACCACATCCCTCGCGACCGCAGACACCGCTAATGCTTGAGCTCTTTCTTTGCCTTTCAGATCCTTCAGAGGCACACCTCGATCGATTTGCATCTGCCAGCATACCGGTCCATCGACTACATGTGCATGTCAAACGCTTGGTCGCTGCCGGGCATAAGGTTGGCATCGTAAGACAGATTGAAACGGCTGCTCTGAAAGCGGCGGGTGACAACCGGAACGCGCCATTTGAACGCAAACTCACAAGTTTGTACACGAAAGGCACATATATCGACGACGTTGACGGTCTGGAAGGGCCTGCGGCATCTGGCGGCGCGTCCCCAGCAACAGGATACTTGCTTTGCATCACTGAGACGAATGCGAAAGGATGGGGCAATGACGAGAAGGTCCAGGTCGGCATTGTCGCTGTGCAGCCTGCCACAGGGGACATAATCTATGATGATTTCGAAGATGGTTTTATGAGGACCGAAATTGAAACCCGGTTGCTTCATATTGCACCTTGTGAAGTGTTGATTGTGGGAGAACTTTCCAGAGCCACGGAGAAGTTGGTTAAGCATCTTTCGGGCAGCAAGTTGAATGTATTCGGTGATAAGACTCGTGTGGAGCGGGCTCCCAAGTCGAAAACCGCCGCCGCCGAGTCTCACAGTCATGTCTCGAGTTTTTATGCTGGAAAGATGAAGGCAGCTAGTGCTGAAGACGATGTGCAGGCGAGTAGCCTTCTTCAGAAGGTGGTGAATCTACCTGAGCAGATAACCATCTGCCTCTCCGCGATGATAGCACATCTGCAAGAGTATGGCTTGGAGTATGTGTTTCAGTTGACCAAATATTTCCAGCATTTCTCTTCGCGATCACATATGCTTCTCAATGGAAATACCCTTATGAGTCTCGAGATTTACCAAAACCAGACCGACCACACGACTAAAGGCAGTCTCTTCTGGACTCTTGATCGCACACAGACTCGTTTTGGGCAACGACTGCTTCGGAAGTGGGTCGGACGCCCTTTGCTGGATAAGACGGCTCTTGAAGCGAGGGTCAATGCCGTTGAAGAGCTGCAAAGCCCGGAAAAAACTATCATGGTCGAGCGACTTAAAAGCTTGTTTGCTAAGATCAAGAGTGACTTGGAGAAGAGCCTCATTAGGATTTACTATGGGAAGGTGAGTTTTCTTCTCGTATCCAGGTGATATAGTGTTTGTGTATAGATGCTAAGATCCTGATCTCAGTGCACTCGGCCCGAGCTCCTTACTGTCCTCCAAACCATGCAAATGATTGCGCAGGAGTTCGCGGATATCAAGAGCGCTGCGGATGCTGGATTTGAGTCCCCTCAGATAGGCGAAGCTATAGCATCCCTTCCAACAATTCTGAATGATGTTGTGTCGTTTCTGGATAAGATCAATATGCACGCCGCAAGGAATGATGACAAGTATGCCTTCTTCCGAGAAGCCGAAGAAACCGAAGACATCAGTGACCACAAGCTGGGAATCGCAAGCGTCGAGCATGACTTACAGGAACACCGCAACGTTGCTGGTGAAAAGCTCGGGAAAAAATCAGTGGAGTATAAGTCTGTTGCGGGCATTGACTACCTGATCGAAGTTGATAATAGCTCACCGTTCATTAAAAAAGTACCTGCGTCCTGGGCGAAGATTAGCGGTACTAAGAAGGTGTCGAGGTTTCACACACCCGAGGTTATTCAGCTCATTCGACAACGAGACCAGCATAAAGAGGCGCTGGCTGCGGCTTGCGATAGAGCCTTTCGTGCTCTCCTTGCTGACATAGCCGCCCAATATCAGGCCTTCCGTGATTGTGTACAAGCATTAGCCACACTGGACTGCTTGATATCCTTAGCTACTATCGCGAGCCAGCCTGGATATGTGAAGCCTCAATACACGGATAGCACATGCATCAGTGTTGAGCAAGGCCGCCATCCTATGGTTGAGCAATTACTGCTGGGCAGCTACGTGCCAAATGACATCAACCTGGAGAGTGACAAGACCCGCGCACTTCTAGTCACTGGTCCCAACATGGGCGGTAAGTCTAGCTATGTGCGACAAGTCGCCCTTATCGCCATCATGGGCCAGATTGGCTCCTATGTGCCTGCGCAGTCCGCAAAGCTCGGCATGTTAGACGCTGTGTTCACCCGCATGGGTGCGTTTGATAATATGCTGGCTGGAGAGTCCACCTTCATGGTTGAGCTCTCTGAAACAGCAGATATACTCAAGCAGGCAACGCCCCGCTCGCTCGTCATACTGGATGAATTAGGCCGGGGCACGTCCACCCATGACGGTGTCGCAATCGCCCAAGCGGTTCTGGACTATATGGTTCGTTCTATCAAAAGCCTCACCCTATTCATTACACACTACCAGCACCTCTCATCACTGGTACATTCGTTCCCCGACAATGAACTACGAAACGTGCACATGCACTTCACCGAATCGGGGACCGGCCAGGATGAAGAGATCACATTCCTGTATGAGGTGCGAGAAGGAGTCGCGCATCGCAGTTATGGACTCAACGTGGCGCGATTGGCAAACCTTCCAGGTCCGCTCCTACAGCAAGCGCGTCAGAAGAGTAAAGAGCTCGAGGAGAGAATCCGTCGCCGGAAATTGGCAGGTCTTGTTTCGGCAGTTGGAAAGGCTGTGGGCGATTCCACGAGCGCGGACGATGAGGGGTTGATGGATCGACTTATCAGCAGCGCAGAGCAGCTGTAGATGTTAATCGACTCGCAACATTGCTTTTGACGTTCGCGTATCACATTTAATGCAGGAATATCTGAAAAATAAAGGCATGACGGCCACTATTTATAGACCTGACAATGCTCCAAGTTATGTCATTATGGCACCTTATCAAGTTCCCTCCGTCGCAAGCAAATTTACGTGTGCTGCTTTCCGGAGGTTGCACGTCCTTATAGCCACATGAGCTAGATCTACTAGACAAGCAAGCGTGTAGCAATTCTATGAGATTGCGTCCAAGCCTTTCAACCTTGAATATGCAGCTTTACCAATGCCTGTAATCGTTTTCGCGCGAGTCGAGAGTGAACAAGGTGAAATGATCAACCCTCGAACAAGCGGAATTCCAGGGTATAGCGAAGACCGTAGTGTATCAAAATTTGATCCATTTCTGCTCCAGATCGTGGGCCGCCTAATATCGTCCCTGGTATCTATCTCAAAGGTCCGGTGGATTTCAAATTTTTTTCCTTTTTGTATTTCAGGTTGATCTCGGTCTCGTTTGTTTCTTCTATGGAACCCTGGTATATCGGAACACAGAATGGTAACAAACGCAAATCATCACAACCCGGATGCCGCATCAGCCCATGAGATGTTTTTTATTGCCTTCCCGACCCCCAGAATCATTTCCAACGCAAGCAAGGGTACATAGCCTCGAGAGGGAAGAAGATAAGAAAATTCGGAGAGTTGAGGAGATTTTTAACGGAGGCGACGGGCCTCGCGTTCGGACTCGAGCAGGCAGAGGATGTCGTCGACCTTGACTGTAGATTGCGGAAAAAATAACCCGTGTTAGCCTTTCCCATATGCGATGTAAAGTTATAGTCGGATTGACTCTGGCGAAGACCCGAAATTCTTCTTTCCCGCCGGTCGAGAATATCCCCAAAACTTGTCCCGAGTAACCCCAAGTCGAATTTCCTGCCTACTTGTCGAACAACTTTCCCGTCTTCGTTGGCTGACTTCCCGATCGCGTTCCTCGTTTTTAATTCCAAGCTCTTTCTGTTTTGGGATATCTCTCTTGTCGGAGGGTCGGAGAATTCGGGTCATGCCGAGCGCAAGCGGATAACGAAAACAGAAGGATTGATCAGACGGAGAATCGCATACCAGGACCCTTGACGTTACGGATGATGCTGCGGGAGGTATCGTCCATGAACTCGACGCGGACCTGGGTGACACCACCACGGGAACCTGTTGTGAAATCGAGAGCAGTCAGCGTTGACCGCACAGCGAGAGAGGCGTTTTTGCGGCAGGGCGACTGCTGCCAGCGAAGCGGTTTATCGTCAACATACCGGTACGGCCGAGGACACGGGTGACCTTGACGAGCTTAGCAGGCTGCTTGGCGGAATCCATCTTGAGGTTGGGCGTGACGGCAGCAAAGGACTGACGGGATGGAGGTGAAGATGGCGAAGGGGGACCGGGTTGATAGAAGTTGAAGCCGCTCGGTGAAAATCGAACGGGATTGCGCGCTTGTGTGGGTTGCATTTCCCCTTTGGGAAAAAGACGAGGGCTCAGGGCTAGTGTTGCCTCGCCCGTCAGGCATGAATAGCTGGCCTGGTACATCAGGCACAAGCAGGAGGGGTACTGTGTGCCTCAGGCAGCAGAACATGCTCGCCCGGCGCTCTCCGTCTGTCTTTTCTGCCGCAATGATGTCCAAGTCGCTGCCCCGTTCCTCTGCTTTTCTCCTCTTCCTTTCCCCTCACCACCACGCCAACTTCACTCTTGTCAGAGTACTATTTTGCCGGATTGTATCCGCTTACTTCAGGTCTCTTTTGCTGTCCCCCAATTTGATCAATTGTTTCTCCATTCGGTGTCCTATTCACCCTTTACGCCCCGAGTAATTTACCCCGCGCATCACCGATCATCGACCGAAATGGATCTCGTCAACCAGTAAGTGTCAATTGGTCAACCAGCATGGTTCAAGCGCGAACCCCCAGACAACAAAATTACTGTTGATTGCTAGAACTGTCATCATGTTAACCTTTTTCTTTCAAACAGCCTCGAAGGAAGACTACTCTTCGCCGTTCCTAAGAGCAAGTGCCCGCCATGACTCACTCACTCCCCTTCGCCGCAAGAAGCCTCAATACCTTCCATGAGATCCATGAGATCCGAGCATTGGCTTGTTGCACCTGTACAAGAAACTTCAAGCTAATACTGTTCTTGCCTTTACAGAGGGTCGTCTTCAACAAGCTACCTTGGACCTCCTGGCTGGTGCCGACATCCAGTTCCGTCGCGAAACCCGCTTGGACATCGCCTTGGTGAAGAACTTGCCGATCGCGCTCATCTTCCTCCCTGCCGCTGATATCCCGACTTTTGTGGGCGAAGGGCGCGTGGATCTCGGTATCACAGGTCGCGACCAGGTTGCCGAGCACGATGCCCAGCTTCCCAGCGGTGAGGTTTCCGGCGTGGAGGAAGTGATGGACCTTGGCTTCGGCGCCTGCAAGTTGCAGGTTCAGGTTCCTGAGAAGGGCAACATCACGGAAGCCCGCCAGCTGGTGGGCCGTAACGTCGTTACCAGCTTCACCGCCCTTACCGAGGCCTTTTTCACCAAGCTCGAGGCTGAGGTTGAAGGCAGCCCGAAGACTAAGATCAAGTATGTCGGTGGCAGTGTTGAGGCTGCCTGCGCTTTGGGTGTGGCCGATGGTATCGTTGATCTGGTTGGTACGTGCAGGCTAGTATCACCTCGCTTGGAGGATGCAATAGCTGATCCGTGTTTCTGTATAGAATCCGGTGAGACCATGAAGGCTGCTGGCCTCAAGGCCATTGACACCGTTGTTGAGACCATCTCTGTGCTGGTCAAGTCCCGGAACACCCAGAATCCTCTGGTTGACCTGATCGCTTCCCGCATTCGTGGTGTTATCAGTATGTCTTTCCCCTTCGTCTTGGTGAATTAACCACTAACGGCTTTCTACCTCACAGCCGCCCAGAAGTACGTCCTGTGCCAGTACAACATCCCCCGCGCGGAATTGTCGACCGCCTCCAGCATCACTCCAGGCAAGCGCGCCCCCACGGTGACTGCCTTGGATCAGGATGGCTGGGTGGCCGTCAGCGCAATGGTTGAGAAGAAGAAGATTGCTACCGTCATGGATGAGCTGATTAAGGTTGGCGCCACGGACATTCTCGTCCTGAACATTGCCAACTCGAGAGCTGCCTAAAATGCTATGCCAATAAGTTCTGGGCAGCGCTTGTTTCATTCATTATTGGTTTTGAACGTTCATGATGATCTCCTTTTTGCATTGGGCGTGATATATTTATTTCTTAGTTTTACTTCCTCTTGTATGATTACCCAGCATTTTGTTCAAAATAGAAGGATTGGGTTCAAATTGTGAAGTGGTTGGTTAGGGATAAAGGCTAGACACTTATCGAGTTGATGATGATGATGATTTCATAGGCTTTGATTGAGTAGTTGGATGTTCTATGGTGGTGGCCTCTAACCGGGTCAATTTCTTACAAGCTTCAATGATATATACTTGTGCATTTAGTCACATATCCCCGCGTAGACTATTCCGGGCCCGTTACAATTGTCCAACCTTCATCTGAGTTTCTTCCACTTTTCCTCATAATTGACAGCTGTCCTGGAATTGAAACCTATTCAATAAAGAAATAATCCTGTGCCCACCTCACTCCCAGAGAGTGGAGAGAGGCACTTTTTTGTGGTGTCAAGGAATATCGGTGCCTGAAATCAAGGGCATACAATCATGTGCCATCCGAACGGCAAGTAATCAAACCGCAGCGGAGTTCAAGTCCACTTACCAGAGCTTGCGACGCAGTTCTATCAGTTCAACTGTCAACTGTGCTGCAAAATCACTTTCATATTGTATTGATGTTTCATACATTTGATCTGAACTTAAAGCATGGGGCTGAAGGCGAAAGTGAACCATCGCCGAGCCGCAATGATCGTGTTCGCAAAGCATGTGAGCTATGTCGACAGATGAAGGTCAAATGCGACGGGACCCATCCCTGCAAGCATTGCTCTCATTCTTTCCATGGTAGGAGCTTATCAAGCCTCGAGGACTGTCAATAAGCCTAAAGGCTCGTTGCAAAGCAACCTATGTATAACATACTAATAACCAAAGAGTGCATCTATCGCGTTACACATCGGAAAAGATACGCCGACCCGGACCACAGAACTTTTGCCAGACCAGGCAAGAAGCCGAGCTTACAGAAGAGCTCAAACCATTTCGATGACTCTGATGCAGACGCTTCGCAGGTTGCTGCTTGTCAGCCAGACACGCCGGAAGTCATGCATGAAGTCGATAGAGAAGAGGGCCGGCTGGAAGCACGACACCATGGGTCTTCCGGAGAGCGGTCTTTTATAGAACGACTGAAGCTAGAACTCGGAGACTCCCCAGGCATCGACTTTGAAAGCAGATTGCGCGTGAAAGAGCGACTGGCTCCCAGGCTGTTCCTGCTAGGAGCCCCAAATTGCTTATCGAGGACTTCTGCGCCTCTCCCACAGCGCGAAAGGGCACAGATCCTAGTCAACCAGGCTTTGGATGCGCACTTACTCTACAATGCTCTGCATCGTCCCACCTTCACTTCTGTCTTTCAGTTGTTGTACTCTCTCGATAGAGAAGACTACGGAGAGACAGAGATTAACCACTTTCCCCTCCTCTACTCTCTGATGGCGGTAGGCTGCCTGTTTGAAAAACACAACGAACATGACCCCGCGGAGCCATTAGGGGGCTCGCTTGCTGAAGGGTGTGTTGCCTCCCACGGAAACAGATCTACTGACCACATATTGACTATAATAGTTTGAAGTATTTTGAAATCTGCCGCGATATGGTTGACCTCGAAGCTTGTGATAATCTTTTTGCCATGCAGGCCATTTTCTTCATGAATATCTTTCTCATCAGTACATGTAGATTATCCCGATGCTACACCTATGTTTCTCATATGCTTTCCTTGGCTTTTCGCATGGGCCTGCACCGTCCCGGTAAGACAGATAGTCCGGTCGTTGTCGAGACCAAACGATCTCTTTTCTGGGCTATATGGCAACTTTTGGTCACTTTAGCTTCCATGTGCGGCCTCCCAAAGCCTGTACCTGCTGATGAGATAGGGATGGATTATCCCGAGGCTATAGTTGTCAGTGTCCAGCCAGATCGAGAAAGGGTAGGGGCTAAGGAGAGTGTTCAGGTCACAGAAACGATACCGAGTCATCTGAGTTACCTGAAACTTCATGAGGTTCTTTACAGAGTTGTGAAGAGCCTGTATCCTCCAAGCACTATGCAGCATCGGGATGCGAGCGAGTTATTGAAGCACTTTGTCACCAAGGATACTATTTTCAAATTCGAGGACGAGCTACGGAGATGGGCCAAGCACCTTACAATTCGTGACATACTAGCAAAACATGAGGACAGTCGCTGGTCCCGAAGGTAAGGGAGACTGGAAGTTTGCAAAGCCATCAACTGTACGAAAACGCTCACAAGCTACAGGGCGGAGTACGAACTCTGCATGACCTTTGCTCATACTCAAGTCTACCTATACCGACCGTTCATGCACTACCTACTTTAAAGTCACAACAAACAGCAAGAAGGCCGAAATTATGCACTGGCCGGGATTCGTGCAAGCTGTAATATCATCCGTCTTGCGCAGGATATGCACCGCCATGATCTTCTATTTGGATCGCAGTGGCGAGTGGCACATATGATCTCGACATCTGCACTCACACTTCTGTACGTTCTTCTTATCGATAAGACCTCTAAAATGGTGCGATACCTTGAGGCCGAGCTGGATATAGCCAGGGCCATGCTTATCACTCTTCGACCTTATTGTATCCACTCGCAACGTACGCACATCGCCTTGACGGTATGCTATGTTCTATGAAGCAATTTCTCCATTGAGGCTGATAAATTTGACTAGGTGTTGACGACTGCACTCTCCCAAGGGTCAAAATTGCAAGAGCTGGCGAGTGCAGGTGACCAAGCTAGTCTCGCAGGGGAATCTACCTACCTAGAGACGATTGATTTGGTAGCGAGGACATTTGCCAATCAGTCCAATCGAGAAGAAATATGCCGAGCACACATTGAGAACCCAGTAATCGGTCAAGAGCCTAGGTCTTTACGGTATCCATGGGATGAAATTGTACATACCCAACCGCCTGCAGCCAACGCAGCTCCACAGCAGAACAGTGGACACTATGGAATCTCATCCACCCCCGTTTCTGCGCAGTTTTTGCGTGAGGGGGATACTGCGACAATGCGAGGAATCACAGATGTCCCGCAAGAACCCTTCCCGACGCAGTCTGAGACCGTGCATCTTGGAGCAGGCATAGGCACAGTTGAGAGCGCAAATATTATGGAGGCACGACCCTATGTGGACCAGCAAATTTATGAGCAGTTTGACTACTATACGCAGTCGGCCGGCTACGAAGACATTGATTTCGACGGGGACGAGAGCTTCTACCCTTTCAGTCTCTATATCTCAGGTTTATAGTTCGAGAAAATATTGTGCCTCCACTTTTTAGAATTGACGGTGTTCGTTACGAATTTTTATAGATATTATCCAGTCGGACCCGGGGGCGTCAAAGGATAAGGGCAGAAAGACGCTAACCCAAACTTCGGATCTCATGCCCATTACGGAAGTGCCTTCTATTGCCCATGCAAACCTATCATTGCCCTTTCGAGTCATGGATCGATGTTATCTGCAGAATAAAAAGAGCCATGGACCCAAACAGACAATTTTAGGATTGATGAATTGTTTCACTACTTTCACTGAAGTGGTGCTAGAGAAGACCCGACATCTCCGCGTCATGAAAGAACAGGAGAATGTGGTGGTGTCTCTGGAAGACAAGCCAGAAAAGCAGGAACTAGGTGCTGAAATGTCCTTAAGTCAAGCCAGAGAGGAGTATCCAGTGACCGACCTGAGCATAGGAGTTGTTGGGTGGGAAAGTCAGGAAGACCCTTCGAATCCGAGGTAGGTAATGGCTACACCTGTTTTGAACAGCGGCGCTGAGTGTATGATAGGAACTATCCGGCATCTCGAAAGTGGTTTTTGCTGGCTTTGATTAGCATGATCACGCTAGTTAGGTACACTATCACCTTACCGCATACTCCCAGACTTATGACTTACTCTTCCGATAGCCCGTTCGCATCCTCTATGTTTGCCTCAGCTGCAGTGTTTGCTGGAGAAGAATTTGGGAATACATCCTCGATCGAACAGACTTTTTCCGTGACGGGCTACCTGTTTGGCTATATTGTACGTGGTCTTGTACTCTCCTAAGCTCATGTTTAGAGTGCTTACCAGACTTGTATAGGCCGGACCTCTTCTATTTTCTCCGTTGAGCGAGATGTTCGGCCGTACAGTCGTTCTCAACATTGCAACGACCTGTTTTGTTCTGTTCCAAATCGGCTGCGCGCTGGCCCCTTCCATCCGAGCATTGATCGGCTTCCGACTTTTGACGGGCATTGGTGGCTCAGCATGTCTTGCTACAGGCGGCGGAGTCGTTTCCGATCTGTTCGTGGCTGAAGAGCGAGGCCTTGCCATGTCGATCTATCAGGCCGGTCCATTGTTCGGACCCGTCCTCGGGCCCATCTGCGGGGGATTCATTGCCGAAAGAGCCGGATGGCGATGGGTAGGTGACTCGATACATTCGTCTCTCTTGCTTGCATGCGCGCGCCATATCTAAGAGCAGAGTATAGGTCTTCTGGGTCCTCGTCATAGCCGGTGGGACATTAACCTCCCTTGCCGTGATTTTCAATCGTGAGACAAACCCCTCGGTCCTCATCCGCCGCAAGACTGCAAGGCTGCAAAAAGCTCTCGGCCGATCCGATCTGCGGAGCTGTTTCGATGCGCAAGGCGACAAGCTGAAGCTGCCCTTATCCCGCAGGTTGTCCATGCCTCTCCAACTACTATTTCGATCCCCGATCGTCTCGATGATCGCCGTCTACATCGCCGTCGTCTACGGATGCCTTTATCTCCTCTTCACCACCATCACCTATGTCTTCCAGAGTACATACCACTGGAGCCTCGACATCAGCGGGTTAGCCAATCTCGGGATTGGGGTGGGCTTCCTCACGGGCCAGCTCGTCTTCGGTCTGCTGAGCGACCGCACGATCGCGCGGCACAAGCAGCGCAACCACGGCGTCTACGAGCCCGAGATGCGGCTGTCCCTGAGCATCTACTTTGCGATCTGCGTGCCGGTCTCCTTCTTCTGGTACGGCTGGTCCGTGCAAGCGCAGACGCACTGGATCGTGCCGATCATCGGGCTCTTTCCCTTCGGGTTCGGGATCGTGGGCATCTTCGGCACGCTGCAGACGTACATCATCGACTCGTACCCGCGGTATGCCGCCTCCGGGACCGCGGCCGTGACCGTGACGCGCTCGTTGCTGGGGGCCTTGCTGCCCCTGGCCGGGTCGCCCATGTATGCGGCTTTGGGCTATGGGTGGGGGAACTCCTTGCTGGGGTTTGTCACGTTGGCGCTGCTTCCATTGCCCATCGTTTTCGGTCGCGTTGGCAAGGGTCTCAGGCAGCGTTTCGCTGTGGATGTGTGATCGTGGGGTGTGGTTAGACCCGTCTTGCAGTTATCGGGATAGATGATTATGTGGGCACACGTTTTGGTTGTGGTTGCTAGTAGGGTGGCAGCTGTACCAGTCTATGCTTGAGTAGAGTAGCCTAGAATGACAAAGGGAGGATGGATGGGTGTTTATGAGTGATCGAAAGGCATGTCCTGTCATAGCTCTTTGATCCTACTCCACAACCTAAGAATAGCAACTTCACAGAAGTCAGACATGAAATCTGTAGCTCGACCCCCTACCAGCGTAATCCTCAGATTTCCCTGTCATCCCCAGTATTTCCCTTCAAAATGAGCGATCCTAGTTTCAATCTAACTAGACCTCTGTACCCTTGATCTAGAGCTTCACAGCTTATCTTGGCACCCACCGAAAGGATGCATTATACCCGCACGTACGACAAGTCAGCAAGTAAGCCGTGGAGCAAGCCATAAGGAACACTCGAGCAATGCTTACTCGTTCTAGGCCGGAACTCTGACGGCTTGTTCGCGAAAAGGGAAGCATGTGTAGACCGACCAACCCTGATCTCGGGGGGTTCCCCCGATATTGAGGTTAGCGCCACGCTAACCCTAAATTCGGGATCTTCAACAAGCTCCGGGCTAAGTATGAGAGATAGGTCATGAGTGGCCCACCGCAACAGCCAGCGACCATTAATATGGTCCTTCTCCACAGACAGTTCAAGCGAGAGGGAACGCATACTGACACTGAGTTTCTATGCTTGACGGATGTACAGCAGAGAGGAGATGTCCTTCGATTACTATAGCTCCGCGCCCAGGCGGCCTTGCCTGGAGAATCACAGCTATCAACCCCACCCAACAAGAAATCTATAATGTAGTACTGTACTCAGCACTCCAGCCTTCAGTTTCGAATACCTCCACCCCACCACTGGCCCTCGACACACCCAACAACTACCCTACATCCACATAACCGCATCAAAAAGGCCTATACTCCTGCCCCTCCACCTCTTCCAAAACCTGCACAGCCCTCCGATACCCCTCCATCCCCCTCAAACCCTTGACATACCCCCGCAACCGCGGAAACCGGTCCGGATCGATCGCCTTGATCTCCTCCGCAATCACCAACGGATAACTCATGAGGATATCTGCTGGTGTGAACTGCGTACCGGCGAGGTAGGCAGGGGCAGGGGCAGCAGCAGCAGCAGCAGCAGCAGCAGCACCACCACCACCACCACCACCAGCCGCAGCCCCCTCCCCCGCGATCCTCTCCAACTGCGCCTCCAAAAACCCAAAATGCGTCTCCAGGTTCGGCCGCGTATACTCCTTATTCACGATGCCCGGCACGATCCCGAGCACGGGTTTGACGAAGAACGGCGCGGGGGCGGTTTTGACCACTACACCCATCCCAGCCCATCCCAGCCACAAACTGTCAGCGATCTGTACTTCCCATCCTCTCCCGGGTTTTCTTCAGAAGAAAGGGGGCAAAACAAACCATCCATCAAAATCCGCATCACAACCAACGGCATCAAACTCCCCTCCGCATAATGCATCAGATACCGGTAGCGCAGCCACGCCGCCGTCTCCCCGCCGGGTTGGTTCTCGCGGCCGGCGGTCCAGCGCGGTGGGAGAGTCAGTTTGGTGGGAGGGTGCTCCGCACCCGTAGCCGGTGGGTGTAGGAAATGATCAACCAGATACTCGATGATGGCGGCGGATTCGGCGAGGATTAGCGAGGGTGGTTGTTGTTGTTGGTGGTGGTGGTGGTGGTGGTGGGCTGACGCGGGCGGCGGCGCGATGCTGAGCACGGGGGCTTTGCCGAGCGGGTGCAGGTGCTTCAGGGAGGCCGGGGCGCGCTGCGTGGCGTCGCGTTTGTACGGTTGGATGTCGTAGGCGAGGCGCAGTTCTTCAAGGAGCCAGAGTATGCGTTGGGAGCGGGAGCGTTCGAGGCTTTGAGTTTCCCAGGGGCCGGGGTTAGGGGTTGGGGAGGGTTATGGAGAGAGGAAATGCAGGGAACTCACGAGTGGAGGATGATCTTGGCGCCGCGGTTGGCGGACATTGTGTTTGAGCGGATGGGGTTTGGGGTCTGGGGTTTGGGGTTTGGGTTTGAGGTGGTTGGATGGTCTAACTTTGAATGAATTGCAGAAGCCTGGAGGGAGGAAAGAAGAGGGGAAAGGGACTGTAGTTTATGGTGTTTTCGCCGAGTAAGCTTGACTTCCTGCTGTCATCAGCTCGCCTTGGGCTAGACTGGATTGGTCCTGTCGGAGATCCTTCCTCAAGTACAGGAGTGTACTGTACATCGTACCATTGCGCGGCTGGATCGGGCTCGGTAAGCGCTAACCACGTGGCTGGCGTCATTATCCTCGGCCTTGAACTTTCCAAGTATTCGATGCTAATGAATCGATTGGCGAGCATAACGACTGAGGAACTGATTGTGCAGTGTATACAGTATATGGCTCCGATATAAATGTAAATATGTACAGTATATAAAAACAGCATAGTACAGAGAGGAGAGTCAGGCCAATATGCACAGGTCAAGCCGCGGACAGGTCCAAACATCCGCTTAGATCACTTTTCATTATGTCATCCATCATAGTCATAAACAATAAATAGGAAGAGGGTATCGAGTCTAAGATGCTCCCAGTAAGCAATATGTGCGTCTAATGAAGGGGCGAGGGGTATAGGCAAAAGACAATGAATCAAGACGGAGAGCCAGGGGACTGCCCCAGTCCCACTCCTTCTCGGCGACCCCGGATCAACGCCTGCAGGCATTGGCCCACACCTTCCAGATCTCCCAAGAGACCGACATGGCCTCGTTCGCTTTTGACCAACCCCCCCTTGATGACACGGTATCCGGAGGGTAGCATGGCCGCCGACGCCAGACACACTCCGTCTCCCGCGGCAAAGGCCAGGTCGTCGTACGCATCTTGCCGTTTGATGGCCTCCCGCGAGGCGACTCGCGCGCCGTATAGCGTGGGCACGGACTTTCCGTACAGCACGGCGAACGGCGGATACCGATTGTTCGCTTGATGCGCGGCATCGAAGACCAACTCTTCCTTGAAGCGTCGCACCTCGGCGAGAGTGCGCTCGAGGTAGGTAATAGCGGTGGCCCGCGGGATGGTCACGGCGGTGGTGACCTTGGTGTTGCTCGAACCGCGTAGGTTAGAGTTGGGGCCAATGGCCCCTTCGACGGCGGGAGGGGCCACAGGGGCGGGTTTCAACGCCGCTGCGGTCGGTGGGTTGGCACTCTGATTCGGTGCTGGCTTGTAAGAGTTGGATGCCTCGCCGCCGTCAGATGAGGAAGCCGATCCACTGCTCGGAAGGCTTTCTTTGCTGTTTAGGACGGTTGAGAGACGTTTGCTGATAAGAGGGAGGTTGTCTTTCACGAAGCCCCGGCTGGGGCTACTCACCGGCAGGGCCGGGTTGATGCACGGTGATAGTCGATACTCATCCCAGGTTTGCGCGTCGAAGAAGTCGACCCGATATTCTTCTTTGGTGCGCTGGTCGATGAAGCAGTGCCCGTCCTCGGGTAGCAAGGCAAAACTGGTGCGGAAGGTGAAGTTGACCTGAGCCGTCAAGACACGCGAACTCAGCAGCACATCGTCGCCGTTGCGCAACGGCCCGAGGATGTTGACGCAGTGCTGCGGAACTCCAGCGTATAAGACTCCAGCGAACAATTCGGGCCGCTGGTTGACGGCATGTCTTGTGATCAGCCCTCCCAGGCTGTGAGCGATCACGTATGCCCCGCGCTTTTCATGGGGCGTGCCCGGGGCATTGCTTGGAAGGCCCTCCAGAAACTTGATCAGCCGTTTAGCCAGGAGGTGCGGACTCAGACGCCAGTCGTAGCCGTAATCCCAGACGCGCAGATCCCCGCGCGTCGAGTTGGGACACTTCTGCAACCGCTTCATCAGGCGGCGACAGATGTCCACGGGCCCGACATGCGACAAGACTCCGGACGGAATGATGGTCTCCTCCATCCGTTCCTCGTCTTCCGGGTTCAGACCCACCTCGAGGTCGACTTTGCGCAAGTTCAAGCCGACCTTCATCGGTACCCACAATTGGCGCTGCGGAGGTTTGGCAGAACGCAAAACTGAGCCCCGATAGCCTCCTAGAATGACAACGTCGCCCGTCAGATCATCCATAGCGTCAGCTAGGCGAGGGTGCTGGGCACTGGAGCTAGATCGCGGGGAACGGGTGCGTGGTGGTGGTGGCAGCGACGAGGGTCCCGTCGGGTCAGCTGGCGGTTGCTCATGCGGCGCAGCAGGCTCCTCCTCGTGGACCTTTCGGGGATGGGAGACCTCGGAAAGGAAAGGCCGATAGCCCCAGTCGCTGCGGAGATCTTGCAGGTGCAGGGTGGGCATGCTTAAAAGACGACTGCTGGAGTCCTGCAGACTGTCCTTGATGGCCTTGAAGCGGCTATTTACCTGGGAATGAATATGCTCATAACGGGGACGCTGCTCCAGCGAGGAGGCCGTGGAGGAGCGTCGCAGATAGAGCGACTGATCAGAGGATGAGCGCCGCAACATCGGCGGCACTTTGCCCGAGACGGCGGCACTTGGCCGCCGTGCATACGAATGGCGGGCGGCGGTGGCCCCCGCCAAAGGCTTGAGATCGGAGATGGGCTCGTCCGTAGACTCGTCGGTCAAAGATCGTCTCTGCGCCGGCCCGGGAGCGGGCTTGACGGTGCGTGGAGCTGGCTGGCTGGCGATGCGTTTCGTCCACGAGTCCGGTAGGAACTTCTTCAGACGAAGATTGGTGATGGAGTCGCCAGACCAGGCCCGAGGGCGCAGCGGCAGACTGGTCTTGAGGAGAGAGCGCGTAAAGCTGCTCCGATGGTCTTTCAGCTTGTCCTTGGCACCTCGCGCGGGATGCGGTTGCGCCGGATGTGGTTGCGAGGATTGCAGTTGTTCGGGTTCTTGGGTGAGATGGCTAGCAAAGAGACCACTGTCGGTTTCGGGAGAGTCGGGAATGGCATCAAAGTATCCGCCCTGCTGGTTCATCACGCGGGATTTCTCGGCAGCCGGCGTGCGACGGGCCTTCATGCGACTCTGGGTTCGACTGATACTGACCCCGACCATATCGTATGCTTCATCTTCTCGGGTGGGATCGCGAAGAGATGGGTCTTCGCTATCGGAGCTGGTATGACCACCAGCCGGTTGCATGTGCACCGTCATGGTGCTGTTGGATGCTATGAGGTTGTTGAAGGAGAGAATCTACCCATTGAGGGGCGGGCACCAATAGATAAGAAGGGGATTGGAGAAGCAACGACGCAATAGCTTGCACGGATTCAAGCAAGTCAACAGAGGCTCCATGTGAAAGTGGATGATGATGGGAGGGGCGAGGAGGAAAAGGTGAAGCTAAAGTAGAACTACGGAGCCGTCGGAGGTGGAGCCATCGCTAGCTAGTTTATTGATTAACGATAGAGGGATAGAATCAATAAGAAGCAGCAAGGAGAGAAGAACGGAGGAGTAACTGGGATCGGAAGATAGGGGGGCAAATCTGAATCGGAGGAGAGAATAACCTAGCAGTTCGGAAGATGATGTAAAAGCGAAGAGAAAAGAAAAAAGAAAATAAGAGCAAAGTAAGAACGAGTACGAGTAGTTGGAGAAGAAAAAAAAAAAAAAAAACCGGAACGAAAAACGAGAGAGAGAGCAAGAAAAGAAAACGGTTCCACCGGCACAGCCCCGGGAGGGCCGGAAGGCTGAGAAACCACTCAGTCGACAGTGGATCAGGGCGAAGCTTTCCTTCCCCCCCCGTCATCTGAATGATCGTTTGGTAAGACATCTTAAGTTCGACATCTTAGAGCAGATGCTATGTATTAATAGTAATGGTAAGCTGGTAAACTGGCGAAGGATTCAACTCAGCCGAGTTTCATGCTGCATAAGGAAGAGCCGACTTTGGCGATGACCCAGTCCGTAACATTAGCTACAAGCTACCTCGTGCGCCAAGGAAATACGAACACTCTGCTTCATTATACATACACAGTGCACATATCATATACAATTATACATCCTTAGTACAGTACAAAGAAAGTACTGTACGTGGTTACTCATTACACCATCACAATCGAAAATCGACATAATTGTTGGCTACAAAAGGCAGCCATCTGGCTGGATCCACTCTATCGACTAATCAAAGAAAAGAATCAAGCAACAAGCATCAGTCGTATCATCGTAATCGCATAAAAAAAATCCCGAACTAGAAGTCCCGAACTGGGGGCCAATTTTGTTTCAGTGCGAACGCCCAAATCGCCCCGTTTCAATTTCTCGCTCGCCCTTGTCCGCAATGGCTGCGTTCTTGGCCGCACCCTGATCGTGGCCAAAGGCTGAGTCGACAGCTGCGTTGAGTCCACCGCGGAGCGATTCCCCGACCCCCTGTTTGAATGACCCCGTCAGCTTCTGCACAAGTACAAGGCTGCAACCAGTGGCTATCGAGATTAGTGACTTACGTGGATCCCCGCTGCTACCGATTTAACCCCGCGCCCGACATTCTCGCCCGTGCGCGCCGACTGACCGCCAGCTGTGGTTGTTCCAGCTGTAGTTGTGCCAGCTGTGCCAGTAGTAGGAACAGTGTTGGTGGTGTCAGCGGGGGCGGTAGCGGTGATACTAGGATTAGCACCGCCGGCCGCCCGCGTCCCCTGGCTAGAGGAAGGCACCGTAGGCTGATAGCCTACTCCGCCCGCGGTGCCGGTGCCTGTCGTATCGGTCGGTTCGCGCATCGCACCGGAGCCCGACTGGTTTGTGGATTTGGTGGATTTCTCCCCCGTGCGGCTGTCCACGCGAGGGTCCAGCTTATTCAGCAGCGAGGAGCTGTGCGGCCCCCGCGTCGAGGTGCCCGAAGTTGAGGTGGTTGCGGTCCCCGCGGTGGCCTGCGGGTGCACGTTGCCCGTGGTGGTCGTGCCGGGGGCGTACTGGGCGCGGTTGTTCAGGTCACTGTCGACTCGGGGATCGGCCTTGTTGGCCATGTCGGAGCCATGCGGACCAGCAGTGGTCGGGGCCGGGCCGGTCCTGGCATCGCCTGTGCTGGTGATACCAGCTTGGGTAGCCGTGCCGGTGGCTGCGGCGTTGGTGTCGAAGTATGGGGTCTGCGAAGTAGTATTCATCGTGATGGTAGGTAAAAGGTGATGGGTTATTCAAATTCAAGCTTCGTTAGTCCACTCCACCTGTCACTTTCTGGACGTTATATAGCCATCGTCGAAGGCAAAATGAGCGACATCGACATCATCGCGCGAGCCGGTGACGTCAATTTGATCACAAAGTGTCGTCCCCTGGGGCAAGTTCCTCCAGACCGTGGGTTGGGAGAGATGTGACCAGTCAGACAAAGGCCCTGTGCCATGGCTTGGTGGATCGACAGTCCCTTCTTCAGATGAGCGACACGATGACCTAAGGTAGGCTTGCAGTGCTGCATTTCAAGAGTGCTTAACATACAGTCTGGAAGTACTCATAGATACTTGGAGCAGCCGATCAGGTGATCTATCTTATCGATTAGAGAGGAATGATGTCATGGACGGGCATAGCGAGAAGATACGTTATGCTGGCTTGTGCTGACTTAGTCATAATCATCTAATTATGCACCACTTTTCTTCACGACTGCAATTCCACTCTCGATACAAACTAAAGCTGTTGTCTCCTCTTCGTATCAAGATACTGTTTTTCTCTATAAAGGGTCCGAATTCTCGTTTTTCCAATTCTCAGCACTAATCCCCAGATGTCAAACCCCCACCTCGGCTGTGCGACCCTCTGGTCGGACATCTTACCTCAAAGAGCTTCTTCTCCATGAGCCGAGGTTCAATCCATTCCAATCCATAATCTGAGCCGACGACCCCCTTCGACCTTCCTCCTCGCCATCTCTGTTGCCTTTCCATAAAGACCAACTCCGAAAGATACCCACAATCCCATCCTCATCCAAAAAAAAGTCACCCACCCATAATGCCTCTCACCAACCGCCAACTGATCTACACCAACCCGCCGAAGGCGGCCATCGACCCCTCGCTCAACGGCACCGGCACCTTCACCCTGAAGACCACGACCCTCCCCGACGATGTGCCGCTGAAGGACAATCAAGTGCTCGTGCGCATCCACTACCTGGCCCTGGAGCCGGCGATGCGGCAATGGCTGACGGCGAAACGGTCGTACATCGCGCCCGTGGAAGTCGGCAGCGTGATGCGCGGGCAGAGCATCGCCCAGATCCTGCGGGTCAGCCCGGCGCTGGCGGGCACCTACAAGAACGGGGAGTGGGTGGCGGCGCACTCTGGGTGGCAGGAGTACGCGATCCTGCCCGCGAAAGCGATCGAGAAGATCACCATCCCGGCCGGGTGCCAGCCCACGGACGCGCTGTCCGTGCTGGGCATGACGGGGCTGACGGCCTACTTTGGCATGACCGAGGTCGGCCAGCCGCAACGCGGCGATACGGTCGTCGTGTCCGGTGCGGCGGGCGCCACGGGCATGGTAGCGGGGCAGATCGCGCGCATCAAGGGTGCGAAGCGCGTGATCGGCATCGCCGGCAGCGCGGACAAGTGTCGGTTCCTGCGCGAGGAGCTGGGGTTCGATGCTGCCATCAATTACCGGGATGCGGACTGGCGCAAGCAGCTTAAGGAGGCGACTCCGGATTATATTGATGTGTATTACGACAATGTGGGTGGTGAGATTTTGGATGCGTGTCTGTTCCGCGCGGCGAAGGGGGCCCGGTTTGTCATTTGCGGCGCTATTAGCCAGTACAATGTCGAGAAGCCCCAGGGGCCGAAGAATTATCTGATGGTCATTGTGAGTATCCTGGCAAGCGGTGCTCTGGAAGGATGGCGGTTGCTAACGAGACACAGTCGCAACGGATCACTATGCGCGGGTTCATTGTGTTTGACTACGCCGACAAGTACCCGGCTGCGCTGAGGGAGTTGGGCACGTGGTTGAGCCAGGGGAAGATCAAGCGGAAGGAGCACATCGTGAAGGGGGGATTGGAGACCACGCCCCAGGAGTTGATCAATCTATTCAATGGTGTGAATACGGGTAAGATGATGGTGGAGGTGGTGCCTGAGAGCGAGGCGATCAAGGTGGAAAAGGCTAAGTTGTAGACCGAGGGATTGCATCACAGTAACTTACAAGCAGGCGTACTCAAGAAATCAGAGATAATATGATACCCTTAGGCACTAGCTAGGAGTCAACCCCAGCGCCACATTCCATTATCGACATAATAAGACATTCTCGTAAAAAGACATTAATTATTTCCACACACTCGGCCACAACTAGACAGTACCCGCAGCCAAAACATAGCCTCCATCAACAACCAACGTCTGACCATTCAGGTACTGGTTGGTGGCGGCAAACAACACGGTACTGGCCATATCCTCATCCTTCCCAGGGCGGCCCGCGGGGATCTTACCCTCATACTTCTCCTTCTCCAGGGCACTCTTCTGCTTCTCATCACTCTCCCCGGCAGTCATCTCACTGGGGAACACGCCGGGGGCGATGTTATTAACCCGGATGCGCAGCCCGGAGCTCGAGATCTCATGGGCCAGCATCTTGGTGAGATGGATGGCCGCACCTTTCGAAGCATTGTAGGCGAAGTGATGCTGGCTGGTCTTGACGATGCCGGAGATGCTGGTGATGTTGATGACGGTGCTGCTCCAGCCGTGGGCCTGCTCGCTGCTCTTCTGCAGGAGGGGCAGGAAGGCCGAGGTGACCAGGTAGGGGTGCACGACGTTGGTGCGGTAGACGCTCTCCCACTCCTCGGGCGAGGAGCTCTCATCGAACAGCGCCTTGCTCAGGTCCGCCGCGTTGTCGTGCTCCGTGTTCTGCGTGCTGCTGCTGATCCCCGCGTTGTTGATCAGGATGTCCAGCCGACCGGACTCCCGCGACGAGATCTCTTGCACCAGCTTCTGGATGCTGGCCTTGTCCGTCACGTCCGACGTCAGCGGGATGATCTCCCCCTTCACGGCCTTGCCGCCGTACAGCTCCGCCACCCGCTCCAGCTTCTCCGACGTCCGCCCCGTGATGTACACTTTGCTGCCGTTGGTGGCCAGCGCCTGCGTAGCCATCAGGCCGATGCCGCTGCCGCCGCCGGTGATGAGGGCCACTGTTTGTGTGTCGTGTTAGTACGATGTGTATCGCAAAGGAGGGAGGGCAGTGGGTGTTGTGAAGGTATGGAGCGAGAACTCGGAAATGCTTTCGTTATACTTGGGGTCAAAGGCCTCGAAGTTGAAACGTACCCTTGTCCTTGACATTGAACAGGCTCCCCAAAGTGAAGTTGGTGTTGCTGACTTCCGCTGCCATTGTGGTTTTTGATTCCTTAAATTGAGGTGTGGTCACTGTAAATGGTGTAGGTCGTGAGGTTGTGAATGCTCTGGATGCAGTCGCACTGGCGGGGAGAGAAAGACGACTATATAGCTTGCTTGGGCGATGGCGTAATGACGCACCGAGAGAGCGTGGCAACAGAATACTGCGGTTGAACATGATGGTAGTACATGGAAGAATCGTTTTGGCTGGCGTGATTAAGTGGGTTTAATGTAGGGATTGTTGGGGCATCATCATCAGTATGACGTTTCCGGCGCCGGCGCGGATGAAGTCATGGTGATGGTAAAGGTGAAAAAAGTATACGATCGGATCACTAACCATCGGTCCCTGTTGATCTCACCTTACCTTACTGCTGAGTACATTCAGGAACGGCCCTTTATCTGTATCATCTACAGCTACCCAGCTAGTGAACTGGCCAGGTCACAAGAAAAAAAAAGCCCAACGAAACAACAGTTCCTATGTATTCACAGCGAGTTTGATTTACTACCCGCTGAACTAAAGACAGACCAGTCCATCCTATTAACAGTTGCAGCCAATATTGTAACCGCTGCAGCAGAATTATATTCAAGAATAAGAAATGAGAAACGAATGGAAGTAATCACCGAACCTTCCCTGCTTCTCTCACCTCGCTCATAAATCCATCCTCGTCGCCTGCCGAGGAGAGTCGCCAGTAGTCACCAACCCCGGAAGATGCTAGACCTCCACCACCAAATCCTGCCGGCATAGGAGCTGCCGGTGCACTGTGGCGTTGCTCTGTGCTACTGGTGGTCCCCGCCTGACGCGGTCCCCAGCTCAGGATCCCCTGCACCGACCGTCGACTCTGGTCATCGGGTTTGGTGAAGCCAAACAGCTGCAGCTGCAAGCTGCCCAGAGTCGCAACTGCCGCGCGAATCATGATCCGATCTCCTTCGAATACCCAGCAGTCCCAGACTCGGCTGAGACGCTCCAAGTCCAGCCCGTTTGTCAGGAGGGAGCGGAACATCGGTTCCCAGATTTCCTCATCGCTGAGACGGAGTGTCTCGTAGAGGTGCGTTGAAAGACGTGGGAACTTGTATTTAAGCGTCGCGGACGCTAGCGAATATGTCCGACCGATAGCCCCGCGGTCGAGTGTCAAAAAGGCAACAGGAAGAGGGCGGTTTAGCGCATTGGCCATAGCGAGGAACGCGGAGGACGGAGACGGGAACTGGAGGACCAGTAGGGCCGCAATGGTATGCAGTCCAGTGATGTATCCAACATCGCTCCGATACATCGAGTAGGCCTCCAAAACGTCGATCAACGTCTCGCGAAGTGGACCACCAGGTTGAAATAGCTTCAAATCCGGGAAAGCCTTAGACACGTCCTGCTCGATAGTCGCGAACCACTCCCGCATTCGCTTGTTGCTTTCCCCAGTATCACTGTCCGGACGGGCACGCACGTCCTTGGCCCGTTGCAACGCCTTCTTGTACGTTTCGTCGGAGAGAGCCAGCTCATTGCCGATGGCCCGCTGCCAGGTCGATCCCCGAAGTCGCGGCGGCACACCGCGCCACCAGAGCTCCCGCGTGCGCGGCTCCTGAATGACGTTATCCCAGTTTGGATAGACGTACTCGTCCCAAATTTGTTGCAGGGTTTCCCGAGTATTGTCCTTCTCGCATTTCTCGGAAGCGACTTTGGCAGCTCGACGTTTGTCTGTACCAAATGTTAGTGGCCTGTCGAAGCTAGCCTTGGACGCAAACTTGCCTGCTTCCCGAGACTGTGCCATCATCTTCTTGTACTCCTTCAGATGCCGCTTTTCCTCCAAAGGATCCTTCGGCGGCAGCCAGCTTGGCCGTGTCCGACTCAGCACCTTTTCTTTCTCCTTGCTGATAGGCAACGGGTCAATCATGATATTCGACTTCTGCAACGGTGGCAGCTCAATCGGTGTCTTTGAGCCCTGCTTGGAGTCCGTGCTAGACCTCAAAGAAGACAGCCCGCTCTGCAAAGTCTCTCCACGCCGACGCTCTCGCTCGTCAGCATGAAACTCCAGCGCCTCAGTGATGATCCGCGCCTCTTCCGACAGGTCCGACATCATGTTGTTATACGAGTAGGTTCGCGGATTGCGAGGAGAAATCTGGCCTCGTTCCGGCCCGGCAGAGCTGGACCGTGGCTTGGAGCGAGCCTTCCGTGACGTAGGGGATCGCGAGCCCGATGGGGACTTTGGAAGGGTCACATCTGAGACGGAATGTGACAGAGGCAATGGCCGGGGTCCCGGGCTGCGGCCGTTTGGACTTGTACTCCGGGAAGGGGCTCGATCTTGCATCGGTCGGGGAGAGATGGGAACGTTCCAGAGACTGGCATCTTCGGGCAAGTCATCATCAGAATCGTGGTATTCCTCCTCCAGATCCTTGAGCGTTCTGCGAGTGCGCTGCCAGGATGGCTTGCGGTTGAGTGTCCGGGGAGCAGCGGGAGCCAGAGACAAGCTGTGTGTGGAAGGTGAGGATCCTAAGCTCAAAGTGGGTCGCAAAGGCGAATTCGATCGCGATCGACGGGGCTTAGACACTTGAAGTGGTGCATGCTTATTCGCAGTAGGATCCCGCTGAGTTCCGGTCTTGGTGTTGTGTCCGCCGCGGCCCGGCTGGGTCAGGGTGCCATTAGTCTGTCCCGTCAATTTACTCGGTTTCGTGGCGGTCAAGTCGCGGGTCGTAACTACAGCGGACTTGGCCTGCATCCTAGCTGGGAAAGTCTGCGTGATAGTGCCCGCCCGACTAAAAGGGACCTTAGTGTCCATATAGGCGATGTGCGCTTCGTCTTGGAGGTCGACTTCTTCGAAGTTGGCGATATCGGTGAAAAGAGCCTCGGGGCCGGAATGTTGGGAGGAAGAACGAAAGGAGGAAGACTTGGAGGATTTGGACCCGGTCAGATCGGGCGGAGAATTTGGAGTCGAGCAGATGGTCGTCATCGCGGACAGTGGTTCGACTTTCAGACGACACGCTCCAGCAGTGGGAAAAACGAACCCGATAATAGACTTCTAAAAAGACGAATGAGGTCGGTGTCGATATAAACAAAGAATTGACTGCGCCGGGTTCCGATCGCGCCGCGAGCGTTGACCCAATCAGAGCAAAAAATGTTTAAATGATGATGCGTTCGACGTCGCAGGGTTGATCTGATATACACGAAGAGTGAAGTCGAACGGCAGTCGCGCCCGTTGGACCAGGCTGAAATATTCCGGGGGTGGGTCAATTCAAGAAGAGCTGGACAGGGAGATCAGGCGTGAATTGGCAAGAATGAGCGCATTGGGGGCCGCAACAGCAGGGGAGGGGAGGGATGAGAAAAGGAGACGGGAAAGGTACCAACCATCGACTGTAGGGAGATACCGAATTTCGAGAACGAAGGAATAGAGAGAAGGAGAGTGAGTATGTATGTACTGTACGGGGTGAGTACTGTTCAACGATTGACTTGACAAGCGAAAGACAGGAATGCAGGGAAACGAAAGGAATAATAGATGAATAGATGGAAGGAGGAAAGAAAGACAAGAGGAAGAAGGAAATGATAACGGGAATAAAGACTTGGACAAAGCGGGAACAGAAGAAGGAGAAGGGGAAGAGGAGAAGGAAGAACGAATGAATGGAACTACACTAAAGTGACGGGGAAATGATGAACTTGCTGCATTCGGTGATGGAGAGTGGAGGAGGAGGAGAACGGAGGGAGAGAGAGAGAGAGGAGGGAGGGATTGGAGGGAGAGAGTGGATTAGGTGGTAATACACATACGTACGGAGGGGGAGCCTTACTGGGAAAGAGTACGGAGTACTCGTAAGTTAACAGGGTTACACTATCAGGCTGCTCCTACTGCGCGCAGTCGTTCAGTAAGAGAGCACTTAGTACTGTACCAAGTCGGTAAGGATAGTTAGCAGCAGGGTGTACAGTACTGTACTGAATCTGTACTGCATCTCACAATAGAGAGCCTCAGGCCATCTCAATCCCTCGATTTCCTCTTTATCTACGCCCCAGTGTGCCCCAGGAGGTAAGCCAGGCTGCTGCCACCTGCTAACTAAACTAAACACTAGACTATTAACTCTCTAGTTCAATTGTCGGCAGTGTCCACTGTCATTGTCGACGACGGTCTGGCCAATCCGCTAACACCGCACCAAATGAAGCCCCAGCGATACCATTTCCCACCTCAAAAGCTTCATTGGCTGGCTTCCGGTAAGATGAGTTCCAGGTAATGCCGCCCCTCTCTCTCTCTACTAGTAGTATCTCTTTCATTTTCATGATTTTACCAGAAGATTACCGGCTCTCACAGTTAACTTACACCACTGGTGATTTCCCAGATACAGACAAACGAGATTAGCTTTTCTGGAAGGACGACGAATTCGGGTGATCCAATGAAACGTAGTGGTTTCTAAATTTCTAGATTCTGAACCATTGTACTGAGTAGTATCAATAAGTGGTTCGACGTGAGGGCACCTCATGATAAGATGGTCGAAACCGGCCCCCCCGCCAGGAGGAGGAGGAAGTGAGGAACTCCCCCGAGGCAAATACTCATAGTTAAGAGATGCAACGCACCGCCACAGCCGAGACGAGATCGACTGGAAGATCGCTGGGCTGCGAGGAGGTGCTGCTGCTGCTGCTGCTGCTGCTGCTACTCTCCAGACGAACCCGGGGAGGGTAACAATTGCTCAGGGCTGCCACTCCAGATCGATCCTGGGAACCTTCGATCCGAAATTTGCCTCCCCCTTTCCTTTCTTTTTTGTTTCTTCTTCTTCCCTCTTTATTTTGTTTTGTTTTCTTTGCCTGTAAGTGATCATAAACCCCATTCCTTCTGTTTTTTTTTCTTCCTCTCTTAGTTCACCCCTGACCCAGTCAATCCTCGTCCCTTTGGTAGAGGTTCCGTGGGTTGTAGCCTGAGGATTGCCAGGTACGTACCGGGGTACCGGTGGTACTACTGAGTAAGTAGAACGAGCAGCTTTCGGAGGTGGGCCGCCACTGACCTCGGTGGAGGGGGGTTTGTGGTACTGTACCTGAATCCTCAGTACTCGAGAGGAATAATTCTCCACTCCCCAAAGCAAAAAGTAGCTCCGACCCGGCTTGGAGCCACACCCTAAACCCGTCTTGGGTAGTCCACGCTTGCGGTAGTTGCAAATGAGTTGTTAAACGAAAGCAAAACAGAAAATAATTGAAGATTGGTTATTAACTAATAATAATACTCGAGGACTCGCACCACCACCCACTACGGTTACATCCCACACCCACACCCACCACCACCACCACCACCACACCACACTAGAACAAGCGGAACTGTCATCTAGAAGAACAATCATAATAATCAACAATGCAACCTTATTGTGTCTTAGACTTCTGACTGAGTACTTTGGGTCAATCCTTCGCTGCGATCGGATCTGCTGGGGGGGGGGGGGTGCTCCATATCTCCGTCCACGGACAGCGCACACACACACACACATTCAACCAGTCGATCTCAGACATCCATGAGATCTCACACACTCACGGACCGGTCGAGATTGCCGATCAACGGACCACTCTTTTCCTGCTGGCGGATGACCCGGATTTCCTGCTTCCGTCGCTGTAGTAATCGTCGCTGTAGTAATCGTCGCTGTAGTAATCTTGTCGTCACTAAGTTAGAGCCCTCCTCCCCTCCGAACCGGTTCTCGCACAACACGAACCATGATCTTAATGTTAATTACATCACCGTTCTTGGTCTGATCCTGTTCACACAAACAAGATCCCAGACTAGGATTATTGATACTAGCCCGTTTCCAGTCAATCTCCGATCCAACCAGCCCACGTTATTTTCGTACCCCAGGTACAAGTACAAGCTAAGGCAAGGTAAAAACCAAACGGTCGCTCAGCCAAAGCCGGTGCCAAGGAAACGCCTCCCGGGAGTCTATCAGAACTTCCACTTGTCATAGACGGCATTGCCGCGGCGCACCACTAGGGCCAGACGAGCAGCGGTGGCCGTGGATTTGGGACGGGTCTCGCGTAAAATTGCCTGCAGCCAGCGCAGGACAGCTACGTACCGCGTCTGCTTGCGGCCAAGGACGGCTTGGAAGGCTGCCGCCGCCAAATACTCGACCTCGGCCGGTTGCGCAGAACATATCGCGGCCGAGGAGTTGGCCTTTTCTTGTCGACGGCTCAGAATCAAACGGTTGGCAAGATAGACAAGATCACGGATGATCCGAACTACGACCCCTGGTGCAGGATGTGCTCGTCCGGACAGGGAGCGCGTGTACCGGTACAACCGCATGCCCGAGATGACAAAGCTCGCATACAGATTCGCCAGTGCGACCTCGACCGAGTTGTGTTGAGTATCAAGATACATCGGGTGCATGAGCGCCTTGAAAGACGTGAGTAATTTGCGATGCAGTGAGCGAGCTGGAGTTCGCGTCGATTCCACGGTCAAGGAGTTGGCCAGGCTCGCCGCGACCGATTCGCCCCCGTCGAGAATCCGATCGTGGTCCTTGTGTAGTTCTAGAGTACGGGAGTCGATCAGACTACCGCAGTAAGGAAACAACCTAGCGTCTACGATGCGGGGGATGTGCGCGCCATCCACTTGGACGGAGAAGTTGACCAGACTCTTGGCTGGGTTTACGGAGATCCCATACGCTGGCTGGCCCCGGATCATCACCTGGAGGAAGCGCTTGGCTTGGGCGAGGTCTGACGTAATGAGTAAAAAGTCATCGATCAAGCGAAGAAGCAGAGTATTGTCGGACCGGAGGAATTCCAGCACCTCCCGTTCCATCTCCGCGTAGAAAAGATTACACAGCAGACTGGAGAGGACCGAGCCCTGGGGAATACCGTTGCGCTGGCGGAAGAAGCGCTCTCCGAACTTGACCATGTTGTTCCTCACATGCTCTTCAAGAAGGTCAAGTAGATCATCGGAATGCTTCTCCCATTGCCAGAATGTATCCACAAAGACAGTATTCCTTCGTTGGCTCGTGCCTCCTCTGCTGGCTAATTCTTCCAAATGCTGGGGACTCTTTGTTGGAGCAGCTCTACCCACCCATCTCTTCCAGGCCCGGCTTTGCCGCTGCCCATGAAGCGGCCACATATTGTTAAACTCGTCTGCCGGCTTCATCTCGACGTACTTTGTAAAATGATATGCGTCTGCAGAAACCACTTTGTCGACGAGGCGAACCATACTTTGTTGTGGAATAGTGTCAAAGCAAGACTGGATGTCGACTTTGACGAAGTACAGCCGAGGTAAAGACAATGGACCTACAGCCACCGGCTGTCGCGCGAGTAGGTTCCTCTTGAACCTCTTCAGCCGAGAGTGCAACTCTCCAACCGAATTTAGGCACGAACCTAAATGAGCTGGATTGTGCATCTTCTCGTAGTTCAGCACACTGAGGATGGGACCGACCGTGGAATTCACAGTGCGTTTCGATGATGGCATCCGTCGTTTGAGATTCACGATGGGACGAATACCAGTGGCTTTTGGTAGAAGGCGTAACGATCCATACCCCAGAGTCCTCTGACCTAGCACCCGTTGGGCTTCTTCCGGCTTCAATTCTTCGAACATAGAAGCCTGCAGTTCATCTATCGGCTGCTCGGTCAAGGTGCGCCAGACATCGTGTCGGAAATAGAACAACCGGTTTCGGTGGCACTGAGATTCGGTGACATAAAAGGCTGCACGAATCATGGGGATGAGAATGAATTCGAATAAGTAGTACATAAACTCATGAAAGAGTTCCGTGCGCTTCTGCAGGTCGGTGAGCGAAAGCTTATGATGTGATGGATCGACAAGTTGATCGCGGCCAGCAGCGGGACCGAGCCAGGATATGCAAGATATCTGCAAACAATAATCGGCCCGTTAGCATGCATGACACGATGTCGATCTTGAGTTTGTGCAAACAAACCTTAACGCCCTTGCACACTTCCTGGAGGGACATGTTTTCGTACCGTCGCATACGAACAAACCTGTCAACGTTCTTGAAAATTACACTCTGGTTGTGAATTCTGTTCTGTCCGGCGCCGAAGAATTGTGGTGGAATTAATTTACGGATAGCGGCTTGACAATAGGCCGAGATGGAAGAGGTCGGGGTCGCATAGTCCGTCAAACTGGGCTTCAATACAGTTGCTGATTTGGTCGCCGGCTCCCCCGCGACAAACGCGGGTCTTTCGATATGATCATGCTCTTTCTGACCTTCCGAAGTAGAGACACTCCCATTCAATGCATATCTTTCGAGTCCTCGTTCCTGGGT